ATGTTCTTAAGTATAAAATTTATATTATTAAGAAATAAATTAAATTTATTATTATTTATAGATTTATTAAATAAGTTTATTAAGAATATTATTATAAAAATATATAAATAATATATCAAAAGCTTTTTATAAAGTATAAAATAATATATTAAAAGCTCTTTATAAAGTATAAAATAATATATTACTTTATTATTAAGTATCTATTAATTCATAATTAAAGAAAACCTAAAGCTATTAATTATATAACTTATATAATTAACTCTTTTTAATTTATTAGCTTTTTTTACTTAAAGATTTTTTATTAGATTTTTTATTTTATTTACTAATTATTATTTATTAAAAAGATAAGGGTACTTCTTCTATTATTTTTTTAATACCTTTTCTAAATTCTTATATTAGTAAAATTAGCCCTTTTTAAGAGCGTATATTTTATAATATTTATGTGATAGATGGAGTATCTCCTCTTCCATGGCGCAGGAAATACACGGGACCAGCCACGCACTCGGATGGCAGCGCCGATGGCGTATCCACAACGGCACGCGGAACTCTTGCCGTCAAGCTACTATGCCGCCGATAGAGGCATCCGTACGGCACGTGGCTCCCCGTACGAGTACCATGGAACCGGAGATTGATACGACCTCTTTGGGAAAGTACAATCTCCTCCAGAGGGAAGCTACCGCTTCTGGCCCTGCAGATACTCCGTCGGATCCTCCGCGCAGGTTAACTAGTAGCACCCCTTGTGTTCGATGGAGGAGTATATAGAGTAGAGCGCTGGCCGCACTGTAGATAGACTCCCCAGCTTAAGTTTTAGCAATCTATGGACTATTGACTTGTTCTAGTTTCGAGCCATTGCAATTTAGAGCAGATTAATATTCTCTGTTACTTAAAGCGTCTGCCTTAAAAGGTATTATTTTACTTCCTTTTGCCTATTATAATATTCATTAATAGTATAGGCTTCTTAGTATTCTTCTTAGGATCTTCTCTAAGTCTATAAAAATTAATATAAAGTTTCTTAGAGTCAGCAAGTTATATTTTATTCTTGTATTTCTTAAGGAACTTAGACTAGTTAGAAAAGGAGTTAGAGTTATTATTTTTGCTCTAAAAAAGAAGAAGAGTTAGGAGAGTTATTAGATCCTAGAAGAAGCGTAGATTATATATTAAATAGTTATATACAGTTTTGTAAGCTATAATAAACTAACAAATATTAGGATACTGTAAGTGTTAGAGACTTAGAAGATTCTAAAGCGCTTAGAGTTACTCTGTAATAAAAGGAGCTATATACGCCTGCTTCAGGGCTTCCTATAAGGCCTTTAGAGTAGAGTATTTATTTATTTAAGTTGGAACAATAAAAGATAACTATTTTATAATCTTAGAAAAGGCTATTTTTTCCTTATCTTGCTACTTATTAAACTCCCTAATTTCTTCCTTATAGTCCTTATAAGTAGTATCTTATTAGTGCTGATTCTATCTAGTAGAATCTAAGTCAAGATTTAACTAATTAAACTGCTCTTAAAAACAAGCAAGCGTTATAAAAGCGTTTGTGCAGCCACAGTTGACAGGAGGATGTGATATAATAGGGCTCCACGCTTTTAGCCTATCCAGGCGTGCTTTCATGACTCTTGACTATAAGAAATAGTCCTCTGTGCCCTTGAGGAGAGGGATATGAGATTTTTTATAAGAAGGAGAGTCGTAGGAGGATTCCATAGTAATCGAATTTGGCTATATAGTACAGCAGAATTTGGAGCTAGGCCGAAAGTGGTAATATAAGGCCTGTGGTGCTCTGATAAGATATAGATCTCTATTACAGCTTTCGCTTAATAGAGTAGAAGTCAGCAGGCCGGGCTCATAACCTGTTAGAGGATGTAGCAAATAGCGTACAGAGATACTAATTAGATAAGCAGTATTAAGAGAGAGAGGGTTCAATTGAATTGATTGAGTTACTCTCTTAACTCCTGAGGAGCAGGATGACCGCTATATATACGCATGGAATAGGCAAGCTATAGAATCACCTAGAAGGAGATCATAAATCAGCGTTGCAATGCTAACTGCAGCATTTGTGAGTGTATGCGTTTCTGAGTAATAGCGCGTGGCGAACAGTTGCGGTGGTCGGAGAACTCCGTCTTCCTCTGACATATGCGGGTCATAGCGGCCTAAAATTCGCTAGCTAGGTCTAACAATTTTCATTTTTGATATTGCGCATGCCTCTACATGCTAATCTGTTCACACAAGAACAGTGTTACAGCCTTCTTCCCTCCACCACACTGGCTTGTCCGAGTCTTCTTACAAGGCGGTCAGTCTACTGTTGTTAGTCAGACCGAAGTCATCAAGAGGATCAGAATGAGTCTGTCACATCACGAAAATTGCTGAGGATCGCAACCATCACGAACCGTGTATGCAATGGCTCACCATGTCCCGCCGAGGGGATCAACGGATCGTAAGAGAGTGCGACCATCGATTTCAGAGAGCGAACAAAGACTACAGGGATATTTTGCTATATGAACTTAGCACATAACGACAATATTTCCCCTGGTTAATCAATGGTAGAGCTGATAGGGGGTCATTGGAGCAGGGCGCCCCCCTGAACAGTCACCGCTAAAGTGCCCGAGGACTGGACAACGCCCGCCTATCCAATGTGTTCTGGACGCACCTCATTTAGCAGCAGGAACTCTCCCAAATATATTACGATATCCCAAACAAATGTTGGCGAAACCTTCTGTGGTTGCACAAGTCGATGCTGCATTGTCTTTCCCTTCATCGCCGAACCATGTGAAGCCAAACTGATCTGAAGCACATAGACATTCTACTTCCTAAGTCAGCCACCGGAAGCAATGCCAAACTGGAGCTCACTACATAATGCAGACTGTATAAGGGTTCACAACCGCGTTCAGGCCATTCGCCTGCTAGATATGCAGGTGACGTGCTACAGTACTTATATGCCCCCCAGCTTAAGCCAAATCGAGTCAGAAAGGAGTTCGACAACCGACCTGAAGGTGTTAAGGAAAATGCCCGCCGTTACCGTGCTTTGGACACTGCCCAATGCGTGGTCGATGTTGGTCACATCAGCTGGATCTGCCATGCAACCCACACGAAATGCGAGAACCACTGGCCATTGTAGCAAGGGGATATATCTATCATGAAGACATAATGATCGCGTTATTGGTCACTATCATTGTTCCTATTGAATAAGTCCAACAGCTGATGATGATGTCTGAGATACTGTACTTAGCAACACATCTATTGGCCTATGTATCATCAGAAGCGAAGTACTCTGAGTTGGAGTCGTCCTGCCAGCCATTAATACACATGCTTGTCTTATCTTCCATGTCCCTCAACCACTTCTCAGACAGTTTACGGTGAGGATGCTGCTCGCTAAGCACCCTCTCCCGAATCCTGACCACTTTTTGCATGATCTGTATAGCGACAGAGGGTTGGTCTAAGTCCCAGAACAGGGCAGCTAAGTTATGTTCTGATGTCAGTCGAGATGGATGGTCTTCCGCCAGCGTCTTTTCTTGGATCATGACCACCTATTCTAGTAATGTCATCACCTTCTCGACTTGTTTATTAACTTGATATGCTCTAGCCAGCTCGTGCTGTGAGGCTAGTCGAGATGGATGGTCTTCTGCTAATATCTGTTCTCTGATCTTGACTATCTGTTCTAATAGTGTCATTGCCTTCTCAACTTGTCCATCATTTTGATATGTCATAGCCAGCGCGTGTTGTGATACTAGTTGAGATGGATGGTCTTCTGTTAATATCTGTTCTTGGATCTTGACTATCTGTTCTAATAGTGTTGTCGCCTTCTCTACTTGTCCATTATCTTGATATGTTGTAGCTAACACGTGTTGTGATATTAGTCGATCTGGATGGTCTTCTGCTAATATCTGTTCTTCAATCTTAACTATCTATTATAATAGTTTCATTGCCTTCTCAACTTGACCATTATCTTTATATGCTATAGCTAGTGCATGCTGTGATTCTAGTTGATCTGGATGGTTTTCTGCCAGCGTCTGCTCTCGAATCGTGACCACCTGCTCCAGGACCGTCACTGCTGCTTTACTTTTTGTGCATTGATTTAAGTAATCACCGTAAAGGCCGTACAGAGGAAGCCATTTCTCAGTCACAGTCAAGTCATCCAGATTCAACCATATGAACAGCTGCCGCATCAGTGTAAACAGCTCTGTGTCGATCTGTAGAAGATTAAGTATCCACCCACACCGAAGAAGGATGCGGACGATCATGAGTTGTAACTCATTGTCGAACATTACGCTCGTCCCCACGGACACTAGCGCCTGGAGGTGAGGCCGCAGTTGTGTTTGTCGCTCCTGCCAGAACGACCGCCTCGCACTCAACCACCCCTCAGTAGTTACGGCGATTACGCATCCTGTCCTCAGCCACGACTGGCGTTGCAGCTTCGGTTCCTGGCGGTCTTTGGCCCAAGCATGTGTCAGCGCATGCATGGAGACGCTCATGGTGTCCCCGGCGCCGTTGACGACCACGAGCGAGTATACTTCGAGGAGACGTACGGCCTCGACCAAGCGAAAAGAGTCCCATGCCCCTCCATCAGCTTCCAGCAGTGGCAGCAACTGCGAAACATGCCACATAACTAGGTGGTCCACCTATTATCCTCCGCAGTAGCTTTACATGGGATGAGCTTCGCACCTTCCCAAACAACTTCGAACAGAGATAGTGGCAGCGGAGTCGAAGCGAGCATGGCGAGCACAGGCAGGAGTTGCAAGGCGTCGCTGGCGGCTTCCTTGTGTGACGACTGGAGGACGTCGGCCGAGGCTTCGAACGTGGCATAGACGTCGCCGTACCGCGATTGTGCCTGTTCAGGCCGAAACGAGAGCAGCCGTTTGCGTTGCCGGTGGAAGACCGAGGGGTAGGCCGCGATGGAGCAGTGACCGCGTGACACGTAGGCGCCCGCCTGGATCAGCGCCAGGGGATGACCTTTCAGCAGAGATGTCGCGACAAAATCCGCATCCTGCTTGCAGGCTTCGTGTTGGGATCGAGGGATTTGGGCCGCTTGCAGAAATAGGTTGCTGGCATCATGCGGGAGAAGTCCATCCAAGGTGATTGATTTCCTCGTGGCATATTGGTGGCACTTACTGTTGCGAGATGTGAGGACGATTACGCCGGTGCAGCCGGTCGGAAAGTATTGTTGGTAGTCGACGTCTCTGGCGTCAGCATTATCAAGAATGAGAAGCCATCGATGTTTGATGTTGGCCAGACTTTGACGCACATCATCGATGCTGGGCGCAGGGAGATTCAGTCGACTGCCAATAGCCCTGAAGCCGCTTTCTGCCAACGCCACCTTATCCACGTCGACCCAGAACACGCCCCAAAATCTAGTGTATGTATTTCAGTGGGAGTAAGCCAAAAAAAACAATATCAGCAGACCTACGATGAGCGCACCCGGTCAGCCACATGCAGGCAGATCTCACTCTTGCCTTGCCCGCCCATCCCAGTGACCACGATCCGACATTGGTCCATGCCCGTATCGTCTTGCAGGGCATTCTGCACCACTTCTGTGATCTCTGTAACAATATCTGCGCGACCGGTAAAGTAAGGATTGGTCACTCGAGTGATCGTCCAGTGCACGTTTCGACTCGTGCTGTTAGAGCCTGGGAAAAAATAACAAAGTCAGTACGAACCCTCTTACACATTACAATGTGCCTGACTTACCCACAACAGAATTCATGTAGGTCAACAGCTCTTTCGCACACCCGGCGGCCACCGCCGCGCTGTAGGCATGCCAGTCATCGTTCTTGTGCGAGTCGGCGTAGTCGGAGATTCCTCGAATCACGACGCACCGAAAGTCATTCATCAAGCCCGCCGCTTCCATCTCAAAACACAGCGCTCCGCCGGCGTCCTGGGCGATCTGGTCCCTCTTTTCAGCGTTCTTTCTACTCGGTTACCTGACGCAATCAAGCCGTAGAAGATCGTCGGCGTGTCCCTTGCCCGAGGCGGCCTCTCCACCACTTGGCTGTGATCACATTTCTGACAGGTGGTTTCACCTGATGCGTGCTTGTTGGTGGGCAGAAAGAGGACATCTTTTGCGGTGGTTAGACGACGGTACTCGTCAAGTCCTGGATATTTCCTAATCATGTCGTCCAAAAATGTCGAAATCTGGTTGGCCTTGGTGCGATGGGCTGACTTCATATCGACCACACAGGTTCGCCAGCTGGTGGGCGGAGGCTCCAGAAACCCTTTGCGCTCGAAGCCCGTGGGGGTCTCCTTGCCCAAATCATACTGCACCACACCCCCATGCCCTCCCGAGGGCATGCTGACCACCACGTCTCCCAGCCGAACGTCGTTCTGCACGCTCGGCACGCCCCCTCCGATCCCCACCAGCAGACGCAGCGTGGCCTAGGGGAATGTCCGTTTCATGTCCGTGGCCACGGTGGCCGCCGCGCCCACTCCTTGTGAGCCTTCCGGGAGGAACCCGATTACCACGTTGTGGCCACTCATGCGACCACAGATGTAGCGGTTTGAGTCTCCCTCTTTGTTCGGCAGCCGAGCGTGTTCTTCGTTCAGCATGTATCTCACCGCACTTACTTCCACCTCCAAGGGACAGATGATGGCCACGCCGTAGTCATCGTGTCCCAGCTTCTTGAGGGCAGGGAGGGCAGGTTGTGCCATAGCATTGGACAGTGCAGACGTAATCGAATGATCGGGTGGGCGTCGTAACCACAGGCGAGGCACCAGAGGTGAAGTCCGATAAAGAGTTCAATATCACAGAATGAACTGAACATCAGGCGAAGTTAACACGCTGGACCGCATGGATGGTTGGGCTAACTCGGATCGAGCTGCGGCAGGAGACGCAGCAAATGGGTGACTCAGCCTACTTGCCCTGATTGGTGGTCAAAATGCCCAACCAGCACATATATCGCTAAAGCAATACATCGGACGGCACCAGAAACAGTTGAGCGCACAGCTGTATGATAGATGGTTTATGCTCCGAATAATACTACAGCTCGTGTGTCGGGATGACAAGAGGAGTGTTGGAGCAGCTATACTGGCCAAACTCGGTAGCATATCATGGTGTTCAATAGTCGTCACGGCCAAGTATATAGCGGCGACTTCGTGCCGTACTTATGAGCGCAGATTCGTACGGAAGCCATATCAAAGCTACTATACTACGTAGATTTGCATCACCACAGCATCGGTACTACTGTCACTGAGTTGCTGTGCGTATGCTTAGTCCATAGAAGTATCCCAGGTTGCCATTAGGTGCCCTCTAGGCTACTTTCAGGTTGCATAGAATATTCTAGATCCTTGTTAACCGAACGAACTTACAAAGCGTTCTGAATAGGACCTTTGTATTCTGGGGAACCGGATTCCTCTGTGTGTGGAAACTGATTCGGCTCCATCTGCTGCTATGTTTCATGTCTGGGGGCTGAAACAGGCTCTGCAGCCGCATTCTGGCGCAGACGTACGTAGTAGTATGGGGGAAGGCATAGATATTGTTAGGCTGGCGCTAGTAACGATTAGTTCTTGTTGCTTCGCTACAGTGCTGCGGTTCGTTATTGTAAAGCTTGACTTATGTATATTTTATGATATCCCCATGATAGATTGGATACTTCAGGGTGAAAAGGTCAGCCTAACCCCCGTGGCGGTGAGCCCGGGTTGAGCCAGAGCGGCCCGGATGCCCGAGGCCTCACTCTAACTAGGCCCAGTCCAGAGGTGAGGTCGATGCAGACTTCACTTCTCTTGGCGACTCGTTCCAATCACGCACAGATATCATGAGGAAGCAATGGTTGTCAATTTGGGGGCTTCTCACACAAGGAAGCAATAGTACGAGAAGACCCAGTCTGTCATATGATACTGAATGGTACCTTGCTGCAATGCAACCAGGTTATTCCCTCAATCACTCAGGCTCCAGTAATTTTCCTCTCGTCTGCCCGCATCAACTTGACAGGACAAGTTCTATAGTAAAAGCGAACTCATCCGCAATCGCAAACGGAACATGGTATGGAAGGCTTTCAAAATGGTACAGATTATGCAAGGCGGCTTCAGGCTGCTAAAGCTACCATCAGGTCTTTTCCCTTCCCGATCTTGGTCGCTTGCTGTCGTTGAGATCACCTCTCATCGTTTCTCTCATTGCCAACCAGGACTAGTTTCCAGTCTATTAAATGCAGAATGCTGAGTTCAGCCAACTATCCACCGACAAATAGCTCGCCACGACGATAGGAGAATCGGTAACTAGTGTAGCTAGGCCGGGTGTGGTGGAGGTGATATTTGACTCCTTACACCTTCCTAACCTTGTTCCCTTATTCCGAGTATCACGCTATGGTCACCATCCCCTTCTTAATACTTTATAGTGTAATACCTACGCAACACCCAACTTCCGAGAGCCTCGCCAACTTTTCGAATGTGCTGGGTACGTAAGGGATACCAGGATTGCGGAAGGTCGTGAAGAGCGTTCGCTGCTGAGTGCTCAGCGGAACTCACTGTGGTGATACTGTCTGAGCGAGACTTAAGCCTTCCGCATCACATGGTGCATTGGATAGCGGCGTAGAAATTGTCTTCAAGGGGGGACGAGGCGTACCAGGATGTTCAGACGTACCAGGATGTTCAGGCGTATCAGGATGCTCAGGTGGATTCAATCGAGGAGATTCGGCAATACGTGAGTCGTGGTCAGGCGGTTCGTCTACCTCAGCCTCCTTGAGGTTCTCAGAATCAATGCGTAGTCCCGAGTGAGTCACCTCACTTCGTGACAAAGGTTCTGCCAGCGGTTCACTCAAAAACCAGCGAACAAAGATGTCCAACCAGTCTTGAGTGAGCTCGCGAAAGTCGAAAAACTCGCTGTAGCGTACCTGCAATCGCCCAGATTCTGGAGGCATGTGCGCTTGAACAATACAGCCTCTGCTGCCATACAATGACAACATCAGGACCTGCAGAATATTAGTTTCAGGCAAACCTTCTCAAGGGAAATGCGAAGCACAAACGGGAAAAACCTCATGTTCAGAATACTTCTTGCACCACATCCTGGCAATCATTAATCCCGTCAATATCATAAGCTCACTTCGTATAGGTCCAGTCACATCCATGATTTCGTGACAAGCCATGCAAGATCGGTGTGGAAGGCTGTTTGTTGTTCCGAAGAGCTCTAAGAGCTGCCAATCGCTCTGTCTGGTGGGGTCGTTTCCACAAGGATATCTGCCACTGTCCAGCTCGCTAAGTCGGCATTCTAAGCCAGGCGATAACCTTCGTAGTGCGAGTTTTATTAGTTTTGCAGAAGCTTGTTTGCATCAGCATGACTTACCCGTTGGGCTCCCACTGCGTTGATTCGTACGCTGCTCAGACATCATCATCTCTCGAACGACAAAGTTGATCATTGATAGCAGTTTGGACCATGTAGGCATCGGCGTTAGAAGGGTAACGGTCGTCTTCCCAGAATGGAATCTGATACATATCTGGCCGTTTGTCGAGGGAAGACAAACGTTCCTGAGACATTGGACGAAAATATGGACCGCCTTGTAATGTTTCCTGGGCGATATTGAACTGCGAGATATCGACCCCAATGTCGTACAAGTATGCGATGCTGAAATAGGGATTCATACTACCCCGAACGGAAAGGAAAAGGTCTTGGAGCTTGCCGCGCAGGATTTCGCGCCTACTCATTGTATGCTTCGACATCATGGAAGTAAAAGAGCTCGAGATAAAGTAATGCTGAGCACTATGGATGGTGCAAATAGACTCTGTTCTCGTTGTTGATTGCTGATGAATTAGAAGCGGATTACGCTAACCGTTCATTAACAACCAATTAGAGAGAGAACACATTGCAGAAAACAATGCAGATGAAGACGTGGATACAGTTGAAGTGACTCCGAGACCAGTCCAAAGAGAGCTTAGACCAAGAAGAATGTTTCTTATTAACCATCAACACCCATGTCCAATACTTTCCATATCCTATTGCCGGTCCACCTTGGTAATAAAATCGAGATCCACGCATGTTCTTCCGCAATCGACCATAGGACATGGAAACCAGGGCTTCCCGTTCGCTCAGCCGTACTTAAGTTATGTGCCGGCCGGTTAGTAGTTGGGTGGGTGACCACCAGCGAATACCGGCTGTTGATTGTTTTTGTCTCTTTTGTTAGCTGCGTTTCCACTAATTTGTTCTTGGAGCGCCAATTGGATGAGAACGTGAATAACCATCGACTTGTTGTCTCAGGGCATCTAGGAAAGCTAGACTGCTTCTGTTTTTAGAGCTCGGCATATTAAAGAGAGCTAGCGCACAGAAAGCATCACTGGGTTTTTCGGGCCTGGGTTACATGCGGTGACTCGGTGCCATCCTCCCAGAATTCGATCTCTTCTTCTCCTTCGTTCCCCACCAACTGTCCATTCCTGATTCCCAGCTTTCCCTTTTTCAACTTCTCACCATGCCTCTGCATAATATCCACCAGATCTCCCCCTTGGTCAGTAAAAATCCTTAGATGATCTGAGACCACATGTCTGTTCTTGCACGATGGGCATGTGATGAGGGTCGTGCCTTTGTGGAAACCTTGCTTTGTAACACGATGAGGACCGGAACGAGATGAGCAAGGTTTGCAGGTGAAATAAATTTCGTAGGCTGGATGGTCGGCAGTTGGGGAAGATGAGGCTGGTCCTCTTGAAGATGGTGAAGCGAACGAAGAAGGAGCGGTAAGAGTAGTGTTAGAGCGCATAATAGGTGCAGATGCCCATGGTCGTTGTCGAGGCAGATGGCGGGAAGGGAGCATTGGAGCTTTCGAGGAGCAGCGAGGTGAATGCAAGGCGCGACATGTCGTTGATCGTGGGATATTCATTCGGGGAGTCGAGAAATAGGCTGCTCTCTCAAGCCATGACGATCTGGTGTAGGCGCGCATTATGATGATTTCCGGGTTGGCTACGAGATTGTCGCGGACAGAGTTTGGAGAAGGCGATCATAAAGATGATGGTGTACTCCGTAGGCGCAAAACTACGTAGTAAGGTTTTTGGAGATGCTTGGCATGTTTGCCTTTTGGAGATCCCCACGATCACGGTGGTATGGATCGACTAGAGGTTCAAGATTGCCTGCTTTGAAGACCGTCTGGCAGGCTTAGATGAATGCCATCTCTACGCATACCTCGAACACTCACCCCCAAATCTCGGCCCTGTTCCGTTTGTGTCTGACCGTGCTCGTCTACGAGTTCACCCTGAAGGAGAACGTCGGGCTTCCACCGGCCCACGATAGCCAAACTCGTCGCAGCTTACTACACCCGTTTGTTGCCGCGTTGCAGTCTCGAGGTGGTGCTATACGGGGTAAACACGCGTCGAAGGCGATACAGTGTCAGATATGTCAACGTTGTCATCCAGAGGAAGAGGGAAGATCAGAGCCCCGCGAAGGGTAGGTGACCTCAACCTCACTTACATCTGCAGCTAGCCTCCTTGTTGGTTGCAATTTGGCTTTCATGATCTCTCCCTGTTTTGGAAGTGTGCCCCGACCACGTTATCTTCTTTGTACCCTTACTACGCATATTTCTCACAACAACTCTTATTTCACGTTCAAAGTGTTTTATAAAGCTGATAATGGCGCCATGGCAGGGTCTCACGAACAATGATACGGTTGACTTCGATGTCACTTGGGGCATCCTCGAGGGTGCGCTCAGAGAAATACACGCCAAGAATGCCTCCAAGCTGTCTTTCGAAGAACTCTACCGGAATGCCTACAAGCTGGTTCTGAAGAAGAAAGGTGAAGAACTCTATAACCGGGTTAGTGGGCTCGAACAAGAGCTACTGAGAGAGAATGTGCGGAGCAGGGTAGTGCAAATGGTCACTTCACCTCTTATCCTCGGAGCAAGTGGTGAGCAAGTTGGGGGTCAGGCACATCAGCGGCGAGCAGATGGAGAGAGATTCTTAGGAGTTCTCAAGAATGCTTACAAAGATCATGATATCTGCATGAAGATGATCACCGATGTTTTAATGTATATGGTGAGCTGCAATACATTACCCATCAATCTGCTGATAAGGATTTTCGTGCTTACAATACATTGATCAGGAGCGCACATACTGCCAGGATCAGCGCCATCCATCAATATATGCCATGGCGATGGCTCTTTTCCGAACGCAGGTGCTTCGTTCTCCAGCTACCGACCAGTCTGATATAAATGTGATGGCAATCCTGGAGAGTGCGATTCTTGACATGATTGCTATGGAACGAAAAAACGAGATTATAGATAGACCGCTGATCCGAGCTTGCATTTGCATGCTAGAAGAGCTTTACGAGACCTTTCAAGAAGAAGAGAGCTCGAAGCTTTACTTGACCTCGTTCGAGCCAAAGTTTCTCGAGTCAAGCAGGATATTCTATCACCGCGAAGGCCAAGATTTGGTTGCGAATGCTGATGCGGGAACATTTTGCCGTCATGCCCGTAAACGATTGCGAGAAGAGGATGAGCGATGCCAACAAACACTGTCAACATTGACGGACCAAAAGATTAAAAGTGTCGTTGACAAGGAGTTGATTGGAGCACATATCCGCGATGTGATCAACATGGAAGGGACGGGCGTGAAACACATGCTCGACAACGACAGATTGGAAGACCTCTCAAATGTCTTTGATTTGAATTCAAGGGTGGATCCGAAAAAGGCAGCTCTGAAAGACGCTGTGCAGAAGAGAATTGTTTCCCTTGGTTCGGAGATCAACAACATGAGTTCTGGGGCTGTGGTTCCGCCGCCAAACAATGCTTCTGAACAAGCAAAGAAGGAGGAAGGAGAAAAGGATAAAAATGTCAATCAACAGACAGCTTCCGCTATCAAATGGGTAGACGATGTTCTCACACTAAAGACCAAATATGACCGGATATGGGAAGAAGCATTCAAGAAAGATTCAAACATGGAAAAAGCTCTTGAGTACAGTTTCCAGGAATTCATCAACGCCAACCAACGCAGCTCGGAACACCTATCACTCTATCTCGATGAATATCTGAAGAAGGGCGCGAAGGGCAAGACAGACCTGGAGGTTGATGCAAACCTCGACAAGGGCATCCTGCTGTTGCAATACATTCAGGACAAGGACCACTTCGAAAACTACTACAAAAAGCACTTGTCCAAGCGGCTGTTGCAGAGGAAATCTGCCAGCATGGATATCGAACGGCAGATGATCTCGAAAATGAAAATGAAGGTTGGCAACACGTTCACGCAACGACTCGAGTCCATGTTTAAAGACATGGCGTTATCTGAAGATCTCACTAAACAATACAAAACACATGTGGCTGAACTAGGCGACCCCGACACGACTCGGATCGATCTTGAAGCCAGCATTCTTACGACAACCATGTGGCCTGTTGATAGCATGGTGAGACGTAACGAGGACGGGTCGACCAAGACCGCATGTATCTATCCGCCGGTCGTGGAAAACGCTCGGAAGAGATTCGAGCATTTCTATCTAAAGAAGCATAGCGGTCGAACGCTATCCTGGCAGCCACAACTTGGAAGTGCCGACATTCGCGCAACTTTCACAAAACCGGATGGCAAGACCAAACGGCATGAACTGAATGTGTCGACATATGCAATGGTCATTTTGCTCCTATTCAATGACTTGCCGGCTGATCAATGTCTGAGCTATGAGGAAATCCAGGCACGAACCTCAATCCCTGAGAATGAGCTTTGCCGAAATTTACAGTCACTGGCAGTGGTACCAAAGACAAGAATATTGAAGAAAGATCCCATGAGCAAAGAAATCAAACCTGGAGATAAGTTCTACTTCAACGAGAGCTTTACGAGTCCATACATGAAAGTCAAGGTTGGCGTGGTCAGCAATGCGGGCAGCAAAGCAGAGAACAGCGATGAGAGGAGGGCGACGAAGAGAAAAGCTGATGAAGAGAGGGGTACCACGATCGAGGCGGCGATCGTCAGAATAATGAAGTGGGTAGCTTGCTATTTCGATATCTACCGCGATACTGACCTAACCCTAGGCAACGCAAACACCTTCCCCACCAACAGCTCATCGCGGAAGTGATCCAGCAGTTGGCCAACCGCTTCCAGCCCGACGTTAACATGATCAAGCAGAGGATAGAAAGCTTGATGGAACGGGAATACCTGGAAAGGGGCCCAGATCCGAGTAAACCTTCTTACACGTATCTTGCTTAGATGAGCTCATGACGTCTTTTTCGTTGGCATGGTAAAGCGCTTTCAAGAGTTATGCAGGTTTTGTGGGTCTTGAGGTAAGGTGCATTTAGCGAAGTCAATGGTTTGTGGGCATGATGGGAACGTGGGACTCAGGGCATGCGATGTGTTGCCGAATCGGAGTCTACCACAGAAAAGGTCGACCTTCGTGGAAAGGCGAATTCTCCAAGGCGAGATAGATCCAGCAGGCTTGGGAAGCTCAACGGTCAAAGGAGACACAACTCGAGTAGACATCTCAATCAACGAGCATACAACGCTCATTCTTTCCTGACTCGGGACCAATTCCTGCATTTATGCAAACACATTGAGCAGTCCGATCACTTCCATTCTACCCAAATCCCAAACATCTCATACAGCGTCGACCCATCAATCCCAGTTTTCCGTCGACCTCCCCGCCTCGACCTCCTCCCTCCAAATCGTCTTCTCCTCCTCCGCCCGCCCAGGACCCATATACCAACTCCCATACAGACCACTCGCCCACTCCTTACCCACACCATTCCTGTCCTTCGCCTTCTTCGAATACCACTTCCCATAGATCAACAGGTAATACAGGCGGAAACTGAGGAGTGCGAATTTATCCCTCTCCAGATCCTCGGGGTAAGTCGCGCCGAGGTTAACCGCGGCGGCAATGCCGGAGATGACGGCGACCTCGTGGGCGTTGACGAGGGTCCAGGCGGCGGCGAAACGGGTGTGGTTGCGGCCCTGGAGCAGCCAGAGCCAGGGGACGACGAAGATGTAGTGGGTGAAGGAGTGGCAGAGCTGGTGCCACCAGTCCTCGCGGATGATCTTGGCCTTGTCGATCTCGTCGATGGACCAAAGGTGCGAGTCGCGCGCCTTGTTGAGGAAGATGGTCTGGAAGACGTGGTTCTCGAAGGGGACCTTGTGCGGGAATTGGGACTGGTAGTTGGAGCAGTCGAAGCACATCTCGAGCTTGGACGGGTCGGTCGGGTACTCTTTGATGTAGTACATCGGTTTGTAGTTCGTCTGGCCGTAGGTGTTGCGCGTGGATTGGTCGACCATGGAGAGGCTGGTCACGGCGCGCTCCGGGCTGTAGAAGTTTTCGTAGTGTTTCCTCATGTAGGCCGTGTCGGTGTGGGTGATGGTGATGTCGTCGGAGAATTTGGCGGAGCCGAGGACTTTGCGCTCGCGGAAGGTGGAGCTGCGGGAGAGGAGCCGGTTCGCTGTGTCGGCTCTGGATGGGGTGGTTAGTGCGGGAGGGATTGAGCCGTTGGGGGAGGAGAGAGGAAGAGGGAAGGAAGTGCACTTACAGCACGCAGAGAATGAGCTCGTCGTATTCTTCCTCCCATTCTTCGCCAGGGAGATTTGCAGGGTTATGGTTGTCGGGGGAGTCGATGTCTCCACTGACGGGGTTATGGTTACTCTCAACTGGGGTTCTCTTGATGAAAGAGACGACAACGCCATCTTTGTCGCGCTTGACTACTGAAGTCATCTCGGTGGATAGTCTGACGTGGACTCCATTCTTCACCAAACTCTTCCGCCATGTCTCGTAGAAGTCACTGAAATTGGGAAACACGACCATGGGTGGTAAATTGCTGGCCACAGACTGCTTGTCCGCCGGATACCACATGCCGTACGTCGGACTCGTGCATAACCTCTCCAACATGATACTGGGTGTTTCTGGGGTAGCATTTCCAGTGCCGAGAAACAGAGCAGTCATGGGCAGAGCAATGAAGTTGATGAAATCGTCCGAGAAGAAGAACAGCTTCAACATAAGCTTCAACGGCATGAGCGCAAAGAAGATCTCGAACCAGCGAGCAATCTTCAGAACGGTAGCGAATCGCCTGATCTCCTTCTGGTGCTTGGCCAACAATTCGGTAGGAAAGACATTGTTCCAGAACATCTCGTCTTTACCAAATGAGACCTGGAGCTTGACTGGATCGGCATGATAGCCTTGACGGGCAAACATGGTCATGGTGTGGTGGAAGATGTTGCTGCCACCTTGCACGCCTTGGTTGAACCAGGAGGCGCCATGCTTATTCTTGTCGATGGGCACCGCGAAGGCCTGGCCGCCGCAGTAATTTACCGAGTCAACCAGCGTGACTTGGAACTTCTCTGGATGCTGAGCCAGATGGTGTGCAGCAGACATTCCTTGGGAGCGTCAGGGGTGGTCGACAGAACTAGTAGGGATCAATGTAGGTATTACCTGCTGCCCCTGCTCCCACCACCAACACTCTCTTTCTCCCATTGCTCTTCTTGGCCGACATTTTGGCAAACAGTTGGGAATACTCCGTACAGGACGGTGCAATGCGTCAATGCATGTTCATATGTGCCATGAGACGGGATAATATCATCAAGCAGTACTTCTCTCGGTGGTTGGCACCATGACGCTGACAAAGGAATGTTGACGTCATTCATCCAAAAAAATCCAAACAACTTACCTCTTTCGGCCTCTTTCGGTTCCCCCGATTGGATGTGCTCGTCTAGTACTCATCAATGAGTGAAACTATCATGCACACGCGCGATACTATCAACATGGCTATCATGACGCGTTCTACAGGAAACAGCCACGGTCTCTTTTGGGAAAGCGGTCCTCTTGCTCATCTAAATCTCGAGATTCCTTCTGATAAACCGACACCCAAGTGCCAGCAGAAGAAGTTATGTAACCAGGGGCAACCACCACCGACCTTCAACAGCAGAGTCGGTTTGGACATGGTCACCTCACAGAAAAATGGAGATATTTTCAAGCTTAATCAGTCAGCAAAAGTGAATTTACAAAAAGAAAAGCCCAGGCATCAGTTGCATATTGATGCGAAAAGGGGAACTGTGGAGCAGGAGGAAGAAAATGGCTCTGTTCGTTCAAGAAAGCTGCGCAGGGCGCAAAAATAAGTACAAATTTGCTGTACGGCACAGCGAAATTGGCCGCGAAATTGCAGCAGAAATTGACCAATCAAAAGCAAGAAAAACGCAGGGATAGCGCGTATGAAATGCGGTTAACAGGAACTTTTTATTTCTACAAAAATAATGTCTTCAGAGCGTACAATCTGACTATATCCGTATCTTGTTTGCCTCAGTGACAGACTTAATCAGGTTCCTATCTGTCTGCGAATGTTCCAACGTCGGCTATCCTCAGCGAGGAAACCCAAATGCTCACTAACTCAGGCCCCTGTTGCGCTCCCTTCGTGTGAAAGAGTGTTCCGAGGACGACTCTCAAATCAGTTCAGCTTCTCCTGGAACAAGGGTTCCATTTTCGACGGCTCCTCCATGGGCTCGTGCAGTGACCCCATATGCGGGTAAATACTGTCAAATCAGTCTCTACATGCTCTTGGGATACCTGGAAAGCACCTACCTGATCCAAGAAAGGTAGAACCTCCGCTGTGCCTGGAGTATTCCTCCAGTCTCTCATGAGATCCATGGCTATTGCGAACATTCCCATCTGAAGGTGTCTTAGCAACCAGTCAAGTTCCATGATGCTTGACTCACCAAATGTACTCCAGCTTGCTCCATGCGTCTGTTCGCATCCTCCGCCAGTATCGGCGTGAATGTTCCGCTTGCGTCAGTATTGGCCCAGACAGAATAGCCAGCTTCTCTAAGTGATAGCGCGAGGAATGCGGTACCTAGTGGCGTGTGAGTGAGATATGTAAGAGAGCTATTGAAGCGAAAGTGCAACGTACAAACTTCGGTCACAATGCCAGCGAGGACCACCTGCTGTTTGCCCGTTGCTTCGACTGCTGCTCTGAATTCCGGATTGTCCCAGGCGTTTACCTCACCATTCCTTCGGATATATGGCGCCCGAGGATGCATCTCAATGATTTCCCTGGGCAAGGGGCCATTTGGGCCTGCCAATTCGTATTTAGGAACAGTTTGCTTAAGGTAATAAAGAAGCTTTACCTGTCTCAGCAGATGTCGTCAAAATGGTCGGCAAACTGAACAAATTCCCCAATGCAGCGTGGGCAAGGACATTGTTCCTGAACTCGGTTGGGGTGAAGTCTCTGACCAGCTGGGTCAAGCCAACCTGGTGGTCGACTACAAGAAGCACTGGAGAAGGTGAGATCTGCACACTGGAGAACCGCTCACGGTGACATACCCGTGTTGTTCTTCTCGAGTCTCTCGAAGGTATATGCTACAAATTCTTGGTGTCAGCTCTTTCCCCTGCTTCAAGTTCAATCAGGATCATGCTTACTCACCATTGACTGCGGCAGCAGCAATAAGCCCAATGCTGAGGACGTTGTAGAGTTTCATGTTCTCAACTGTTTACGACACTGAAACGGCACGAAAGGTTTTTGGCAGGTTCAAGAGGCTTAGCAGATGGAAGACAACCGATGTTCGTTTCTTCATGGAAGGACAAACTCCAGGAATTTATATTCAGCAGCAGAGCAAGTCTCCTCATCCATTTCTTGCCCCTTGGTTCCACTCCCACCCCTGGCCGCACGGGAACGTGGGAAGCGAGAGCACTCGTAAGGGATTCATAATGGCTACGTTTGGCTTAGAGGTGCAGTTTCGATGTCTTCATCAGCAATTGGTAAGTGCAGCGTTTGATGCTGCGGGATGTCCGGATAACCAGGCTAGGAGATAATGATTCGGACCGAGGTTCTAAGCTGGCGTTTTCTTGAGGTTACATCCCGTCGATCCATTTTATTGGTTACAATGAGGCCAGGCCCTTGGATGTAAAAAACTGAGCATATCCCGCTTCAATGATTCAGCGTCTTCTAATCCATTAGAGCTGTTTTGCACCGCTGTTTTGTGGGGCATCTGCAACGTTGTAGTCCTCGTACGGAGTAGCTTCAAGATAGCGGATACATGCCGTTGTCGGTGGCTTTTCGTAGTTTTCAGCCATCTCAAAAGCAGTATAGACTGCGTACGATGAAATTTAATCATGCATGCGTGCCTATACTACTAACGATACGTGGCATAAGTATCCCTAGTACGGCGCTAGTATCTGCCACTTCGAACACGATGGATACAGATAGCTCTGTTGATCTTGTACGGCCATTTCCTGTTAATGCTAGGGATCAAACAAGCAAACTAATCCCAATTGGGCGATGTCTGGGCACCTTATCCTCACTATGGCAAGGCGCTGATACGTGCCGTTGTAACTTTACAAGGTCTTTCTAGCGCTGTGTTAGGGATACTTATGCCTTTCCTGTAGTATAGTTCTATGCATCATTCATGAGTGCGCATACGCTTGTAGCTTGGCAGATACCGCTGAATTTAGCTTAGCGTATATAAAGATCGTTAATGAAGTATTGCTACATCTATTTATCCTCCTTGAAGTTCTCTCTCAAATTGATAATTATACTAGCTACCAAAGACAACAGAAGCAGAGGAGCAGTCGTTAAGAACAAGATAGTTGCTCTAAAGGCTGTACGGAGTCGTGCACCAAAAGTAGTGCAAATACTGTACACTAAGGATATATGTGCCAAGAGGTGTACTCTTGACAATCAGGTCATGACTCCTCCTCCATAAGCATGATAAACTTTGGACCTGCTGACGCTTGAGCAGTAAGGCTTTAGATGGCCCTTAGCCTCTAATTAGCTTTTTGATTTAGTAGGGCTAATGTGCCCTAGAATGATGGTTGCTTAAGGGACAGAGTAGTGGTATTTCCTATGGCGTTTAGGCTCGCTATCCCTTCGTCTCCTGCAAAATGGCCCTTTTAGCGTCAATTAGTGGCAATGCTAGCAGGGGGCCTCTTGTGTATCAAATTGCTCCAATTCTGTAAAATACTAGTTAGTAGAAATAGTGCTTATGAAATGCTCGGGGCGCGCGCGCAGCGCAGCGAATTTCGCGAATTCTACTCCTTCGTATGATATCGCTGCCAGCAGGGTCCTTTGACGCATAACGGTACGTTTCATTGTTTACAGCCTCTATAGCCCTTGGATTCGCGTAATGCGTGCGCTGCGCGCGAAATAGCGTCAGCTGTATCAGTATGTACGCTGTATTAATCAAATGAAGCGCTGCTGTCAATAGCAGGCAGTTGATTGGTAGCAGCAAGGATGTTGACGGATATGGCGTTGCGGCACTGATTTTTGTGCTAAAAGGGCACATGCAGGAGACGAAGGGATAGGCTTCAGCCCTGGAATGCTTAGAATGACACTACACCACTGCAATAAGTGTCAAGATAAATTTATCTTTTTATCTTGGCAAGCTATCTCTTAGCGTATTTGCACTACTCTTGGTGCACGACTCCGTACCAGCAACAGTAACATTATTATAACTTATGTCCGCACAAATTAAGCAATTCGCATTTTTGTAAGCTCTGCGCAGCTGATTCTATCTCAAAGTTACGTGGAACATGACTATTGACTATACGGTACTACAACACCAAGCCAGATTAGATATAGGGGTAATATTGCGCCTGTTCTACACCGAATGCAGCTAGCCACACGCACATTGAGTTTGCGTATGCATTAGCTGCAGAACAGCTCTAGTTAATTACAAAGGAAGAGAACCACACCCAGCTGAGCTTTACTCGCTGCAATCATTAGATGATCAATCCACCCGTTGGCCGAGAATCTAAGGACGATATACTGATACTCAGCTGACACACAGTGTCAGAGTATACACACCAATGCAAATTCGTGAGATGACTCTGTTCGCCGAAGACAACCCATGCATCCTATCGAGAGAACCTTCAAGGTGAAGCGGAAACTCTCAACGTTATACGTTGGCAACCTATTCTGGGTCTGAAAATGAAATGTGTTGAAAAACGAGATTGCCACAACTGAGCCATGTGTTGAGGGTTGTAAGATACAACCACTTTTCCAAGATTTAGCCCACCAGTAATAGGCTTGCTTTGGTAAAGTCCGCCAAAGTAATGTGAGGTCCGGCTGCGGGTAAAGCACACCTCCGTATGTTACCTCAATCAGTGAGGGGTACATCAATTGAGTGTGGTTCAAAACCCACAAACGCTGTCCTTTTGGCGGAGTGGTTGATGTGTCCCTTTTCTTCACGTAATTCATGGAAGCCGTTGAGGCGTGGTCCCATCGGCACGATGTTGTTGCGGGTCGTCCATGGATGCAGTACGGAGCATGACGCTAGCTTCCCTAATCATTTACAGGTGTTTTCAATCGTGATGTGGGAAGATGTAGTCCATGAGCTACATCAGCGAGCCATTGAAAAGAAGAAGTAAGCTTAACTGATGAATGCAGCATCAATACATGTTGAGCAACAGATGAATTAGAAGACAGAAAGGTGGAACAGCAGCGAGGCCTCCCGAATGCCACGACACCACTTATCGCAATATTGGGAATTATTCGTCTTCCGCCCCACGCTGTACACTAGTATTGCTGCTCCCACGGACCTTCCGCACCTGAGCTTTCATAATCATCCTTCCAGGTCTCTTCGATGGACTCCTTGGTTGTCGCCTTGATTCTAGCTAACCAGCGCTCGGACAATCCTTTCGAGAATCTGCGGTACAGGGTGCGCAGGTGGACAACGTCGACTAGGCAATACTCGATGATCGCTCTGCACTTGTTCTTCTCGGTGAAGCGATCCCACGAGCCGCCCTGATCTGGATTCCAGAGTTGCTTACCCACGTCCTTGATATGCAACCACTTGTTCTGAACCTCCATTGTCATGTCGATGCTGTAACAGATCGCTTTGAATAGTCCCGTGCGATACCGTGCTGGAGACTCGAAGGAATGCGACATGTCCGCAAGCTTGAAGAGTTGGACATCCAGGATACCGTCAAGTCTGATATCGAATTGATGGTACAAAGCTTCGGAGTCCTGACGGACGTCATAGATCAACTTCGGTGTCTCCGCTGACTCCAATATCCAGCGCAGGTTCTTTTCTTCATCTGCGCCACACGTGTCGAAGGCCTCGAGCTGAAGGGTATGGACGTCGACGATGTATGTGTGCTCGGCTTTGTAATCATGGATGATAAGTATATATAGCGGACCGTCGCGGCCAAGCTTCTTGCCTTCAAGGTCAACAGCAATGTTCGGCTCATCAATTGGTAGCGCTGTCAGAGTGTTGACCATTTCCGCTACTTTCTCTTTGGTGTCCACCACTGTGTATGAATTGTGCTGTTTATACTTCAGTCAGAATGTCATTTCCGGAGGCTCAAAGTACACACCGAGAACTCAGCAAGGGCTGCAACTTTCGGCCGAATCTGGTCTGCGACTGTAGTGATCTCGACGAAAAGAGATTTGGTCTTTATGCATAGACATGATTAGCTCGATTCACAACCAGCATGCAGGAGATCGAGACATACCTCCTCATTCATTGTGCTGAAAGCATCTGCAGGCAACTTGTTGAACTTTGTTGCAAGCTCGGCTATTTGAACCATGTCCGCACGGAACTCGTCGAGGTGGTAATCATCAAGAGGCTGGATGTTCTTTGGGTCTTTCATGTTGAACTCCGATGCTGCATCTGGCATCTCTTCCTTCACAACACATGAGTCTAAGTCCGTAGCTGTCTCCCAATGTGAGGAAGAGCCAGTGTTCTTGCCGCTTGACTCTCTCAGGCCCTCAGAAGAATCTCCAGCAAACATGTCCCCCCCACGACGTTCGGCTATAGCTTCGTCAACCGATTTAGGGACGGCGTGATCTATAAAGCCAGCTTGAGGTCGAGCCTCGTGCAGGCCTTCACCCCAGCCATTCTGGTCATCAGATTCCCAACCACGGCAATCGTCCTGGCCCTCTGTGTTCTGGCTGGTCTGGCTGGTCTGGCGTCCACTTCGCAGGTCCGCTAGCTCTCTATTGATTTCAGAGACTAGATGGCGGACATCACGAGCCTCCTGATATGCGTTTCCGGTATCCTGCCGGAGATCTTGAACCTCGTTGGAAATGTTATGGATGTCATCACGAACATCTTGGACTTGGTTACGAACTTCCTGGATGTCTTTGCGCACGTCTTTCATATTTTCAAGTATCTCTCTAAGTGCACTGAGGATATCTGGGTTGAAAGTCTGGACGTTTTGGGGCGGCACATCATCGATGTTATCTTTCCGTGGCGTTGAGCCCTGTTGGAAATTCTCAGCAATGAGGCGCCCTCAAGTATGGGGCATACAGTGGGCTTACACCAAGATCTTGATGATTACTCATCGTGAATAGCTATCTCTTTTTGCAAGGGTATTAGCTTTGGTGGACGATAGGTTGACAAGCTGTTCAGTTCTCGGTTCTGAGAATCGATTTCAAAGATGGATTATAGAAATTGTGGAAGCGAACTCGAAGCAGTTTGCCTGAAGGTACCGCATTTTAAAAGATTGAAAGCACTGGGATCGACCATGCCAGATTCGCTTGTGCAGGAGGTGTTCTCTCCCAACGGTTAGTGAAGGTGAAAAGAAGGGCCAGATGCTTACACATGGACTGCATATGGATATGAAAATACCGCCCAAGCAATGTGTTGACCAGCGAACACTTTCTATGGCATGGAAGAGAGAATTCACCAAGATCAGAAAGGTGGATCAAGAGCAGCAACTGCGGTAGTATGCTCTTCTAGACGAATGCACAGGAAGCTCAAGGTAGACCCTTTCCACTTTAGGCATATTCTCGCACTGATAAACCTCAGAAGCAGAGAAGGGCATGCTAGAAGGAGAAAGGAAGTCTCTGGTTATGGTGATACCATTTGTGAAAGCCCATCCTGCAAGTATATGATATGATATACTGAGTGCCAGCAATCTTAGGAAAGAGAGACAATTCTCAGACCCGTCTGGGCACACATGCCTTCTTGTACTTCAGCAAGCCTGAAGATAATCCCGTTTGTGAAAGAGCGGGAAAATTGTTGAAAGACAAACAGACAAACATTGATGGCAAATGAAATGGATGGAATCCGGTAGGAGCAAAGAACAGCTGATACGAAATTGTGAATTTGATGGCATTCCAGGTGTATGGTCATGGAAATGAGGTAGGCAATCTTCACTCTTTCTGACTTGTTTTGTCGTACAGAAGTTGTCTTCCCGTAACTATCATCCTACCTATTCCGCAATCTCCTTCAATTTGGGCATCTCACCAGGGAAAGACGTGTGCTTAAGCATTCTACTTCGTATTGAGCGGAACCGTTCGTGCGCAGTGAGCAGTGGTCTGGTGGTAGGTCCTGCTCCATTCCATTCCCTTTTCAGACATTGGAGCACCTACTTGGATGGTCTGGCAACCACCACTATGCTTGCACACTGGGCCAAACTTTAGGCACCTAAAGGACCTTCTGTTGTGCGATTAGGATGAGATCTGCTATGTGAGAAAGACAGTGGAAATGGCATGTTTGGATGACACTAACAGATTCATTCCCAGCCAATGGTGGGATGACTAAGCATTTACCTGGAATATTGCTGCTGAAATGGTCATCTCGGACTTGATCCTCCCAGAAAAGCCAGTCCCGAGAAATTACTCAGGCAGGATATCATTAAGATATGGAGAACAGATGACTAGATACGATCATTTCATTCCGAATAGGTCTTGCTACAAATATCCATACTCCTACATTCATATACACCAAAGCTGTGTAATAGCGGCATCTAGATCAAAGCTTGGCCCTTGAACATGGCGTTCTTCACCTCGGCCACCACATCCTTCCGATCATGCTTCCCCGTCAGCACGATACCCCTCCCTCTCCTGCCCATCCGTCCCATCCTCCCCAGCCGGTGCACGAAATCAATCGTTGTATGCGGCACATCATAGAGAATAACATGCCTCACAGCTAGGGTATCAATACCCCTCGATCCCAGATCCGTCGTAACCAGCACCTTTGTATTGGGTAGATGCCTCGTCGGCCTGCTCGGCGCCGCGTTCGGCGACGACAATGTGGTAATGATGGAATTCTGATCGAAGGGAATGAAATCCCTGAAATTCCTCTTCGACCTATCCGTCGCTGACGGCTTTTCCTCACCTTCAATTCTCGATGCAGAAGTGAATGCGGAGAGGACCTCCGCTTGGCGCTGCTCGGTCGTGTCGCGTGTCAGTGCTACGGCGTCGATGCCTTTGGAGGCGAGATATTGCGTCACTTCTACGGCTTTTTCGCGTTCGTTGACGAATACGAGCATACTTTTCACGGTGTGCGTTGATTCTGTGTCGTCGTGGACGGCTTTGCCGATGGTCCAGATGACGTCCGCGCATGCTAGGTTGCGATTGCCGCGGTAGGGGTCTTTTTCTATGTCTACCACGCCGAGTTGGACGCGGCGCGAGATGGAGTGGAGTTTGGGGGTGACGAGGCGTTTGATGGTAGGGAAGCGCTTGTCGAGGAAGGAGTCGAGACTCCGAGGGATGGTGGCTGAGCAGAGGATCAGCTGCTTCAAGGAGGGGGCGACGCGGTCGATGATGGCGGAAGTTGTGGGCGCGAAGGAGCGGTCAAGGAGGGAGTCGGCTTCGTCGATGACGAGGTGGGTGACGCGGCTAAGGATGTTGGGGTCTTTTTCTGCGATGCTGGAGATTAGATGCGGGGTCGAGACAATTATGTCGATGCCTTTTGGGTCGTAAAGGCGGTTGCGGATGCGATTGGGTGTATGGATTGCGGAAATGGGCGCGGAGCGGTATTTGATAGTGTGAGAGAGCAATTTGACGACGCCGCCTACTTGTGTTACGAGTTCGGAAGAGGGCAGGAGGATGATGGCTCGAGGACGAGCCATGGTTGAATGGGGCGGGTTTGACAGCTCTGGCGGGTCTAGGGCGAAAATATTCTTCTTTTGGTTTTCAGCCTTCTCTTTGTCCTCTCCTGCTTTTCTTGCTTCTTCTTCAGCTTTTTCGATGATCTCCTGGCGCTTGATTGCATCAACAACGGGGAGAAGGTACGCCAGCGTCTTCCCTGAACCGGTTTCGGCTGCGATCAAGAATTGACTATACTGTGGCCTATCACCATCCTTTGTCTTCCTCCTTTCATGCTCACCTTTTCTGCTTAGCAAGGCCGGAATGGCTAGCTTTTGTGCAGGAGTAGGAACAACATCGGTCATTCCTTCAAGAGCATGTGTATAGACTGCGTTTTGCACATCTGGTAATAGATTAAATTGTTCGAATGAGGTGATGAGTGCCAGCTTCTCCTTGACTGCCATTCTCTGACTATAGGCCAGAGGCGTGAGAGTGGCTTGCATCTTCAGCGCGTGGAATAGCGGCTTTTCATCCTTGGTCTTCGCTCTCCTCGGGTTCTCCGTACTCTCAGGTGCTCCTCGGGCGCCAACAGCTGGCCTTGGAACATCTCGAGGCTTGACCATGACTCTACCTCCCAAACGAGCCTCTGTTTGGTTCATACCGGCGAACGGGCTAGGTCGAGCCCTTTCTCGAAATGCTTCGGATGACCTTGGTAGGCGGGCAACGTCGCGAGAAAGACTCATTCGTGAAGGTTTGCGGCGCTCGCGTTGCATTGTCGCCATTGTGCGACGGGCATGCCATATTTGAAGGGATCGAAAGCTCTGCTTGTCAAATGACTCGAAAAAGGCTCTGAATTGGCACCCAAGGCACGCTCCTTCTAGACGCATAGAGGCAACAGATAGTTGAATGGTCCTCGGGTTGATTTCCCCAGATACTGATCGCGTGGAGCTGAGAGACGGTCTTGCTATAGCTTCTGGTCACTGTGTACACCTCCCCTAGATCCCAAGTATTATTGTCCAAGGTTTATCGGTGGCGGTGGTGGTGGTCCAATATGTGGCCTCTTGGCCATGCAAGATGCGCATCTCTAAACTTTTTCCTGGAAGAAAATTTAAGGTTTCAGTAGCGCAGAGCTAGGCGGGAAGCTTATGGCTGCCAGGGCAACGACGGGTTAGTGGCTCCTTCTCAGTTTGTTTTGACTGGCTCTACCTTAATTGTGCCCTAATCCTCCCTGAAGCTCCATCCATAGACAAGTGTTGTGCTTGAAGCCTCATTCTTTTACATCTTGAATTCGAGTCAATCCACTGTCTGCCTGGTGCGGTGCAGTCGATTAAACATACCATAAGCTGCTGGCGTTCTCGCGCATCAATCACCACTACGCGCATTCCTCAATACTGCATCGACCGCCTAGGCATATGGTCTGAGCTTTGACTGTTCAAGATCGCACGTTGTTGCGAAATAGAAGCAAGTCGGCCCTGCAGCCAGAATCATGGCCGCTCAGTCGGTGCGTGGTTGACATCAATTATCTTTTGATAGACCTTGTTTACTTCGAATGCTTCGCTAACAGCTGCCACAGGTTCAGCCGCTTCGAATCCAGAAAGGTACAGGAGTCTCTTCACCATCCAAGATGAATCGCCCGCTCGCAGAGCTGAGCCCGATGGGCATTCGAAGAAATTCACCAAGCTTTCCTCAAAGCAACAAGGTAAATTATGTCAGGAGAAAGTAACAGCCAAAAAAATAATAACGCAAATAGAACAATACTTTCAGAGGTGATTCATCTCCATTCGAATCACCACCCACTGGAACAAAATCCGCAAGTTCGCCTAGGTTGTTCTGGCAAGGACGTGATCCAACTTCACCGAACCGAGCAAGCATCGAAAATCGCAGCCCGTATGAGCAGGAGCAGTCACCAGTGTCTAATAAACGATCCTCCATCGAGAACTTGAAGAAAGCTTCGCGTGTCAAGAACAGCAGCATGTTTGCTCGAGAACAGAAAAATGAATATGATCCGGCACAAGTCACTGTTCCCGAGCGCCCACTTGCCACGGGCAGACCGCTGAATGTGCAGACACAAGGCAATGCCTTTGGTGGTCAAGGGTTGGAGGGTATACGTATGGACAATATCCGACGACAGGCTGAAGAGCAGATCAAACACTCCATGGCCGTGCCAATAGAGAAGATATCTCCACCGATGAGTGTTGCGCCTCTGTCACCAAGCAAGTATAGTGCCTCACCCGCCAAATCGTCGCTATCCAAGAAGACTGGCTTAAATGCTCGCAGTATGGGCTTCGATCCCGAAAATGGTGTCTGGTCAGATGAAGAAGATTCAGTGGCAGAGCGTAAGCTTCCAGAAGGTCGCGTTCTTCAGCGCCATGCGAAGAGCGTTACTTTTACTCAAGCTCCACCTCAGATCAACGAATACGAAATGACGACACCAGACCCATCATCCGTTGCTTCTGGTTCTCGCGAAGGGAGCTACGAGTCTGTTGAAGACGAAGAAGACATTAGCTTCGACCGCGGCTCTTCCCTTGACCGCGAGGACAGTTTTGATGCTTCGCTGGAGGACACTGACAAAACCCCCGTTGTACTGCCGGAAGATTGGCGCTTCATGAGCCCCGAAATTGCCAGAACCGACCTTGTCAGGGAGGAGGATGACGCATTTGATGGAGAGTATGGCAGTCCCGAGCCGTCTGCCCAGCCGGGTTCAATGGACAGTCGCCCGCATCAGACCAGTGTCAATTCAGTCGACTCATGTGGTCAAGCACGGCCATTACCTCCTATACCTAACGTCTCGGCCGCGGCGCCTGGTAGTCCTCTTTCCGGCACTTTAGAACGAATCTCGAGTGGCCAACGTTCCCTTCCCTCACCTCCGCAAGCAGCTGGTATTTCCAAATCCGAGATTCGGCGCATGAGTAGCAGTGGATTGTCTTTGGAGGATCGCCTGAAGCTAATGCTGCTACAAGACCAGGACAGAGAGAAAACCAAGTCTGAAAACCAGCGAGAACGAAAGGTTGGGCGTGTTGAGCAGAAAGAGAATAGCCCCGTGCGCGATCATTCACAAGCTGCAGAGTCAGGTGGCCCTTCAGAAATTCCCGAAAGCACGAGAAATCATGGTGAAGAGACACACATCTCACGAGAAGCAATCTTGAGGAGACTCTCCAGCCTGCAAGATTTGCAGGAAAACAGGTTCGAGGAGTCAACCACATCACTCTCATCCAATTTACCAAGCTACCTTAACGTTGATCCAGACATTCCTATACCATCAACAGAAGATCCAAGCCCAGTTCGCAGTGAAGAAGGTGTTGAAAATGACATCGTCATCAAAGAGGAACCAGACGAATGTTCCGATATCTATTCTGTCCCAGAGTCATACGATGGACAAGCTCGAGCTGAATCGGATGACATGGACACGGAAAGCCAGTACTCTCAAGCAAGCATTCCTTTACACCCAAGTCTGACTCGGGACGATGGACAAGACACACCTCGTGCGCAGAGCCCCGCGCGAGAGCCGGAGAAGAAGAGATTGGTCGAGAAGGAACCAATGTCCTTGCCATTGCTCGCCGATTTTGGCACGGGTAACAGTTTCGATTTCGGGTTCGAATCTTACATGACACCTTCGCCACCAATTGACAGAACAACATATGAAGTAGCCGAAGTACCACATGAACAGCACTCGCAGGATATTAGTCGTCCAATGACCCCGGTGGAGCAACTGCAATCTCTGCCAATGTCCTGCTTGGGCAATGAAGCCTCAGCAGAGCCTGGGACCCCGGATTCTGTCATCCATCATCCCGTTACCCAATCTCCTTCTCCCGAGGTCGTCGAAGATGTAGCAACGGCCAAGGCTGCTGGATCCGAATTGAAGACACGACCCTCTACTACACCTGCGGATGTGTCCATTATGGCCGCAACACGAAGAGAGGTAAGTGGACAGGCACCACCACCACAGGCACCTCCACCACAGGAGGTCTCGACTGGATCAACCAGCGAGGCGAAGGAAGATACCGCGTCAGAGGTCAACGCCCCAAGGGAGCCGGAGAAACGTATCAGCAGTCTTGTGAAACTGGACATCCCTGGCCGTCGGAGTGATGAGAGTCTTGGATTTGGCCTTGAGAAGGAATTTGACCGCGTTGTTCAAGCCCAAAAGGTAGCGTTCGAGCTTTCACTTTCCCGTTTACACCACCCTTTCAATGGACGTTTCCCTTATTCTGAACTACCCGTTGTAGCAGACGGTTCAACACTGAAAAATGTCTCCCTCCTGAAACCGCAAGGTGCTCGAGCTCTTCCAGGAGATCAGCGAGCCTGGGGTCATCATTACCCAATGGATGGAAGTCAATTTGCTAACAGAAGCCCTGACCGACAGAGAGGATACCTCATGCGTCAAAACACGAAAGTCGTTGTTGCTAGCAACAGGGTTGAGGATGAAGTAAAACCCGCCGAGACTGTAGCGCCTACAGGTGCAGAGCCTACGTCGCGGAAGATCAGCCAGCAAACTTGGGTGACAGAGCCATGGAACGGCAAGTCTCGAAGGCGAAGTATTCGCGCTACTGGCGAGACTGGCCCGCGAAAGAAATGCTCAAATGCTTCCGTTCCCCCTCTGCCTGGTCAAGCCAGCAACGCCCAAGACGCTCTCGGTGCTGTTCATGAGGATGAGCTCGCTGAGGAAGAGCCACAGGACTTTGACGAAAATGCAGAAAGAGGGCGTCTGTTTGTTAAAGTAGTTGGGGTGAAAGATCTGGAACTGCCTCTCGCAAGAGGTAAGAATGAATTCGGCATTCATCATTGAATTCAAAGGCTAACTTGGCTCTAGACGAGAAATCTTTCTTTGCACTTACACTTGACAACGGCCTACATTGTGTCACTACTTCCTGGCTTCAGCTGGGCAAGAGTGCACCAATTGGGCAAGAGTTTGAGCTTGTTGTTCTCCATGAACTCGAGTTCCAGCTTACCCTGCAGATGAAGCTTGAGCAGCCAAAGCCGCAACCAGTACAGTCTCCTGTTAAGACGCCCCCTTCACCCGTCAAGAAGCAAAGCGCTTTCAGTAGATTCTTCGGCTCGCCCAAAAAGCACAAGGAGATCGAGGTATCGCGTCCGACGTCCCCCATCAAGCCACAACCCTTATCTGCGTACGAGCTGGTAGAAGGCATTGTGGGCCAGGATGGAAGCTTCGGTCGCGCTTATGTGGCCCTCAGTGAACATGAGAGGCATGCTTTTGGTCGGCCATACACTGTTGATATTACTTGCTTCAATGAGTGGGCTGTGGAGGAGGTAGCCGTAGGCAGTTCCCGAAGCAAGAAAAGTGTTACGGCGAAGCATCGGCGTCCGCCATATCAGATTGGTAAGATGGAACTACAGCTACTCTACATCCCAAAGCCGAAAGGTGCCAAGGACGAAGATATGCCGAAGAGCATGAACAGTGCTGTACGAGAATTGCGCGACGCGGAGACAAGAACATCTCATGTTTTTGAAGGCCACCTGTCACAGCAGGGTGGAGACTGTCCCGTGAGTCGATCCTCTCTTAGTAACACCTCTTATAGTGTACGTGCTGACTTTGTCTATCAGTACTGGAGACGGAGATTGTTCAAGCTTACCGGCTCGAAGCTCACAGCCTACCATGAAACCACCCATCAGCCTCGAGCGACCATCAACCTCGCCAAAGCCAGCAAATTGATTGACGATAAGAGTGCACTGACGAAGAAGGAGACATCCACAAAAGGTGGAGGGCGTCGCAAATCCGCGTTTGCTGAAGAGGAAGAAGGTTACATGTTTGTCGAGGAAGGATTCCGGATACGATTTGCAAACGGCGAGGTCATCGACTTCTATGCCGACTCCGCTGCCGAAAAAGGAGAATGGATGAAGGTCTTGTCTGAGGTTGTGGGCAAGCCTGGCTCATCTTCTCAGTCCAAACCTTGGGTGGAAATGATCCTGAAGCGACAACGATCTGTTATTGCCAAAGAGGGACGGACAGTCAGACCATCTCGCCCCGAACTTACGCCACAAAAGAGCAGCAGGGACCAAATGCAGGAAGAGCTGGCTCATCGATCAGCAGCTAGACAAAGAGCTATGCTGGCAGAGGAAGAAGCGCGGAAAGCAGCAGCGGCGTTCTCTCTTAGCAAGCGGAGCAGCATTCCGCTATTATCTTCGAACCCACCACCAGAAAGAGGCCCAAGATACTCGCAAGCGATCCGATCTGGTCACGCTAGGACAGAGAGCTATCAACCAAGCTCAGGATCTAGGAGTCAACCCGGCAGCCCCCTGAAGGCGAAGTTGAATAAGGAGTCCCGGCATCAGAAGGCAAAGAGCATGATTGGTATGCAGTGGCATTGAGTTGATGGTGATATGAGAGCGATGCTGTGATTTACAGTGATGGTGATGGGATTTCCGATGTGGATGTGTGTACATACACGGCGTGGACTCTATCTGGGAGTATCGGCGTGGCTGAAATCTCCTGCATGACGCTCGTGAAAGGTGTGATGGCTGACTGAGTACATGCATTTTCTCCATTTGCTATGCAACGCAACACTGTAGCATAACCTCGGTCTTCAGATAATACCAGCCATTATGGTTGGAAATGAAGAAGACCAAAATTCATAGCGCTGATTTCGTGTCTGACTTCCTTGATCGGTGCCGCGCTCCTCTGCATCGAGAATTCTTGAATTTCACTCTTGTTAGGCAGAGGTCCGTGTCAAGATATCTCAAGGCTGGATTAATGTGTTTGTATTGACTTATAGATGACTGACAGCAACTCCAGAATAATATCTACTTGATCCTGGAGGACGCTATCCCATCTGTATGTATTGCCCCAATTACAGCGGTACCTACAAGTCTGTAAAAAAAATTCATAGTTTCAGACGCTCTAACGTACCCAACGGACATGTGCATCGGAAATTTTGTTTGGCGTTCTGGATCTCAGAGCATGTTTCTGTTACTTGAATGCTGCTGATGCTGTTTGGAGAGATGAATTGACAAAAATAGGTCAAGTAGACATTATATAAACAAAGATTGCTTGATTCTGGTTAATCACTCTGTATTAGTTTCGATAAATTATTTGGAATGACGACAATGTAGAGCAGAATCAGCTCAATGCATGAATTGGGGTGTGTAGCTATCTAGGAAATGTTGAATGTGAAGTTCGGATGGAATGACTCCGCAGGCGCCAAGGTCCCACCAACGAGCTGAAATGTAGCCACTTGAGAGTTTTGGTAGGCTAGGAGATATCGGCCCTTCGGCCCGGAGGCGTAAAAGTGGGGCGAAAGGGGGTGTGGTGCCTTGTCAGTTGGGTGGATTACAGAACTTCTACGACTCTACAAGGCAACTGCTTGTAAGTTGACACTCAATCATCCTTTGCGGTCATATACCTTACTTACTTATATACGATTTGGCATCATTTGGCATCATTTCGTGTACGCGTTACATGATTGTATGAATTTGTGTCAAGCCTTTGCTTTTTTACCCTGACTGACTCCTGATGTGAAGCATTCTACAGAACTTTTGTAGGTACTACTCCAGCGTGCTTGACGTTACTGAACTTGAATAAAGTCATTTTAAGATATTCTCGTCATGATATTTTTGCGATGGCTAATCCAAAAGAGTGCAAAGAAAAGGCGGAATACTCTTTACACCCTGTAGATTACTTATTCCAAGGGAGAAATTTCTTTGATCTATTACAACAAAATGTGTTACAATTTTGAATGGACAGCCCTAATTGGGGCATTATCCATCCCTGTTATGCACGGAGGGGATGTGATACCAGAAGTACTTTTCATCTTCGTGCAATTGGCCATGAGGTTTTGTCAAGGGCTCGGACCACCATGTTCACCCCAATCGGAGATTTGATCAGGGTCCCAGCCTACTCCTTATGCTGCACAGTACTTTTGTGAAGCATGGGTGGCGGCACCCCCTGTTGGCTCGTTACTGCCTACTACAACAGAGCCAGCCTGATAACTTTTGCAGTTAAATGCTTTATGACTGACGTGGCTCGAAGACCTTGTTCACCATGATATTTCAAATCTTGCTGTAGCCATCGACCCGAACTCCTTCCTATAATGGAAAGTTCGTGTTTCTCTTCAGCGTCACGTCTCTGTGTTTTATATCGCTTTTTGGTTGTCTGCCTTGAAGATCTGAGTATACTTCTTTATCATCCACATTATGGCAGATACTTTGACACTCAGCCAATCAGGAAACAGGGGACCTACTCCAGCACAATGGGAAGCTCAGAAGGAAAATATACGGCGTCTCTACCGTGTACGCAACATGACTCACAAAGAGCTCGCAGAAGAAATGACCAAGATTTTTGGCTGCCGGATAACGTCTGTCTAAGTTGAGCTAACCATGATACGAGACTGATATCTCTCTAGGGCGAAAATGTGTAAAGACAGGACGACGAAATGGGGGTTTGCGAAAAGCATCAAGAAGAGAGAGTACGAGACCATCATTGAGCAGCAAGCTAAAGGAGAGCAGAATAGACAGATATGGGTCAGGGGGAAGCAGGTGAAGCAACGTGATATAGATAGGTACTTGAAGAGACGAAAAATTGAGGACAGCCCTGCCCATCGGTATGTGGATTCGGCAGCCAGTGTGCCGCAACCCACTCCAGAAATCACAAATTCAGGTCGGAGTCTAATATCAAGTAACGTGACATTGTCTGATCCAGATGATCATCCGCCGGACAGCTCAATGTGGTCCATGACAGAAGACACCGCTACCGAGTGTGCTCAAGCGCAGCGTGCAGCTCTTGGGAATAGCTTAGCTATTGTGGATACTACGGGAGCATTGTATGCTACCGAACAGAATGAGCACGAAAACTTCTTGTCACTCAACTCTCCCTCGCCACAAGAGCCTTTAGCTTCCTTACTCACAACCCCTTCGTGGCCCACGAGTCCAGCCTTCCGTCTGCTTCTCCAGGAAGGGTTGGAAGAGTCGGAGCTTTCTTTTGCAGATTCTGTTAATCGCATGGAATCTATTCTAAATGATACACATACTACGCAGGTCATGGATAAAGCCCAGGAGAAGGCCATAAATCCACCTCTGGCAGGCAGTAGCCTTCGCATCGAAGAACACCTGCCACAGCCATCAATGCCTCCAGGCTCCGAAGAGGTTTCCGATGTTGCTTCCAGGTGGATTTCTGTCTGCTCATTAGCCTCACTCCAGCACTCATACGGGAAGATTGAAATAATGCGCCATGCTCTATACGAAGCGAACAAATTGTTTGACGAGATGATCAGGACTAGCGACCGCCAGCTGCTTTCTTCTATAGTTGTTTTCGGTGCCATACTGGAGGCTCACGGAAAGGATAACTCGGTGGAAACATTGCTATCGCATACCTTAGTCACCTCTAGCAATATACTCGGTCCGCGTCACGCCATTACAGTAACGATCGCATGGATCGTTGATGTACTTTCCAAGAAGGAACCAAAAGCCCGAATCCGAGTCAGCGTCAGCAAACTTCGAGAAATATCCTACGAGTTCGAGAAAGACCACGGCAAGCTGCATCCTTACTATGTGACCAGTGTATTCAACCTTGCTAAAGCTCTGGACTTGGATAACTATGCCGACGAGGCGGAGCCGTTGCTGCGAGAAATCGTGGAGATATGTCCCCGTATTTTTGCGAGGGGCCATCCTCAGTCAATTATCGCTCAAATGAATCTGGCGAGGCTAATTTCTAAACGCGGCCAATTCGTAGAAGCAAGATTTCTGATGGACTCAGCAGTATCATCCAGTGAGGAACGCTGGGGATCTAGTCATCCCTACACTCTCGAATGTTTAAGAAGGCAAGCGATCATGCTAGAGAGCCTGGAATCGCCCGAACGGATAGAAGAACTTCTAAAGAGGGTCTTGTAGGGTAGGGTTAAGAGTTTGGGCATTGCTCATCGCTTCACGTGTGGAAGTCGCTAGGATCTCGAATGTTGGTTGGAAGATCAAGGCCGAGAGCATGAAGTCCATCTTTTGGCTGAGACTATGCGCGCATGGGCTGAAGAAGCTGCCGACGGACATAGCGAGAACGATCTTGCGGCTTACTAGCAAGAAGATGATTCTAAAACAAGGAACTTATATGAAGTAGAATCATAATGGAGCTGCATCAAGGCATTCATAAAACACAAATCAAGCGTTATGGACTACGTCAAGATAATAGGCCTCCAACTGGCCAACACTTTGCTTTAGAGGCAACGACAACATCGTCGAGCCCTGTGACACCCGAGGCCGGGTGACAATGATTGTGATAGTCGAAGAAAGCACTCAAGTCGAACATTCTTGTACCAGGAAAAGGTGGTTTGTGCCCCATCATCGCTGTGACCTGTCCTCCCAAGCTCAACCATTACCCCAGCGCAAAGATCAAATTCTTCTCACAGAGATGTCGCATTATCTGCGTGATAAGAGCCTCTCTAGTCTAGTACCAAACGAAGATAGTCTCGAGCTTGAATAGTTTTGAAGGACATTCTACTCGTACGGTTTTGGTTGCTGTGTCCAAACTGGCAGGCTGTTGAAAGGCAGTACGCTTTTACGGACTTCCTGAACAGAACCTTCCAGCTGTAGCTGCCGTCGATTGATGGATTGGCGTTGTTGCCACCACTTCTTCGGGAGAAAGATGACCCTCCTAAACCTTGTGGCCCGCGAACTTGTCCCTGTCCGTCTTTAGGATCTTGGGTGCGGTCTGGATTGTTCCCGTCAGGATCTGGTTGGTTGTTGCCGCCTCCGTAGCCACCATCAAGCCGTGTCGATAGGGATTGATGTATTCTTTCCTTCTCTGTGATGGCTCGCTCGATTTGTGCCATGCATAGGTTTAGAAGATTGTGTTTGGGAAGATCATACCCACACTGTAGGAAGGGAGTATATGTCTTTGGGCGACTACCCAGGAGGAGTAGGTAGAAACCTAAATCATTCTTCCATTCTGCTACTGAAGTATCGAAGCATAGCTCGGGGCTCAAGATCGTACATTTCTTGCTTCCCTCAAACACTATCGAAGCGAAGAGGGTACATATGATATCGGGCTCAGCGATCATTAAACCAGAGCACGAGAGGTCATGGTGTGCACTTTCCACCATTCTAAAGAAATCATCTCTTTGTTGGGGTGAGGGAGTCACGCCAGGATAATTCTGCCGGATGTCTTTGGCGTTTCTCGCAAGATCTTCGAGGGTCGAGGAGATTTTAGCAGCGGAATCTGAATCCAAAGCAATAGAATTGAGGTGGAGGGCATAGAACGCATATAAAAGAAAATCTGCTCTGGACTCGAAAATGTCATGGTTTATCGTCTTGCTGGTCAAGCGCTGATAGGAGAGCTCCAAGGAGCGGTCAATCCATTGTTTGTTAAGGCGATTGTTTGCGACATATTTGAATGGAGAGTTCGAGGTTTCTAGGACATGTCCGTCATCAGGATCGACCGATGTATCGAACCCGTCAAGCGGCAAAGCCATGTATCGTGGATCAATGATGGGATGAATCAGACCAGAAGATGTAAGTCAAGAAATGGCGAGCTCGTAGCATCACGGAAATCAACACCAATAAGTACCATGTCACTAAGTTACCGCGGTGTAAAGAGCTTCACGAGATAGGTTCAGGCTACCTGGGACTTCTACGCCTCCTGACAAAAGTCCTCTGCATACATTGGCTCTCGATGAACTAGGATCTTGACACAAGTACCATGCATGATCCGTGCTCATACACAAGGCTGGAATCAAGACGCTCTAATGGGAATCTTCTTAATCTCGATCAGGTCTTTGATTTGTGCACTTCAAGCTACTAGGTCATTCTCCACCTGATCGCTGTGTTCATTTTCAAAGCTCGAATCTGCTATGCCAAAAGTACGAAGCATAAAACCTGCTGTAACAAGAAAAGGCAATTGCGAATGGTCTTCGGTTGGGCCTCCTCGGCTGCAGGGGTATATTACTAGTAATGCAGTGCCTCCCAAAAGACGAGGCGACCGACGTTTTTTAGCACCGATAACACCGGGTTAACCATGGTGACAGATATTATGGTAGTATTAGCCTCCAGAATTTTGACAGCAGAGCCCCACGGAATCTGTCACCAGGTCTCAGGCATTGGCCCACGCTACCTGATGTTTAACGATCCAATTCTTCCATAACCCTATGCACGACGTCAAACTTATTTCGCCTAGCTAAACAAACAACGCCATCATTTGAGATGCTGCTACCTGTAGCATTGGCTTCGAATACCTACCATGGCCCTTACAGTCACCAAAGAAGTTCCAGCTGACTACATACGGCCTTCTTTCCCATCCCTCTACTGGCCGATCAATCCTTCACCCGGTGAATCTCAATTCCTCTACTACCAATCCGACATATGGCGTTTCACCCTTTACTGGACCCTCCTCACCTATGCCGCGGTGCACCTCTCAGCCTCCCTCTGGGCAGTCCTGATGCAACTGCGGTCCGCGTTGACGACCAAGACGACGCCATGGGGGGCGCCGAACAAGATCAGACAGACATTGTTATGGGTATGGGTAATACCGGTGGTGTACCTATTGGTTGCTGGAATCGAGGGGGTCTTCGCTGGAAGCGTGGTTGGACTAATACTTGGAGCGGTCTACAATGCTGGATATTTCAAGATGAGCACTTGGATGCCCTTTCTATGGGGCTTGCTCAATGTGTCTGTGCTCATCCTGAGCAGCTTCAGCATTCAGGGTGGATTGTGATGGGATGCTCTAAACGCCAGGATGTTGTCCAAAAAATATGGTGGCTGGATCCAGAAACGAGGCTGACAAGCACAGAAAACCATGTATTGGAGCAGTTGAAGGCTGAACTGACTGCAAAGATATATGTGCTTCGCTCGTGTGATAACATATTGCCCAGAGGAACAAGTCCGCCAATAGCGGATTACTAAGCAGCATGTTTGGCCATCAGGCTCAGATTCTCACCACCACGTTTGGTCGAGTTCGTTGTTGTTGAGATGCTCTAGCTCGAGGACGTTCTGGCTGAAAAATTCCCACGGTGACCTCCAGTCGTCACATGTCTGCACCACATACCTGAATGTTGCAAATGCTGTTCGTAAACAGCGAGACAGGATAAACCGCGGAACTACTTGAGCATGCTGGTATAGTTGTCCTACAGCTTTAGCAGGTGCAAAATCAAGTGAAAAGCGATGTACAAAGTCGTGGCCCATAGTCTTTTTTCATGTTTTCTGTACGAGTTATGCTGGCTTACAGTTCCGTGTCACTGGCATCCTCCTGGCCTGTGCTCTGACAAGGTCATTTCTCAGTCCATTTGCAAACACAGTTGTGATAAACACGTGAGCATTCATTGTTTGTGGTTGGACCACTTGCACAACTGAATCACATGTGTGTTTGGTGTCTACTGATTCACCTATATTTTCAATTTCACATTTTTTTTTCTTCAAAGTCAGCTTGAGATTCTTGGCTACCGCATTCTCTACCTAAAAAAATTCAGATCTCATGAGTGAGACAATGGGCAACTCAGCACCTGACCTCAAGTGGGAAAAGCTTGCTCTAGTTGGCTGCGGCAAAACCTCCATTGTCTGGCTGGTGCGTAATACTGTGACGAAAGAGGTTCAGCTATGGAAATACACTCACACGCGCGACTGTAGCACAGCTGGAGAGGGAGTCGTCCTAGCTTTGCTCCAAGGCCACGATAATATACAAAGGCTGTTCCACTGGGACGATTACAATCGATTGCTGGTTTTGAAGCGCGCTAATGGAGGAGACTTGCACGACTACACGCTTGACCACTATGGATCAACACGACAAAGAATGCCGGAGATATTCATTTGGCATTTTCTGCGAAGCATGGCAGCTGCTTTGGCGTATTGTCAAGCGGGCTGGAGGGATGGCGATCCGTTTGTTGTCAAAGAGGGGTGGAGACCAATCATTCATCAAGACGTCGCTTCAGGCAATATTCTCTTGGAATGGCATAAGAACGAAGCACTGCCTCAGCTGATCCTGAGCGATTTTGGTGATGCAACCTTTCTCGACACGATGCCGTCTGCTGACTATGACTACCTCCTTCGGGCAATGCGAGCTCGAGATCCGACAGCCTCGCATTTGAAACGTGACCTTCAACGCCTCGGAAGCATTCTTCAGTCTATGCTTGTTGTGCACTTGTTTGGCGGAAACGCTGAAAAGATGCAAGAAGATTACAATGTGGATTTGGCATTCGACTTTGCTCAGAAACATGGCGAGCCAATATTTTCCCGCGAGTTGACGGACTTGGTGGACCAGCTGGCCTATAACGAGTTAACAGATAAGAGCACAAGATTCACAGATGCTCTAGAGTTTGCCAAAGAACTGATTCCAGTTGCCAATGCGAAGATTGCCGAGCTTGCCGAAACGGATACGAAGCTTCCTGGCAGACCAGCTGCTGGCCTCGACGACGAGGACTCTGGCTCTTTGTCGTTTCATGCTCCCCTTCACAAAGACATTTGGCCCTTCATCAGATATTATGAAGGAGAGTCGATACGCACTGGTGGTCTTAAAAGAAAGCATAGACAAGGAGAACTTGATCCTCAATTCACCAAGTACAGGGCTACCCGTATAGAAGAGTTGACAACACGGCACAATCAAAGGCCTTACTTTATAAACCCAGGGCAAATGGTTGATTCCATTTATTCCTGGGATGTGCAGGGCAAACAGCAATTCAACGCAGAGCAAAGCGTGCATCAAAGCGACGACAAATCCCAAGCAACAACCGACGAAAAAGAGCCAGAAGCACATCTTCGAAAAAGTGAGAGACTGACTTCAGAGGCATGGCTCGCTCACCAAGCGATAGCGCAAAAGGTCTTGGATTTCACCTCTAGGAAGTTTTCAAATGATCCAGCATACGCAGAGTACTCCAGGTTAGTGAAAGCAGAGCAAGTGGCGCTCGAGGAATATCGGCAGCTGCAACAACAAGAACTTGCTGCTTTATTGGACTTCAGCTCCAAAAATGCTTCAGTACCAGAACCCCAACAAACAGCAACCCTATGCCAAGACTCTACCTGGCAAGCAGGTACGGTGGTTCAAGAAGAATCTGGTACGTCTGCCAACAACAGGATGGAGATCGCCATGACCAATGCCAAGGACGGAACATATACCGTTAAGATTGAGGAGGGCAAGGTTGTGGGTGTCTTGCCTGAATGTGGAAAGGACATAGTGGTAGAAGACAAGAAGGAGATGAATGTGGAAGAGAAGAAAAGATAGTGGCAGGAAATAAGAAAGATCCAAAGGAGGAGATCGAGGTGGGGAGCAGCAAAGGTGCGGCTGAGAATTAAGTTGAAAAAGAGATTAGGCCCCTAGTCCAGAACCAGGCAGGCAGAGGATAAAACCACCCAGGGCAAAGCGAAGCAAAAAGCGCCAAACCCCTTCGCCTAGCGAGCTATTTGACATTGCTGGCCTTGCTGCGACACATGTGAAGAAAACTGGTGCTACGACCAGGAGCCGAAGCGAGGAGAAGGGTAAGTGAGGCGGAGGAGGCCTGAGCGTCTAATATAGTCGCATGAGCTGCACCTACTTTTTGAACTCATCATGTCTGTCAAACTCCTTCCAATAGGGAGGGTAGTTGAATCATCTTTCATGCGCAAAGTTTCTAGTCTGAAGTACATTCCTTGTTGATGTTGAGTAACCTGTGCAGCCCATTCTTCATATTCATATTAGTGGTGATTCGCAATGCGTCCCGCCTTTTCGATGTGATGCCAATCTAACGGTCCGCTCCACTGCTTGGTCGATGAACATATCACCCCGTCCCTCCGCTTTGAGTAGTATGGTTTCCATAACTAGCTGGTGTAGGGTAACGGGTAGTAATACTCCACTACAGCAGACAAAAGTCTACAAAAATCAAGGCAGTCTGAATGCAAAGATGTTTCTTCATCTAAATATCCCTCCTAGAATTTGTGAGCATGAACCCATCAATCAACCGCTCTTCTCTTGAGTAGAGTAGACCTACCACTGCCCCTCCTCCATCCATTGTGGCAAAGAACCTCGCTCTTAGCCTGAGGAATTTGGATGTGTCGTGAACCCAATAATGGTCCGCTGCACGCTCGGTCGATGAAAGCTCAATGCTTTAGTCTGTCTTGAGTAGTAAGATTACCACTAATGGCTTAGCTCCACACTTATATCGTTCCCCGCTGTTCGTAGCAGAAGTCGGGATTATCTTTAGGTGAGAATTATCTGCAAACTCTCTGGCAATAGATTCGCAACCCACCGCGGGGGGCGCTGCCCGCAAGCGCGCTCGGTCGATGAAAGACTGTCTAAGCTGGCTATTTAGGTAGCTCCGTTACTCTTTGTGGATTCTTGCATTGAAGTATTAGTGCTTATGGAACAGGGATTAACTATTGCTTTGTTTGATGATGACTAGGTGGATAGGGGTGTGTCATGCTTGAGTGTTGGTGGACAGTTGGTTATCTGAGTCATAATACTCTCTTTCTACTGGTAGTAGGATACGAGAGTAATAACAGGGAGAAGAAGGCTACTACTTTGTGATGGGGCCATTGCTGTTACGTTGCTCTGTTCAAGTTAGATGGTCATTTTCTGGGTGATTAATGTGCAGCTTCACATGATGAAGATCTGATGGCCCTGCGAGGACAGGACTCCAGGTTTGCTTGGTGGATCGAAGACGGCCTGAGGCATATAGGTCTGCGAGCTTGATTTCCAGAAATGGAGGGCAAGCCTTTCTGCTCACCAACAACTGTCACCATTCTAATCTTTATCCTTCGAGGCCTGCACAAGTTTGAGGTCTGGCTACTGGGTGATAAGAGTTTATGGCGCTCTTTGAGTAGTAATTTCGTCAATTCTAGCACGGTCTGTCGGTATCAATCTCTTTCATGAACACCATGATTTGTAAAGTAGTAGCGTTAGCGTATGATCGGTTGAGAGTCATCTAACAGTGCCTGAGAACCATGTCCGGGAAGTAGTGGTCGTGTATGTTAACGCGCTACTACCTGGTTTTGATGCTCTGGCCAAGAAGGCCAATTTCGTCCCCCGTTGAAATGGAAGTGTCAGATCGTATTGCTTAGGGACCCCTGCATGCTAGATTATGCTGACACGGGACTATGCTGATCCATAACGTTGCTGCATGAAGCGAAGTGTCATTAATGTACATTGTGTCGCTCAAGAATAAGCCTTGAGATCTCAGGGCTGGGCTGTCAGATGATGCTCTACTTATAGTAATAGAGCCAATATCTATAACTGAACCACTTGTGGAGGCACTCTATCCTGCAGCACGCAGCTCAGCATGAAGTTTCAAATTACACAATCAGTACCCGTGTGCAAGGCATGGTGTGCGGAATAGCAAAAGGGCAACCATTGATTCAGCCAGCCACAGCGCCCAGAAAGATTAACGGCTCGTTGACGGATTCGGAATACTCTCCCAAGTGAAGAGCTTTGCATTGCTAGGTTTTCCACCTACTTCTGCTTGTAAGAACTAGGAAAGAGTGCCTCTGATTGTACAACAGTAACATGGGAAATGATCAAACCGAAAAACGCACAAGAGATCGATATAGCCTACTTTATGAAAATGGCTCCAGCTGGTACATGCTTGGGAAAAGTGGTTTGACTTTAAGTACTGCGACATGACAGAAGCACGCCAAGGGCAGGATATCCGAAGACTAATGCCCTGACTTCATCAGGGCATTTAAAACTATCAATCCTGATGTAGTTCATTCTTTCGATAAATATCTTGAAGATTCGCGTTGCTCAAAGCCTAGGAGAGAAAGAGTCGAGAAAAGAGGATAGAATACTGCCACACAGGTGAGGGTAGCCGTGACACCACCACTTTGTTGAAAAGATAAACCTTGCAACTTACCAGGAGATGTCTGCTGCGCCTAAGATCATGACACTCCTCGCATGACAATGAAAGCAATCTCATATCAATATGCAGCCTGGAAATTACACTGTAGCAAAAGACAGAAGCTTTGGGTATGGATAGGTAATACTAGGCGTTCTGGCGCAAAAGCCAAAGCGTGAGCCCCGTTAAGACAGGTTTCGAGGTGTGGGCCAATAATTAGTTAAAGCTAGCTTAGTGAGAAGTCTACTAAGGTACGTATTAGTTAATGTCACCCTGCAATCCCGCTTCAGATGTTTACTTCTGACGCATCCAATCAAAGTGAGAGCTGGCCCCAGGCCTCTCAACGGCCCCAAGGTCTTGCATCGCATTTGAACCCGTGTCTGAACACCTTCGGTAACACTCTACGCCTCGTCGTCCCTGTTCGTTCATGTACCTGCTAATGAAGCACTGCTGGTGCATATGTACTGTTGTGACAATCGCCGACTCGCCAAAAGCTCCCTTCGAACGATCGAGGCAACATGTTACCATCACCCTCTCTGGCTGCAGCCAATAGCAACGATGGCAGAGTTCAAGCTACCACAAATGCGCCAAAGCACATTCTTCCCGTAGAAACTCTACCTGAGCATGATCCGGGACATTTTGACTTCGATCAGAACATCCTTCTGAGCCCTCCTCCTTCTACAGTCACCACTGATCACTTTCACGATGAAACGAACATTTCACCCACCGAAGAGCCCTTGGAGCTCGACTCTATATCTCATCGCAACATTGCAGCTTACAACCTCAACAATCAGTGGGCCGCGCAACAGTCGCAGGAAGGGTTGACTCCGCCTGCCAGCGAGCCTATAGCAACTGGTCTGCAGATCAAGACCGATATAACAACAACCGTACCATCTCTCTTCTCAGCCTCGCTAGACTCGGATTCATACCTTCGTCAGTCAATTTCTACCTCCAGTATACCCAGACGAACGCCGAGTATCCGTGCTGCGTTGCACACCAGTGCAGGCTCTTTGTCACCCGGATCAGCCCTCTCTTCCCCTCAATTGGCTGCAATGCTGAACATCACACCTCTGCCATCTCCTATAGAAATCAGTAAAGATCCATGGAGGTTGAATATTCGTACAAGGTCACGAGGTTCTTCCTTAGCCAATATCGAAGCACCCTCGGAAAGGAGGCCCTCTAATCTTTCTCCCCCTTCCTCACCTCCCAAACGGAAAGCTTACAACGGCCTCCACGCCTCAGCCGGTACCCTCCCTGCTCACCGTTCTGGAGCAGACAGCGGTAGCGATGCCAGCGACCAGACACAGAACCGAAGCATAAGCGATTACGTCCCAGATACCATGATTTCTGCGAAGCCTCGTAATGTGGCTGTTTCAGGCAACCTCCTCAATCAAGAAATTGTGCGTGTCCAGTCACCCATGCACCGTGAAAGGTACTTGGCTGTTCAGCGAGGCTTTTCTATTCCTTCACCTCCACTCAAGACTCCAAACCCTTCCATCAGCAATCTAGGGTCATTTGCTGGACAAGGAGCAAGTGGTGAGCCTCAAACTAAGAAGGCTAAAACTCAAATTTACACCGCAAAGAATGTTGCGAATGGGCATGCTAGAAGGTATAAAGTTATTAGATTGTTGGGACAGGGCACCTTTAGCAAAGTTTTCCTAGCTGTGCGACAAGTCGAGGACGAGGACAGCAATATCGACTATACTAGGGATAGCACCAATCTAGATGGAGTACGAATCAGGTCCCGGAGGTTGGTTGCTATCAAAGTGGTCGAGCGCGGCCCGGCTGGTGGAGCTGACGCTGAGAGGGTCGAGATTTCTCTGCGGAGAGAGCTTGAGGTGCTTAAGGCCATTAACCATCCCTCACTGGTTCATCTGAAGGCTTTCGGGACAGACAACGATCGATCGTTACTGGTGTTGAACTATTGTCCGGGAGGCGACCTGTTTGAGGTCGCAAGTTCACAGCTCGAGGTTCTGGTTCCCAGCCTTGTGAGACGTATCTTTGCGGAGCTGGTCTCGGCTGTTCGCTATCTGCACCAAAAATACATTGTGCATCGCGACATCAAACTTGAGAGTGAGTAGAGAATGTGTGATTCGTCCGCCACGCTAATGCCTACCCAGATGTGCTCCTCAATATTCCCATCCAGGTTCATCCCGATGTTGAGGATTGGCAGACCCTAGACCGAGCTGTAATCACACTCACGGATCTTGGTCTCTCCAGGCGTATACCAGAGCCACCAGAGAGTCCTCTATTAACCACCCGGTGTGGCAGTGAGGACTACGCTGCACCAGAGTTGCTAATGGGTCAACCTTATGATGGCCGGCAGACAGATGCCTGGGCGCTCGGAGTTATGCTGTACGCGCTCATGGAAGGACGACTGCCTTTCGATCCACTACCTGGAGCACGAGGCGACCCGGCAAAGCTGAAGGCTCGAACGCCGCACCGCATAGCACGTTGTGAGTGGGCTTGGTATAAATATGGCGACGAAGACGGGGAGTGGGATTCCGAGAAGGGCAAAGACTATGAGGGAGCAAGACCAATCATTGAAGGACTTTTAACGCGCAATACCCGCAGAAAGACTTTGGATGAAATAAGAGAGATGCCGTGGGTAGAGAAAGGGATCGTCATTGATGGAGGTCTCAGACGAGTCGAGGAAGAAGCGTTGTGACAGGAGCCTGTCCCTTGGATTGTTCACAGCATTGAGCGTTATAGGCGGGAAGCGAAGGAGTCGGGACGTGTGTGCTCAGATAAAGGCATAGGAACTTGGAGTCTGGGAGCTCTTTTGATGGCAAAGCATAGAATAACTTCTGTATTACTACATGTGTGTAAACTGTGCACTTGCATGGGCAAATAGATGCAGCGGCTCTCTTCCAGCATTCTACCGTTGTCTAATTATTGTAGTGAAGACTTGTATGCTTTCTTCTTAGAGCTGATTTAGCCTTTCCAAGGTACGGGGGAAGTTCCGAAGTCGCTCAGTCATGGCAGAACTTTCCAGCTCAAGTCCCAAAAAGCAACCTCCAATTGAAACTTATTGTGAAGTGACGAACCTAAGTCCTACTCTGAGTCGATCAACTACCTTTGGGCGTATCAATTAAGTAGCTACCGCATCTACATCTGCGCCCAACTTTTTGGGGCCCTACGATGAGCTTTTCCCAGTTCTGAGCTTCTGTGAAATCAATTGCCATTTCAGAATCCTCCTAAAATGTTTGCAACGGGGCCCAGTAGGCGACTGGCAGGTCGTCTCGCACAGCGAATACAGAATCGGCAATTGATGTAACTACATTTCTTCCCATTCCAGCGACGAGTCTCACTATACTTAGACGTCCATTCACAGGCTCCCACAGCCGATACGATGAGTCCCCCAACATACCTGCCGGGCTGAACAAGGTCTCCCGTCATGTCACGCAGCCTAAGTCTCAAGGAGCATCACAGGCTATGCTCTATGCGACTGGCATGTCAGAAACCGACATGTCGAAGCCGCAGATTGGCATATCGTCTGTCTGGTACAGCGGCAACCCGTGTAACATGCACCTCATGTCTCTGTCGAACGTGGTCAAGGAGAGTGTAGCAAAAGCTGGTCTGGCGCCGATGCAGTTCAACACTATCGGCGTGTCGGACGCGATATCAATGGGCACTACAGGCATGAGATATAGTTTACAATCAAGAGAAATCATCGCGGATTCGGTAGAAACGGTCATGCAGGGACAGTGGTACGATGCAAATATATCTCTGCCGGGCTGTGACAAGAACATGCCTGGCGTGGTGATGGCAATGGGAAGAGTTAACCGGCCTTCTATTATGGTCTATGGGGGGACGATCAACCCTGGATGTGCAAAGACCCAAAACAACGCGGATATCGATATTATATCCGCTTTTCAGGCGTACGGCCAATTCTTGAGTGGAGACATTACCGAGGAGCAGCGGTTCGACATAATTCGACATGCGTGCCCTGGTGGTGGTGCTTGTGGAGGCATGTATACAGCAAACACGATGGCTTCGGCTATAGAGATTATGGGCATGACGCTACCTGGGAGTTCTTCCAATCCGGCAGAGTCCAAGGCGAAACAGCTTGAGTGCCTTGCTGCTGGAGGTGCTATTCGAAATTTGCTGAAGCTCGATATCAGACCATCCGATATCCTCACCCGTCAAGCATTTGAAAATGCCATGATTCTTGTCAACATCACTGGAGGGTCGACGAATGCCGTTCTGCACTTGATTGCCATTGCTGATTCGGTGGGTGTGAAACTAACGATTGACGATTTCCAAGCTGTCAGTGACAAAACACCATTCTTAGCAGACCTCAAGCCTAGCGGCAAATACGTGATGGCAGATCTACACAATATTGGAGGTACACCGTCGTTGATCAAGCTTCTGCTGAAGGAAGGTGTGATCAAGGGTGACGGAGTGACAGTAACAGGTCAGACATTGGCGAAGAATGTCGAGAACGCCCCAGATTTCCCCTCGGATCAGACCATCATCCGGCCTTTCAGCAAACCCATCAAGAAAACTGGCCACATTCAGATCCTGCGCGGCTCGCTTGCCCCAGGAGGCTGCGTGGGAAAGATTACAGGAAAGGAAGGGTTGAAATTCGTTGGGAAAGCCAAGGTCTATGATGAAGAAGACCTATTTATTCAGGCTTTAGAGAAGAATGAGATAAAGAAAGGAGAGAAGACTGTGGTAGTGATCCGGCATGAAGGTCCTAAAGGCGGTCCAGGAATGCCAGAAATGCTGAAACCATCTTCAGCGATCATGGGAGCAGGTCTCGGAAATGATGTCGCACTGATCACAGATGGCAGATTCAGTGGTGGCAGTCACGGCTTTCTGATTGGTCATATCGTACCCGAAGCAGTTGAGGGAGGACCGATCGGACTCGTCGAGGATGGTGATGAGATCAGCATAAACGCCGAGACGAGAGAACTCAATCTGCACGTTGATGCCACAGTCCTTGATCAGAGGAAGAAGAAATGGGCGCAAAATCCACCCCAACCAAGAGTCAGGAGAGGTACACTCGGGAAATATGCTAGATTGGTCCAGGACGCGAGTCATGGATGCATCACGGATGCAGATATGTCTGATATCAATTGAAGAAGGCAAAAGGTCCAAGGTCTGTGCCGAAGACCCCTTTATCTGTAATCTTGTTATTGCTTCATTCGTCTAGGCTCAGTGCTGACAGGTGACCATCCTCTTGACTTGACTTTACCTGAAACGTAATACCTACCACATTAGGTGCACTCCAGTTCCTTGGCCTTTGTGATTTGTTCGAATTGTCGGTCCTTCTCCGTCCTCTTCAAAGGGATATTGATCGGTTCCATGCATGACAAGGGATTGCTACTCGCTCTTGCTACACAAGAATACTTATCAGCTTCTTATAACTGGTCCCAGCTCCAGCCGATTGAAGTCATGTTGCTTTCCTTGAAGTATTTCCAAAGAACATAGCGATGGTTTGCATGACATGGTAGGTGAATGCATGGGTGTGAAGTGCAGAATCTGCCATGCTTCAACGTTCGGCCAAAGCATGCAATGATCTTGGCCGAACAGAGGACAGGGTACATATAGATGTGGATCAGGTTCCTTCTCCAGTCGCAAAAATCATCAAACCACAATAGCACATCCATGAGCAATCCATCTCTCTCATTTCAGTCAGCCAGTCTACCCAGGATTAGGCTCATCCGGTTTCCATGATTAAGCAGGTTTTATCCGAGCAGGGGTACCCCAGAGGACCTGTTGCTTGACGCATCGTGTTGCAATTCTTGAGGAATATGACCTACGGAACTTCTAGTCGCCCAATGGTTCTCTTAATATACCCTACTCTACCTTGCTCAAATTGAGGGCTGTGACACAACTGCGGCCTCGTTACAGTTCAGTCATATATTCTTATTTTCCAACAAGATATCGGCTCCTCTATGACAAATCGACTGGCCTAAGCTTGATGTCAAAAAATATCATCGGAAACTCATCGATGCCCTCAATTCCTACGCCGTCTTACGCACCACTCTCTTGGTGGTTGGAATCAAACTGCGCCGTCAACGATATGGACCACCTCAGAGTAGTCCTTCTGAACAGCACATCCCATTGAATGATGATGAGTCTCCTCTTGCTTATCAAACGAGGCGTGTTCAGATCACCAGGCCGGGTTCAATTAGCTGAGACAAAGATGGCGATTACCCTAGTTAGGGTTTTCACGTACAAAAAGTCCAGATCCGAAACGAAGCCGGTTACAGGATCAATCGACTACTATAAGAAGGCTTGGTGTCAGATCCCTTCAAAGTGGAGCAACAAGCGTAAGAGACTCCACTGTCTTGGTCTACAGTATTGTCATTTCTGCTTAATTAAAAGGCTTACATTTGATCCTGTGCGCGGCTTACCGAAGTCTTATCCAAGCTGCCCTTTTGTCCGCAGCTTGGCCAAGGAGTGCAAGATGTGATCCAGGTTGAGGACTCACGATGAGCCTGTGGTCTCCGATCCCAGTGTTTACGCCTCCTTAAGTGGGACCTTCCTCGGGCCCGCACCATCACCGTCAATCTGTCCTATGCCTTGTCTTACTCTAGTATGGGAGGTGAGGCTGCTCATCTAAAGTCTTCTCGACCATTTTACCATCTCATCAGGATTGGGTTAATCGCTCCAGCCATGCATAATGCTAAATTAACTCACAGGGGATATTTGCAAGTCACGCCGTCGATCGACTTTACAGGCAAAAATATGAGAGAAAATTGCAAATGATCTGGTCGTTTAGTTTGGGGCGCGCAAGGAATCACGCGAGATCAAGACGATCAGGGAAGGACGCGCAGAGCCGACGCGATGAGCAGCATAGAACCTAGGAACGATCGAAACCCTGTGGGTCCGGATATCCAGTCAGAGCTCCATGGACAGACGTCGTGTGCTGCATCGATGGCGCACGTCCGTCCTCCTAAGATGCTTCTCACAAGCCATGAGAAGGTGTATATTGGCTCCTTGCCCTCGATCATGACATGTTCACGAACATGTCTTGTTGCCAGCCTAAAATAGATCAACCGAGAGAATGAAAGACAACAAAGCTTTGAGCCTGAAGGCATAATCTCGCATACTTTCTGTACTTCAGAAAGAGGTTGGGAACTTCGGAGATCGGATATCTCCGATGAAGACTTAAATATGACATCATTCTAATAAAGCATTAAATGTATTACCACAGTCTGATTATTTTGGATACAATCATCCCAGGTGTAGCATGATGATGTCTTGGATAGTAGCTCCGTGTTGGTAGCGAAAGGTGAGACGAACTAGAATATGTCAGTGTGTTTGATATCCAACTAGTAAACTTCTTATATCCCTGCAGTGCCCGTGTATATATACATCTGTTCCGCCTTCTCCATCTTACCCTGGCTAGCATAGAGATTGCCGAGATTGTTGACTGTGTTCAGTGTTAATGTGTTCCCTTCCCCACGCCTTTTCCTTTCCTTGGAGAGCTCGTACGTACATGGGAAAGTTACGTAATTGGTACACACTTCAGAATCTATCTCAGGAGAAGAAGCTAACTAACTACTGCACAGAGTGCAGTCACATGATGCCAAGGATTTGGCTGTACGCGTATGGCCAATTCCAACAGAAATCAGTTGTAGCCTTAGTATCAGGGTTATTTATTAACTAATTTATTTCAAATGCTGAATGTACTGCTCTGAATGTACCTCTCTGAAGATTTTCCGCACAATATCTTACTTTAGTTACCGATCAATCAATAGGTTGCTTTCAACTCACATTATTGGTGTCTTTCATCCTTAATTACCCCCTGCAGGAGATGTGAACGAGTCTATCACCCAGTACTAGAGCGCTCACAAGGACTGGCAAATGAGAATGGAGCACGTCGCTCTACCCTCGAATAATTTTCATCCACCTTTAGTCATACCCTTCATATGTGACAATGGTGCTCTTGAGTATGATCATAAAGGATTCCTCGACTTTCCTAAACGTATAGGTGTCGTCCCTGAAGACATTATGCAAGGCAAATTCCACGGACTGAGCCACCTTGATGCCTTGAGTTTCTTTCAGTCGTGGTGCTTCTTTGGGTTGCTCTTCGAATTTCTAACCATTGTCGGTCGGGTTTTCACGATCGAAGATTTTCTGCAGCGAGAACCGTCGGCAGTGAGTGCAGGCCTAACAGGTCGCATCATTTCTACAAAGAAGTTGCCGGTACTATTTCGCGAGCTGGAAGAGGAATCACGAACATTGGATATTGCTGAGAAGGTCAAACGATTTGACACCATCTGTGAGCGTCTTCAGGTCGCTGCAGAATTCACTTATCTTAGCAGCAGTTACGAAATCGATGTAGATGGGCGACATTTCTTCTCCGATGACTCGATTAATTGGGCAACAGCTTCATCGCCGGGGAATTTGGTGCATCTTTCCATTGTGGCGCTAGGCGAGCTTCTCGAATCCATAACCGCTACTTTGTATAAGACCAGACGCTCCACTTACAGGGGCTACCGTCACAGAGGCCCAAGTACATTTATAGAGTCTCGTATGTTACAGGCAGGGTGGTGCCCAAGCCAGGCCAGGGCGCTCTACGATCAAGACACAGGGCTTACTTTCATGTATTACTTGAGCTCTATGAACATCCACGCTTTGGGTTGGAATCATGATGGGTGTGGAGACAGCTTTCGCTGCCAATTTGACACGCTGGACTTGCAGAAATACCAAACAAAACATTCTTTGGAATGCCAGCCCATAGGTACGTCTGATGCCGCTGCCTCTGCTCTTTGACAATCCATCAGCCATTCAAAGTGAAACATTTTCTCAACCGATTGAGTGACGCCACGTTAACGTGCGCAATTGATGACTAGGAGGGAATAATTGTCGATTCATCACCCCAGAATCGACTTGGTCACCTCGCATTTCTGGCATTGTACGAAGATATCAGACACCGCTGATCAAGGTACATGAGCATGGTGTTGATAGAACGGTGCAGATCTGCGTAAAAGCAGCCGAGATAAATCTTGCGCAGCCTAGGAAATATATCGGGAGTCAACTTGTTGATAAGTGCGCTACTATCATCGGGTTACGAACTGGCTCTTGGTGGCTCAACGTGATCGAGACCCGCTACGTCTGTATCTCCCATGTTTGGGCTGAGTAAGTACACGAATTGGTATCTGTTAACAAGGCTTTGCTGATCAATCAAGCGGATTGGGAAATCCACGAGAGAACAGTATTCCCGCGTGTCAACTTATGCGCTTACAGCGTATGGTCAACGAGCTTTACCCCCAAGAGGAGAGGCCCGTGCCATTTTGGCTTGACACCTTGTGTGTCCCAATACGCAGACGCTTCCGGAGAATGGCCATAGTTAACATGGCTCAGATTTACAGGCGGGCGGATAAGGTTCTGGTGTTGGACTCTTCACTTCTCCAGGCTTCTACCACAGCCTCTCCGCCCCTTGAACTACACGTTCGTCTAATGACATCACGTTGGAGCCGGCGATTGTGGACTTTGCACGAGGCAATCCTGGCTGAGCAGCTCTATTACCAATTCGCGGATCGCGCGCTTACCCGTGGTCAGCTTTGTGATATTTGGCTGAAGTCCCTGCTCAGCTGTCGCCAACCTGATTCCTCTGGTAGCTGCGAGGTATCGGATCAGCTGACCCCCATCCGCGATGAGACTCGTAAGGTAGGGCTCCGCATCTTGTTCTCGGACCCTGTTGCGCGGCAGGCATTTAACTGGTTGTTTCAGCTGGAACGATTCACAGGAATGCGTAAAAATGCAGACGCAGCGTTCATGCGGGTTGCATTGAATGCTTTGTTCTGGCGTACTACTAGCTGGCCCGGCGACGAAGCCATCTGTTTGGCCGGCCTTCTTGACCTAGAACTAGGGCAACGCGAGTTACTCGCCAAAACGGATGCAGCCGACAGTTTGAAGATCCTATTCATGTCGCTTGATTCAGTCCCATTGGACATACTATTCGCCAACCTGCCTAGGTCACACGACTTGGGCTTTTCCTGGATCCCCTCAACTATCCTGGGCAGAGGTCGTGATGCGTTCATGACAAGCTTGCGCCCTGCTTACCCAACGCCCGAAGGACTTCGCTTCACATCCCCCGGCTTTCGTCTACGGGGCAAAGTTGAACCAGTCTTGAATGACAACAGAGTCTATCTGGAATACAACGGTCATTACTACTATATGGTTCCCCGAGCTAAGAAACACGTCTTTGAGTGGAAATATCTTGAATCCTTGGACTTAGCGGTCATTCTTCCAACACCTCTAGTTTATCCCGGCTTTACATTCGCTGCTCTCATTGCGGTTCAGGGGACGGTTGATGATGAGCTACGATGTTTTTACCTGCATCCGATACTGATCTCCAGTCGCGATGACCAAATATCCATTTATATAAATCACCACGGGCCCGTAGTTAGGTGTACAGCTTATCCCGAGGAGCAGGCATGGTGTATACGATGAGGCCTCAAACACCACATCAGTCCAAACCCGCAAGCTGTCAAATCTAGTGAGGTTGCCGCAAAGCTGTTTTTGCATACTGTGTCAGCTGGGTCTGTGGTGGAGTAGCAGGCAGACAACCTCGCTGTGTAGTAGGTAACGAAATGTCCGGTTGGTGATGAGATAGTACGCGCAAGGTTTTGTGCACTCTGTCTGGATTTAATGATTAATAAAACTCTCCTCGATCAGCCCTTACTAGATATCGTTTCGTAGATTTTGACGTACTCTTCCCACACATCTAGCGCTGCTCAATAGTTTACCAAAGTTCTATCTTGGAAGGCAGAAGGCGGTCACTGTTGATAATACTGCTGTTTTCTTCATGGCAACCCCTCCCCTTTGTCCATGTAATAATATCCCTACGAGCCCCAGGTATACTGGTCACACTGAGATTCTACTCACTTCATGACGCTCGGAGCAGGTTGAATGGATAGGGCGGCAACAGGCAGCAAGCCTAGGTGGTAGCGCAGTTTGAAGTAATTCGCAGCCTTGCGATTCAAGCTAAATAGCCCTAGATTAACGTTATTCTGAATCAAATGCTCCTTATCTGAGTCTATTTGGAGCTATTTTGGTAGAGCTATAGCTGTTTGAAATTTGAGAGTTGCCGAACGTGCTGCGCGAAAAACCGTGGGGTGTCTCGGCAAGTGGTAGTGTACGTTACTAGGCGGTACGGGCGTAAAGATAGTCAGAGAGGACAGATAGCTAAAGCTTGGCTGATACAGACGTGTAAGCCACCTTAAATAACCTAAACAGGTCCTTGAGATAAGAGGGTGATAGCAGTAGCTCTAGGGATTAATCCTTATAACGAATTTTCTACGCGCCACTAGAGTTTAGATCGATTGTACTAGTGACGCTCTAAATTTAGCGTATATTGAAAACTTTGGAAGCACGACTCTGTATGACTTGTAGAAATACTTCGCGAGCCCGCCGCTATCTTTCTGGCTCTCACAATTCTTTAGGCTTTAAAACCTCAAAACACTCAACACAATCCCTATCTTGCGAAGCTGGTCACCTCAAGGCCAACGTCAGTGCCAGTGCCCACGGGCCTTTCCCACAGCCTTGACGCCTCTTCCCTCATGTCAGCAGAAGAAAAGGAACCTCTCCTCAACGCTAATCCTACCCTCCAGAAATACTACGCCTCCTTAGAGTCGCGCATTGGATATCGTCTATTCCTCGGTGATACCAGACATTTCGGGTATTACCCAAGTTCTTCATCATGGCCATTCCCGATCAACGGAGCCCTACGCGCAATGGAGGAACAGCTCTTCAACGCGCTAGAATGCCCTCCAGGCTCCCGAGTGCTGGACGCTGGATGTGGCGTAGGACATGTGGCTCTTTACATGGCAAAAGCTGGTGACTATCGCATTGAATGTATCGATGTCGTTGCTCGTCACGTTGCAAAAGCCAAGCGGAACATCTCCAATGCTGGCATGGAGGGTGCGATATCGGCAAGCCTCGGAGACTACCATCATCTCGAAGACTTCTACGACAACTCCTTTGATGGCATCTACACAATGGAAACATTGGTGCATTCGACGAATCCGCTTGGCGTACTGCGGGAATTCTTGCGGCTGTTGAAGCCCGGCGGACGCATAGCGTTGAACGAGTACGACCATGACGACTTAGGAAAGGCCCCCAAAGACCTGGCAGATACAATGAAGAAGGTCAACAAGTACGCCGCTATGCCAGCGAATGCCTCGTTTGATAGAGACGTTCTGAAGGAGCTATTGCAGGAAGCTGGCTTTGAGGACGTACAACTAAGGGATCTATCGGAGCATATTGTGCCCATGTTGTGGCTCTTCTATCTCCTGGCACTAGTGCCCTATATTTTGTTGAAGCTGCTAGGGATAGAGCATCGCTTCGTGAACACCATGGCAGGCGTGGAGTCATATAGGGGCCGACACCTCTGGAGGTACATCCAAGTCCCCGGCAGAAAGCGATCATGATCCACATGGGACGCCTCGAACCCCATCCAACAAATCCCTGATTCAGGTTTTTATTGGAGCGGCTTTGCCGATGCCCTGCCCAGCCTGGCCCCCAAACTTGCTTCTATGTTACGTCAATTGGGGGCCTTGTCCTGAAGGCCTTGGCATCGTGTAAATGTGGCTGGCACTTTATCTACAGACTCTCCTCCTTTCCAGACATCTGATGGACTTGTCTTCTAGACTTGAATCACTACTGTACTACAAGAGCGTAATCAGAATCATTTGCTAAGGAGGCGCAACCGACACCAGATCGCCCAATGAATGATACGTCCTGTTGCGGAAATGTTTGCCCGCGCTCGACGACAGATTCAGTTGATAGTCGTCAGGGCTGGACGTCTTCTCCAGATTGCCGAGGAACAATTGACATTATCTGGAACTGTCTGCTGACCATGTTCCTTTGCTGTTGGTCAACGATGGTGGTAAATGTGCCGAACCCACGGTCAACGAACTCCCAGATTCTCATGCGAAAGCTATACCTCGTTGCGCTTTGCGTCATAGCACCCGAGATCATCTTTCAGGCGGTCCTAGGACAATGGCTCTCATCGCATCGTTCAGTCAAGCTCTTTTGTGAGGCTGGCCACCCGGATTGGAACATGAGGCATGGCTTCTACGCAGACATGGGCGGCTTTCATTTGCAATGCCCTGATTGGAAGTCATTTCCAGTCGATGCGAAACAGCTTCACTATCTTGTCGTGCACAAGTATGTGGAGTATCCCCAGCTGCAGGACAGCCACATCCAGGACAAGAACAAAGTTGACGGGATGCTTCGGTTGATCACATTCATCCAGGCGCTGTGGTTCATCGCCAATGTCATTGGTCGTGCATCTCAAGGCCTTGCAATCACTGTCCTTGAGCTTAGCACTTCGGCCTTCGTCATTTTCAGCGTTGCTACCGCTATATGCTGGATGCGGAAGCCTGCAGATGTGCAGCAACCTGACTATATTATTACAGACAAGAAGATCACAGAGATATTGCTAGAAGCTGGAGAGCCGGCCGCAGGTGTGTATTACAACACACCACTTGATTTCGTGAGTCGGAGGGAATGGTGGTGGACGATCTTATGGGCACACGGATTAAATTACCTTCGGAAGTTGCACATCGCGGCACCTCCAAGGAAAAGGCCGATTGGTCGGTTCGAAAACACCGTTTTCCCTTGTATTGGGACACTGCCATACCTGCTCTTCGTCGTCTTAAGTTTGGATTACCTTGGTGTCTTTGTTGCGGGGTGGAATTTCCGCTTTGCGACACGAAGAGAGAGCGTGCTCTGGCGCGCAGCTACACTTACCGCTCTGTCGAGCGCGCTTGGAGTGGCCATTTTCGTGGCTAGCTGCTTTCACTGGCACTCTGTGTTGCGACGCAAGCTCAGATCGAGAAGTACTTCGTTTGAAGAGGCCGGAAAGGAGCAACCGAGCATAACGTCTGGGCCGGCCGCCATCAGGAAGGGCCGAAGTAGAATCAGCACCATCGCAGCGTACCTGAAGAACAACTCCGTTCTCAAGGATCCGGCCTTGGACGCCCCGGTAGAAGCCATCCTCGTCACGTGGTTTCTTGGGTTCTTCTACATCTCTGCACGCGCGTACATTATTGTTGCTGACTTCTGGGCCCTCCGTTCCCTGCCACGCTCTGCATATCAAGATGTCAGCTGGTCGGCAATCTGGCCCCATATCTGAGGGACGTCTGGATAGTATCAGGGGACATCCGGTGTGTTAGCACCTTCTCTGGTTAGAAGTTTGCCTCATGCGGAATACATTTGAACTAGCCATCAAAACCTTTAACCCTGAACGCCCTTTCACGTGGACAATCTATAGACACTCGATGGCTGTCTTTCAGCCCCCGGAAGCAACGATGAAATTCAGTCTTCACTCCGCTTCCGAGCAAATCCAGATCTATCCAAAAATTTCCCAATCCCCATTTGGCCAAGCTTTGCTCCTATCTTCCCACTTCAGCGAAAACCTCGCGGAATCATCCATTCCCAACACCCCTAACGTAAGTCACGTCCCCGAACAGCGGGTGGAGCGCCTTTCGGCGCCTCTCAATCACAATAGTACTACTACACTTATCCTTAATCGCCAGCTGGAAGCCCTGCTACAGCCACTCGGTTTCGGTTTCGGTTTCGGCTGAAATAACAACAGGCGGCAAAAGACACGAGGAGATAGAACTGATTAGAGTACAACTCCGGGGGCGTTGGTGTGCCGAATGCCGTGTCTTGGTCCGGACGAGCCTTGCTCACTTACGTTCACAGAAGTATCAAGGTAAGCCTGCAACCTTGCAATCGGCTCACTAACTTGATTAGTTATGATCATATATCACCTCTCATTTCATATCGCTTCACTCTGACTCCTGGCTCTACTTCCCGGAAGAACGAGTCTGGTCCTAAAAGTTTACATACGTAGGGGAACAGATACATATACACACACGTAGACGGGGGGTCAGCGAGGGAAATTACTTTTACCAACTGTACGGGGTACTTAGCGAGCAAAGCCTCGAAGCACGCACTTCAAGCCGCTCGATTTAGAAGCCAATGCCCACTAACTTATCACACAGTACTGGCCCATGGTTCCGCAAACAGGGGTGAGTATGAGTAAGTAGTTCGATCACACAAAATCAAGCCTGTATTTCATTGCAACCATTCACATATTGATGAATCCGTTGCATCTTTCTGGCATGTTTACCACGTGAGCACGAGATGAGCTAAGTTAGATCTGATCTACGCCAGTGCCGGATGGATAGCTAGGATTGCGATGGGGCTGACATGCTGCGAGGGCTGGTTGTGGCAAAGGATAAGTGAGGCCGCCGCCTGCTTGGACGTCGTGTCTCGTGTGTCTTGTATCTTGGTGATGAGCAACACCGTATCTAGGCGATCTGCCAGTCGGCTGGCTCTGAAGCAAGAGCGGAGGAATGGATATTCGGTGTTGGGGGTTCGAGATGCTGATGAAAGTGAGTTAAGTTATTGTAGGATTTTTTCTCCCATGAAGCCCGCATTTCTAGCCTCTATTTAGAACTTGCAAGCTGTGATCCCATCTTGTCTACTGCTAGTATTTCTTGTTTTGTTCCAACCAAGCAAAGTGGCCCGAGGGCGCCTTCGAAGAGCTGTCATGCTCAAGCAGAACCCCTGCACGCTGATCTTGCCTTCATTAACACCCCTCACCCAGATGGTTTTCGTCCATCCAGCTCGATCACAGGGAGATGTTCCTGACACCATTAGTCAGCTCTCCGTTGACGTGGATCTCTCCATTGACCAGTCCCTTCCCGTTCAAGCATCGATCGGTGACTTGGTCCAGCAAGCCGCAGCTCGCGGCCACCAAGCCGAGATATGGCGGACTGGGCTTCAACACCCTCGACAGATATTCCGGGTGGAATTGGACGCCCACGAACCAAGGATGGTCCTTCAGTTCCACAATCTCCATTCGAACTCCTTTATCATCCTTGCCGATGAAGTTCAATCCTTTGCCTGACAGTTGTTCAATGTAATCTGGATTCACCTCATATCGATGTCGATGCCTCTCGTCAACATGGTCGGCATTGTTGTAGAGCTTTCGTAACCGAGACCATTCGCTGTCCTTCTGAAACAGAGTTGGCCGCAGACCCAGTCTCATATTTCCGCCCATTGTCTTCTTATCAATCTCGGGCATGAAGATGACTACCGGCTTCTCAGCCTGTGCATCGAACTCAATAGAGCCTGCACCAGGGATGCCGCAGACATTCCTAGCATACTCGACGACAGCAAGCTGCATTCCCAGGCAGATACCAAGGTACGGCTTTGGCTTCGTTCGCGCCCAATTTGCTGCAGCAACCATGCCCTCTGTGCCTCTGTGACCAAATCCACCAGGAACAAGTACCCCGTCAGCCGTGCAAAGCTCATGCCAGGCTTTGTGATACAGCTCTGGTGAAGTTTCCACCGTCTGTTTCTCCAGATGTGAGGCATCCACCCACCTCAGATTCAGCTTTCTCGCACAGGCCATGGCGCTGTGCTCGAGGGATTTTATCACGGACAGATAGCTGTCGTGGAGGTTGGTGTACTTTCCCACAAGGGCGATAGTCACTTTCTCCGTCTCCAGAAATCGGTCTTGAGAGGTCGTGAGGGCTTTCCATTGATGCCAGATCGATTGACCTGAGGCCAATAATGATGGTGAGATGGTGTAGGTGTCAAGTCGTAAGATGGTGGTGAGATTTTCAATAAGGCCCTGTCGTTCGAGCAACATGGGAACATGGTAAGTAGAGGAGACATCGTGTACGGCGATCACTTGCGAAGGCTCAACCTGACAGAACATTGCAATCTTGGAGATTGTCGATTGGCTCAAGGGCTCCTGACACCGGCAAGCGATCTGAGAGCTGTCAGGATTGAGTACCGAAAATAGAAGAATTCTTTACCAAATCTGGGGTCAGACCAGCTGACCGAACATCCTTGATAGCTTGTTGTGTAGGCTTGGACTTTTGCTCCCTGCTTACCACCGGAACAAGCGAAACGTGAATCTGTAGGAAATTGTCCTTTCCCGCTCTTCTGCGCAGTTGCCGCATGGCTTCAATAAAGGGTCCACTCTCGATGTCGCCCACAGTCCCACCGAGCTCAATTATGCATACATCCGGCTGCTCGTTCGTGTCATCCACAGGTATCTTTGCGACGCGTTCTATCCAGTCTTGGATTGCGTTTGTAAGGTGCGGGACGACCTGCACGGTCTGTCCAAGATAGTCTCCCCTTCGCTCTCGCTCAATAACATGCTGATAGATCTTGCCAGTAGTGATATTATTCTCGCGCGTCAGGGTTATGTTTAGGTAGCGCTCGTAGTTTCCAAGATCCAGGTCGACTTCTCCACCATCGTCCAGCACAAAGACTTCACCATGCCTGATCGAGGTCAGAGACGTTCAATGCCATTTGTTCTGGATGGTCGCACATACTCGGTGGGCGCCATAGTCCCTGCATCAACATTCATGTAAGGATCGACCTTGATCGAGGAGACGTGCAGACATTGTCAGCGCAGGCAAGCGCAGACAGCGGATGGCCACATATCTTGAGTCCTACGGTCTTCAGCAGCAGGCCAGTAGAAGAGGCTGCATCGCATCGTCAGCGCCGTACATCCAATGGTCCGCAGAAATATCGTACCAATAACGCCTTTCCCAATGCCGCTGATGACACCTGCCTACTGTCAGCTGTAGTCTTCATACCCCAAGCCATGTACATACCTCCGGACACCAGAACGTACTTCATGATGGGCAACAATGCTTTGCTTGTGAATGTGGGGTGCCGCTCCTGGCTTTGGCCAGGCGGGGAAGGGATCCTGGTAAAACTTGGGCGAGATAGATATGCACTTGTGTATCCAATTTTTATTTTCGCGCTAAAACCCAACACGGACGCGTGTGGGGAAGTGCTTGCATATGATAATGACAACGATAATGACAATAACAATGACAATGACAATGACAATGACAATGATAATGACAATGACAATGACCACCCACGTTCAATTGTATTCGTGTCTTCGGAGCAGTGCCTGCTCAGAGGCTGAAAACCCCCGTAGCCGAAAACACCCTATGCTACGATAGACGATAGACGACAAGTATATGGTAGAAGACACTTGACAATTGATTGCAGCATTTTGCCTTAATCCAACCTGGCCTTCAAGGACTTCACCTCTGCTAACAAGTCAGCAATAGCCTGTCCCTGCGACGCCATTTGCCGACTTTGTTGCGCCATCATCGAATTCATGTTCTTGACTTCGCGTTCAAGGGCTTCTACCCCACTGATGGATGAGCCAACGGCGGGAGTAGTTGGTGTCGCAGTATCCGAGCGTAAAGCAGCAATTTTTGAAGAGGAAATGTCGCTCGGCTGATGAATGTCAGTGTCCTTGACCATGGATTCACCATCAGCTAGTACATACCTCATCCAATATACTAGGGCCGGGACCTTTCTGTGTCTCCTCTTTTGCCTTCCACAACTCCGAAGTGGTTTCTTTGACCTCTTCGGGTTTTAAGTCTTCCGGAGCAGTCTTCACTGCCGCTCTCTCAATCGGCTTTTGCACCTCTTCAAAGCTCGATTCATCGCTAGACGCTTCTTTGTCATGATCTTGGTCGGCGTATTTGTCTGCCATGGCCATCATCGAACCACCTTGTTCCTTCATTGAAACTGGAGGAGCACGTGAAGCCCCAAGACGGGGCTCTTCTTGGGATGGCTGTGGTTGTGGTTGTGGTTCTGGTTCTGGTTCCTTCTTATCTGGCTCAGGTCCCTTGACGGGCGCTGGCATGTCACCCATAGGCTTTGGCTCCGCAGGAACTTCTTTCATCCCTCCGCCCTCGTAAATGGTCTCCATGTCGATCTTTGGTGGAAGGGCTGTCTTGCCGCCAAACCACTCTCCGCTCGACATTGCGGGCTTTAGGCCAACCGTAGGCGGGTAGATATCTTCCTGAAAGGTTTCGGCTCTCCGAGGGACGATGAATGAGATGGGCTCAATATAGGAGTCATTGACTGTCTTGTACGCTCGCATCACCTCGTTGTCGTGCATGTTGACACCACGCTTTGGCAAAAAGGCAATGCCTCTCTGTGGATCAGCCGATTTATACTCTGACAAGTACTCGAGTTTGTCATTCTGGTATTCGTAGTAACGTATATTGCCGTCGCCCTTTCCGGCCAGATAAAGACACTGAGTTCCATCATCCCAGAACGGGATGCAGACACCTGATATGGAATCTAGCATCTCAAAGCCACCTATAGGTTCGCGTGGTGCCTTGATATCCCATAATGCTAACTGCCTGTCTGACATGCGGCTGAAGCCGGTCGTTGCTATCCGATCGTGCTCGCCCATCCACACAGCTCTGCTGTTTTTGGCACCGGCGTGGCCTTGTACTTCTTGCGCGGGCTTCTGTTGTCGCACATCCCACACCCGCAGCTTCTTGTCGCGGGAGGTAGTCACAAGCATAGAGCCATCAGGGCTCCAGCAAAGTGATTGTATAATGTCGCCCAGCTTTAGACTGAGCTTGGCCGAGCCGGCTTCAATGTCCCAGATCTTTATCGTAAAATCTCCTGATGCAGAAGCGAGAACGTTCTCGGCAGCAGGGTTGAATAGAACATGGCCAACTTTCCTGTACGATGCCATGAGCGAGGGAGCACCAGAAAAGCTGCGACCACCTACTTGGGATGCCCGCTCAGCTTTCCAACAGGCGCAACGTCCTTGACATCATCGGCAGGTACATCACTATGGAGTGTGAAGCCTTCCGGCACTCTCCACAGAAACACCTTCGCGAGTAAGCATATGTGTCAAGGTGGACGAGGTGTAATGGGAGTCACCTTGCCATCATCCGACCCCGAACATATCAGCGAGTCATTGAAAGGGTTCCTGTGCCATTCAATACTTGTGCCGTGAGGAGGTCAAGTGAAGTCTACCAATCTGTGTCCAGCACAACGGCCGTGTGACCCCTGAAGAGTGGTATTCGTTCTGGCAACCTCCCTCTTTCACTTGTAGGTATCACGGCAAATGCGCCTCCTCCGCTGGCCTCCCAGTTGACCGCAATGTACTCCGGGTTGGCCTAGCAGCCCAGTCAACAACAATGCTTCCCTGTTCGCTGGTAGTCTTTACCTTGACCAAGTTTGTATCCCAGGCATTCTTCGAGATTCTGAGGTTGTCGTAGCATTGTTCCTTTCGCGCAGGGCGTCCAAAGACATGTCCTATGAGAAATGTCAGCAGGCACGTGGGATGGCCAGGATCTCGAAACGCACGATACTTTGATGAACGCACGAATCGACCAGCCATCCTGCACCCCGGCCACCTTCGCTAGTTTTGGCCTAACACATGTATAGATATACTTTGATATCAAGAGATAAGAATGTATACGACCGGCTAAAAGCTTTTCGTCTTTTGCTGAAGATTGTTCCTGGTACACATTTTATGAGCTTGGACGTCCGATGGCCCTAGATTGACGCGGAGGAATGGCTTGGCAGCACAAGAAGACACTTGATAACGAGATAACGCCGTGCCTCTGACAGTCCAGAGGTCCAGTCTACTAGACCTTAAAATAATAAAATGTCTGCTAAATTACTAAGGACCAATACTGCGTCATTTTCAAAGCCCTTCTCCCAGTAAGGACTAGAGGTTAACGGCATCTCAACAGCAGGGCTGGTCAAACGTACTCGGGACATGCTCTTGTATTGTTCAACAGATAGTGCACGTTGAAGTCAGTTTTATTAGAGAAATTTGATTTGCTCGCCGTTGTTAGAGCTTTGAATCTAAATTGCTGATATCGATACTTGTTCAGTCTGCACCGTACAAGACAGAAGAAGAAAAAATCCCACATCGAATTGGCAGTAAATAAGCGAATGTTCTTTGTCTGCCGCATCGTCTCCGCTGCCACCACCTCCACCTCCAACTCTGTCTGCTTCATAACACACTTTTGTCGCTATAGATCAGAGTCTATGGGAGAATACTGCAGAATCTGCGGCAGACGGTTCCACCAACGGGAGAGTTCAGAGCATCTGCAACAAGGAAACATGCAACTCTGAAAAGAGTTATAGGAACGATGGCACAGAAAGCTATCAAGTCACGGGCACCTGCATCGCAGGCATTGTAGCATGGCTCCCGGGGTGGAAATTGAGGTTGTGGCAATCCAGCATTGGCAAGCATGGGCGTGACATCGCTCAGAAATGCAAGGACATCCACTTCGACACCAGACGGCGCTTCAATTGGAGGTGCTGGTACACCAGGCACTGGTACTCCGGGCACACCAGGCGTTAGTACTCTAGGTATTGTAGGCACTGGTATTCTGGGCACACTAGGCGCTGATACTCTAGGTACTGTAGGCACTGGTACTCTGGGCATATTAGGCGTTAATATTCTAGGTATTGCAGATACTAGTACTCTGGGCATATCAGGCGCTAGTATTCTAGGTATTGTAAGCACTAATATTTCAGGCATATTAAGCGTTAACTATATTAAATATTAGTATTTTAAGTACTCTAGACATTAATACTCTAGATATATTAGATATTAATATTCTAGATATTATAAATATTAGTACTTTGAATATATTAGACACTAGTACTTCAGATATTGTAGATACTAGTACTCTAGGCACACTAAGCGTTAGTACTCCAGATATTGTAAGCATTAGTACTCTAGGCATACTAGGCGCTGGTACTCTAGGTATTCTAGGCACTAGTACTTTAGACATACCAGGCGCTAGTATTCTAGATACTTTAGGCACTAGTACTCCGGGTACACTGGACGCTAGTATTCCAAGTACTTTAGGCATCAGTACTCTGGGTATATTAAGCGCTAGTACTCTAGATATTACAAATATTGATATTCTAGACACATTAGACACCGGTACTCTAGATATTGCAAACATTAATACTCTGAGTACACTAGGCACTGATACTTTAGATATTACAGACACTGATACTCTAGGCACACTAAGTGCTAGTATTCTAGGTACTGCAAACACTAGTACTCCAGATACACCAGGCGCTAGTACTCCAGGTATTGCAGGCACTAGTACTCTGGGCACACTAGGCGCTGGTACTCCAGGTACTCCAGGCACTGGTACTCCGGGCACACCAGGCGCTGGTACACCAGGTACTGCAGGCACTCCAGGCACTCCAGGTACTCCAGGTACTCCAGGTACTCCAGGCACATAAGGCACTGTTTCATCTGCAGGTGCTGGTACAGCAAGTGTGGCTGTGGTGAAGATGAGAACGAGGTAAGGGGTGATCTTCATTTTGTCTGAAATTATCAATTAGCCTATTATCTTTCCCGTGCTTTGAAGAACATACCTCGTTCTCGATAATTATCTTGTGGAGTCTGTTAAAACTGGCCTTGTTGCACTGTTCTATAGTCGTGTTAGTCCATAGCTATCCCAGGATATGAGAAGAAGCGCTCACATGATAGTCAAGGAGAGAAGCTGCTGGTTAAATCGATGCAGTTTCGGCGGGAATTAGGCTGACATATATACTTTGATTTACCTCTGACTCTCTTCGCCCTGGTAAGAGACTGTTTTCGAAGAATTTACGCTCTTATTCACCCATTTGATTACATGGAATGGGCTAATGAGAGGAGGGATCCTCTCAGATGTCTGCCACAGGCTGGGAAGTCTTTCAACACGAGGAATATAGTCGCAGCTTGGCCCCACTGCTGGGTCTGTTGTTTGGTGACGCAAGGGCACGTCAAGAAACATTCCAGTCCCTTGCATCGATCTGCGTGAGGCCGTGACAGTTGACAGTGACAAAAAACACGAGGCGAGCTGCCGAAGTCAACTCAGCCTTTCCCGTTGGAAGCGCCGAAGCTAGCTTCTTGTATAGAATCGAGGTTCAGGTTGGATTTCTCCCACCAACCTGTCAAAATGTCCGTCTATCTGCTGGAAACAACGACAAATGGCAAGGTAATACTTCGAAGGTAACATTGACCTTAGCAACCAAGAATAGCGCATAACCTGAAGTTGTTTGATTGCAGTACCACACAAGCGAGATCCACAAACCAAGCGCAAGGACTGAGTGCATTCTTTAGTAAAGGGCATGTCTGGCACTGGAATGAGTAAGTACCTACCTTAGTTTACAGCATATTTAGTTATGCACCACAGAGCTAGCGGGTCCGGAATGCTCAACAGTGTCTTGCCAGTAGGTAACGATTTCCATTCGCATCGCTGTATTACATACCTCAATCCCCTATACATAAATATGAGTATGCAGACTAAGTGTGTAGAGTTCCGTTAGAACTTCGTCATGACTTAGGGTCTGACGCAAGTTATTGAAGAAACGATGTTATAAACTGGTCTTAAAAGTGTGCAGGTCTTATAGACCGATCTCTCTTTTGTAAACAAATTAGTGATAAATAATTCTTTGATAACTAGATTTTTGTACGGTACCCTTCGAATGTAGTAGTTATGTGAATAGGCTATTAGGTCAAAGCAATAACGGACGTCTTGAGCTCAAGCTGCTTAATTCTTTCTCTTGGCGTTAACTTTGCAACGTACTCCGTACATACTAGTGTTGTATCAGACCGCAGGAACATTTATTGGTTGGATTTTCCACGCGAAGCCCCCTGCGTTTCTCCCTGCTTCTGATTGGTCAATTTTCTACTGTAACTTCGCAGCTGATTTCGCAGTGCCGTATGGTGAATTTGTACGTGTATCTGGGCGCGCTGCCCTATTTTGAGAAAGAATAGAGCCGTTTCTTCTACCTGCTTGATAAGTTGAAATATTGGTTAAATTCAGCATATCCGCTGAAGCATGATATGGAGATCTGAACCACCATCGCTTGCGTGAAGTAATACTACGTATATGCCGCAGAATGCTGTGCTATGACATTATGTAGCACACCCTCTCAACATTCATGGCTTGTTTCAAGAGTCAAGATATGAATGTACCACGATCCCCACAAATCACCCGTGTTACCTGATTGAGCGCCTGCAAGCCAATCATGTCATTTCCGGCCCTTAGTTCAAGGACAAGACAACGCATTTTGCAAGGCAAGGGTGTACTGTGCAGAGAATACTATGCATGGATAGGTATGAGCCTTGCTTACGGGTGCCACAACTAAGGTGAATATCGCTCAACCCTGTTACCCTGTTTCATTAGGGGATATATTCCACTACATCGAACAGTACGTTGGAGCGGTAAGTTCATAGGACATGGAGCGTAGCAAAGTACTGGTACTAGAGATGCTGGGGCTTAAGGCCCCATACAGCATATTATTACTGCCATACACCACACCAACAGACAGCTGATCCATCTACCACATCTGGAGTGGTTGTTGATAGATAGATAGATACGTCATCTACCCTCCATTCTCACTATCCAACATATTGAAGTCTTCGGTCTATAGCAAAAGCTCGATGGAAACTTTTGACCTGAGCAGGCGATAAAGCACCGGGTAACCCCCTGAAGCATTGCGCAGCTAAACAGTTTCCAGCCAACCATCGACTTATCTCAAGAACAGAGCCATCAAAGGTTGAAACTTCGAGATCACAAAGAAGAGTCAACAGAAGAGTTAGCGGAAAAGCCGAGGCCGACGCAGAGAGCCCAAAGCCCCATAGAAGCTGCAGGACAAAGCAATGCATGTACCAATCAAAACTGCCTAAGATATGCTGGTGGAATAAAGTGGAAATTCACTTCGCACCAAGCTCTTCCTCCGCCCAACCAGGCAGAGCGCCATGAGATTCGCTTTGCAAGCTCAGACCACCAAAGCCGCTCGTTCCAAAGCCAGTACCGAAAGCAGTACCAAATCCACCAAAGCTACCTTGTGGTGCATGGCCGCCAAATGCTCTGGACGAATGGCTCGATGTCGGCACTGATTGTTGGGCTCCGAAAACTTCCTGTGAAAAAGCTGGTAAACTGACCGCCCGTGAATGAGCACTTCTAGCAGCATTCAGGCCAACATTGCTGGGAGCAAGCAGGCCACCAATAGTGCTCGAAACCCCACCGTTGGAGGAGGATGAGCCTGAGAAAGCGCCACTGATGCTGTTTTGTCTTGGCTGTTGCTGTTGTTGCAACAACATAGTATCGAGGCCAGCATGACCATTGGGCATGTCGCTGTAAAGGGCAGCCTGTTGTGCTGATAGAGCAACCTGTTGTTGCTGCTGCAAAGCTAGAGCGCTCATCGACTCGTTCAGCCCACGCATCTCTTGCTCTTGCTGAGCTGACATTTGGTTCAAATACATGGTTAGAGGATTGTTGCTTCCAGCGTTCAGGATCGCTGATGGAGTTGGTGCCGCAACAGACTGAGACTGTTGACGCTGCATACCGTTCTGCGAATGAGAGCCGGTCGAGCCAGGAGCCGGAGACAGAGCTGATCGTGTAGGACTGGGCTGGGAGCTTTGCGAGAGATTAGTTGAAAAGCCATTCAGCGCCGGAGGAGAACCGGCGCTCTCAAGGCCACCTTGCATTCGCTGTTGCTGCTGGGCAGTCTGTCTTGGAGGATTGCCACATCGATCCTTGCCAAAGTTGATCTTGAAACGCTTGTACTCTTCTCTGCCGCGGATTGCTTCGATGGCCTTGATAGCGTTGGCAATGTTTGTAAAGTTGACGAAGGCGCAGCTCTTCTCCCGCAGGGTATTGACGAGCTCAATCTCGCCATATTCGGAGAAGTCTTGGCGAAGGCGCTCCTCGCTCCAGGTCTCATCCAAGTTGCCAATGTAGACGTTGCGGGAAGCGCCACCACTAACCGCCAAAGCAATTGCTGGGGGAAGGGCACCAGAGTGCTTGCCCCAACCTATTTTTAGACGTCTATTGTGTATCATGAGCCCCTGAAGATTGCTCAGAGCATAAAATGAGGCAGCTGATGTTGGATCAATGAAAGTTACAAAGCAAATATGTTTATCGGGAATATATCGAATGTGGTGGAGAAGGCCTCCTCGAACAACGTTGCAAATCTCTTCAATCGTCGTCTCTGGGTGGATATTGCCCAGGTATACCGTTCTATTTCCCAGATTGTTGACACCACCCGCGGTGGTAGCGACTGCTGCTGCTGCCACTGATTGTTGGGCCAATGCATTTGATATTAGATCTCGATCGGCACCATTGAGCACATGTGCGTAGCCGGGCGCAATTCCAAGATATTGTGCAGCGTTCTGCTGCTGGGTTTTGGAGACATACGCACATCTGTCCTTCCCATAGTATACTCGACGCGGAGCCTGCCACTTGGGCTCCTGAGGAAGCTGAGCAACAGCTTTGACTGCATTGCTCACGGAGAGGAAGTGGACAAAGCCGATGGCTTTCTCTCGGACAAGCTTCACGGTATCTATCGGACCAAACTTACCCAGATCTTCTCGAATCTCTTCTTCTGTAATGTCTTCAGGTAGATTGCCAAGGTAGACATTTCGTGAAGCTCCAGACTGCTGAACGGCAAGCGCCACAGAAGTCGGTACTGGTGATGGCTTACCCCAACCAATTTTGATGTCTTGGCCCTTGATGGAGAGTTTTTTGAGAATCGCATCCGAATGAAAATGTGTTGCAGAGCTGCTATCCATGAAGGAGATAAAGGCACAGTTTTTGTCCGGCAAAAGCCTGACTGACTCGATCTGGCCACTCCGCACATGGCTAAGGATCTCCTCAGCGGGGGTCTCGGGGGGAATATTACCCAGGTAGACTGTCCGGCTAGTACCTGACATGATACCTGGCGTCATGTGCATTGGAGGACTGCCAAAGGCTGGTCCAACTATGCTAGCAAAGCCGCCGTTCGGCGATTGTGCACCACCGAGAAGTTGTTGAGAGGCAAAACTGTCGTGCGTACCCATGTTTTGGTACATTTGAGAGGAGATATGGCTCGTATTAGTCTGGTTTGGGCTGCCAAGTTGATGTTGTTGATGCATTTCATGACTGGCCTGGTTGAAGCGGCCATAACTTGAGAATTGTGGTGAGTTGAAAGCTGACGGACTACCTGGCTGGAATGGACTGCCCAGCAGAAGTTGAGAAGGAAGTAAAGGAGTATAGTTCAAATCGAACGCTGTTCCCGGAGTCTGATCGTTCCCAGAATATGCACCCAAAGCATCCCGAGCAGCGGTATTAATGGATGGGATGTTGACGCGGCGTGGATTGCGTTCACCAAACCCTTGTCCTGCCCAAGTATTCGAATTGTATGCCCCATGTGAAAAGCCCGTATTATCATTATTGAATTTTCCACCCATAAACCGCAGGTTTGAGCCTCCAACCCCTTCCGAGTTCTGCATTCCTAGCATATGAGGTGGTTGGACAGCCTTGTCCCGAACGTGAGGTGAAATGATAGCCGTTGTGACGATGGGGTGTCTGGTGTTTGCGATTACCGGGCTGCTGGAGAACTAGATGCTGAAATGCAACTATTTGCAGACAATAAACAGATTGCAAACACCCCTAAATGGCGCGATTTGACACCTTATATTCGGATCGATGCTGGTGAGAAAAATGGAAGCAAGCTGCCAGAAAGTGATTAAATGGTAAGGTAATGAGCTGGCCAAAATGATTCACAAAGATTGAATGTGCAAAAGGTATTAGTGTAAAAGAATGAGTGAATGAACGGAGAGATGAAAGCAGAACCGAACGAAGGTGTTTGATAGTAATGAAAATGAGGTATGTAGTGATGCAAAGCAGAGAATGGAAGAGACAGCAACAAAATAAGAGCTTGGAGCAGCCTGGCATGCATGCGGAGGTTGTTTCCCCTATCCGCTGGCCCTCAAACCCACATTCCAGGTCAGGAGTTGCTGCAACACTGGCCAGCCAATTTCTAGCATCCGAATTTGCTGACTATCCTAAAACCCTAAATATTCTTGCTTGTGTCGAATGGGGAAATTGGCTAGTTAGTCCGAGCAAGTTTGTTGCCTGACCTGTCCACCGTTCCTACTAGCCGCTCAAAGGTAAAACGTGCCATTATTGTTCCACTTGCCTTCCTGCTGTATTGAAGTTTGACCATCTTTGGTTTTAGTAACAACTGAGCAAGTAGGCTTCGTTGTGCAAAATAGCGAGCAGTGAAGATTAATTGTTCGTAGTTGTAATCTTGTCAGGAGGTTGTAATTGGCTGCAGTCCGGCCTCCCTGGCCTGCCCAGAAGCCCGAATTAGGAACCAGCATCAGCCCAAAACTGGTTCCTGACTAGCGGCTCTGAATAGGATGACCGTTGGAAGTGCATCATCTCAACCGCAGATCGAGCCAGTTCACTCGACCGCGGCTAATGCTGCACAATGTGGTGCAGAGGATGCAGTGCAACGATGGATGGTTGGCCAGGACTGACCAGGTCTCATCCTGCACCCCATACATTAATTCTTTGCATAGCAGGAATAGAGGTAGAAGTTAGACATACGTGCCACTGGCATCGAAGAGTTGCCAGTACCTTAGTTAGTACTACGACTAGTACTTAGGTGCATTGTGACAGCTGAAATAAGGCCTGGGCATGAGTCACATGCTCACCAAACCCGCAATTGTGTTATCGCGATAAACTTCAGTTGTAAAAGCACAACCTCCTCTGATTGCGATCTATCTTCATTACTGAGCAGTGCCTCCGCCACGCGTCTTGAATATGGCGACGTCTTCATCCATCTATATTGACGAGGACGTTGGCCGCGACGATGACGCTGCCTTAGGCACAGAGTCCGCTCCATACAAGACTCTCCTCCATGCTATGATTAAACATGCCCCAAGTGGTGGCAGCATCTCATATCTGACCCGTAAATCACAAACTGGGCCTGTCAGCGAAAATGGTGATCCTGCCGCCCGCCTGGAATGGAAGTCAGCTACGAAATCCGCCCTGAAGAAAGCCACCAATCTCTACGAACAACATGTTCGAAAACAGGCAAAGTCGGCAGATCTGGTCATGAGGGAAAAGCAGGAAGCTGAGAAGCGTCAACAAGTTCTTGAAGAGGCGAAGGCGGTCGTCATCGAGGAGGACAAGTCATTACCAAAACCAGTCAGAATCAGACTTGACGAAACAGATCCTTCTGTGGTTAGGCTAAGAGAAGGAGACGCTCCGGGTACACGAGTCCGGGTGCTGGGAAGAGTACATCGGTTGCGCCAGCAGAAAGATGTCATATTCTTAACACTCACAGACGGATACGGTCAACTGCAATGTGTTCTCACTGGTGATCTCATTCGAACATATGCCGCACTCACTCTGACCCTCGAAACCTCCCTCTCTATCCATGGCGAGATGCGCGTTGTTCCTCCTCAGCAACGTGCGCCTCTTGACCGCGAGCTTCATGCCGACTTCTTCAGCATAATTGGGGTTGCCGCTGGTGACAAGGAAGCCATCACCACTCGTGTTCCAAAAGATGCCGACCCACAGACGCTTTACGATAACCGTCACCTGGTTCTGCGAGGCGATACTGCTGCATCTGTTCTCAAAGTACGGGCAGGCGCTTTGAGAGCGTTCCGACAGACATTCCAGGAAGAACGTCTGCTTGAAGTCACTCCTCCTTGCATGGTGCAGACACAAGTAGAAGGCGGCAGTACTCTTTTCAGCTTCGATTACTACGGACAAACAGCATACTTGACCCAGTCCTCCCAACTCTACCTCGAAACATGTCTTCCTAGCCTTGGCGACGTCTTCTGTGTTGCCCCTTCATTTCGGGCAGAGAAATCCCTTACGCGTCGTCACCTCTCTGAATACACTCACATCGAAGGCGAACTCGACTTTATCACGTTCGCTGACCTACTTGAGCATCTTGAGAAAATCATATGCCGTGTCATTGAGCTTATTTTGCAGGACCCTCAAATGGCTGCCCTAGTGCGAGAGCTCAATCCTGGCTTCAAGCCTCCGTCTCGACCTTTCCGGCGCATGAAATATGCCGATGCCATTGATTGGCTTGTGCAACATAATATTCCTAATGACGACGGTCAACCACATTCATTTGGTGATGACATTGCTGAGGCTGCAGAGCGAAAGATGACTGACATCCTCAACGTACCCATCTTTTTGACACATTTCCCTGTTGAGATCAAGGCATTCTACATGAAGAAAGATGATTCAGATCGACGAGTAACAGAATCCGTGGATGTTCTTATGCCCGGAGTTGGTGAGATCGTTGGTGGTAGTATGCGCATGGAGAACTACGACGAATTGATGGAAGCCTACAAGAGAGAGGGAATTGGTAGTGAGCCATACTACTGGTACACCGACCAGAGGAAATACGGGACAAGCCCGCATGGTGGTTATGGCCTGGGGCTAGAAAGGTTTCTGGCATGGATGTGTGGCAGGTACACCGTCAGAGAGTGTTGTCTCTATCCAAGATTCACGGGCAGATGCACGCCATGAGAGGGATCAATGTTGGCGTTCGAAAGATGAGCAGGGAGAATCTCTGTTGGGTGAGTAGATGCTTTAGACTACGGAGTAGATCATGTGCCAATTGGTTGTCCATCCTGACATCCACTTTCGTAAATCAGGTACAGGACTAAGCTCCAGGATTTTCACCCTCAAACGTAATAGAATCAGAGTAGTAAGAGGCTGGAGCATAATCAGCTTGGGAAATTTATTTTGGAAATTGTTGGTCCGGCGACGGTAATAGTATTGTCTCAATCACAATCCCATGACCCCCAACCTGTCCGCTACGGGCCTGCCTACCCAGCGTTCCGGAGACCAGGAGACCCCACTTACGATCCTCTCCACAAGATTGTTCCTCTCTGCCACATTCTGCGCCTCAGACATCCTTGTTATCGATGCATCCACGCTTCTGCGTTATCAATCGTTTTTGGCGCGCACGATAGGCTGACACAGAGTTCAGAAACGTGTCAAGAGCCGCAAATCAGCTTCCCGTCCCAGTCAGGCTGGAACATCAGCCACAAGCGTACCAGATGGCTGGAAACTGTCACAGTAATGATGTTGGAAGTCTTCCCAACTTTCATGGATTCTTACTAAACGATCGATATTCCTGCTGGTAAGAGAGTAGGTACCAGGCTTTCCCTTCGAGGGATTACATGTTTTGGCATGGCTCATGCTGAAGTCCTTGCAACCATGTATGTTTTACCTCCGACACGAGGCAATTTAACAACAAGTATATAAAGGTTGAGGGAATCCTCGATATCAATACTCATCACCATCCCCAAAACGATCATTACCATTCTCTAGACCTTCCTTTATCGTTTTCACAGGCTTCAAATTCTTCTGCACTATCAAGCAATTCAGAAAAATAACCATAACATCAACAACAACAATCAATCCAATATGCAATTCACCGCTGCTATCATTACCGCCATCCTGGCCATCACCGTCACCGCCCTTCCTCAAGCTCCTGGTCAAGGAGCTCCCGATGCTGCTGCCATCGCCGCACTCGTCCCTGACTTCGGTGTCCAAGCCGGCCAAGGGGATGACGGTGCAGGCAACTGCGTCACCCCCGTTGCACCCGCTAAGATCCCCTGCACCTGCCCACCTCCAAGGGGCGATTATCTGTCCCAGCTGACCGCCGCCGTCCAAGCTGGAAATACCTTCGGGTTGCCAGCACCATTTCCTACTGGCTCAGACACCGCATCCCAGACCACCAGACTGCAGACTATGTTGTCTGTGATGCAAAACTTCAATGGTGCAAAGGGCAAGGGATGTCCCGCTATCTCGACTACCTTTAAGCAGACTTTGGATGGTTTGAGCCGCGCTGCTTAGGTAAAATACGCTATTCAGACCAGCTCACGCTCTTTCTCGATATACAACTGCACAACAGTGTGTATACATTTACACGCTCTTTTCCAATACGCACCCTTTCTCAAAATGTCTTCCATGATCGGAACGCACAAAGTAGAAGAAGGCTTGGAGCTGCTCAGGTAGCACTCTTGATATGCTGTGTCATGCATCGCACGGTGTTTTGTCTTGCAAGCCTTGGAATCTTTGTTGGCTTGATTAGCCCCCTTGTCTTCGGAGGGGAAAAAGATCAAGTACCAATATACATACATTCACTGAATTATCACCATTGCACCATATCATCCTTGTGCTGTATTGTGCTGTATTGTGCTGTATTGTGCTGTGCTGTGCTTGCGTCCCCACCTAATCAAAAGAATCCTCAGCCAGCCTCGCATTACAGTGTTCCACATCGAGTGCTCAGCTCTTCTAAGTGTATACTCATTTGAACATAACTTCATCCGATTTAGCTCAGCTTAAGCTGAGTCTGCACTCCCTACCTCCTTCCGACATAGCGAATAATGCTAACATGAGAGCCAAACTGGTCTTCAATCACTAGCTTATTCAATATTAGCAGTCACAAACGAGGTGGTGGACTACTACTAGGTATTAGCATATAGTGCTATACTGAACAAAATCATCAGAAGCCGATATCATGGTATTACACCGATCTCATACAGTTCACCCAGTCCAACTTCTGGGGGGAAAAACTCAATTATAAATACTTCTTCGGCACCTGACTCCTCCTCCGCTTGTAGATCACATACGCCGCCGCTAACCCGACCTGCACCACCACCACGACGCCAACCAGTAACCCTACCCTAGGCGCACTACTACTCACGACCCTTGCCAACGTCTGAGGCAAATGCTCCGTAATCCTCTCATGCGCCACATTCAGCTTATCATGTAAACGCTCGAACTGGCCCTTGTGGTCGCCAGACTCGATCTCCTTTTTTAAAGCGGAGATCATCAGCTCGATGTTCTGGACGCGGTGGTCTAGGTTGTTCATGGTGTTGGCGGAGGGGAGTTGCTTCAGGATCTGATTGTAGCGCGCTTCTTCGGCGGTGGTGTGGGCGGAAATTTCGCGGAAGAGGTTGTGAACCGCGTGGGAGAGGAGTTGGAGTCGGTTGTGCAGGTCGGCAAATTGGGCGGCGGAGGTGGTGTAGGTTGTTGGGTCGTCGTCTTTCGGCTCCGTGATAGGGACATTGGCGGCGTCGTTGTTATTGATTTTGTTATCATTTGATTGAGGTTGGGAGCGTTCTTGTTGAGGTTGATATTGGTTCTGAGCGGGTGGAGGGGAGTTGCTGCTAGAAGAGTAGGTGGACATTTTGAAGACTTCAAAGGAGTCTGGAGGGTCGGAGGAGGCGGCTGTTATGCCGAAATAGTAGTCTGATGGTAGAGAGATTTTGTCACTGCTAAAGCAAGGTCGGTCGTCAACCAGGACTTGCAGGCCTGCGCTCGGGCTGGATTTTAGAGTCAACTTGGATGGTCGGCCGAGATTGCGGTAGGCATAATCGCAGTGACCGAAGGCAAGGGCGTCAACATTAGGATCGTTACGATGATCTCTAGTTCCATCGTTCAAGAACCCTCGTATACTCCCGGAAGTGCCCCCATGCGTGTCTATAACCAATGCGAGTCCATCAAATTTCCTGACTGTGTATATACTGCTCAAGCTGACTAGAGCTTTCCCGCTGTCAACGTACCATAATTGCAGGTTACCACCTGCTCTTTCGGGGCCATTGGCCCGGAAATCTAGGTCGACCTTCCAATCGGTAGCTGTGTTCTTTTTGTCTGCCCATAAAGCTCCGCGTTTGTTTCCTGGATGAGGAGGAGTGAGGATTACTCGATCCGACATGAGTCTAGGAACATGACCTTCGCCGAACACATGAAAACCGGGTATATTGGCCCCATTATCTGCTAGAGGAGATGTCTGTCCGAACGAAAGATCGCTAATGAGAGACTGGGCAAAGATGGTTGACGCGAATGCTAGGACATGGGCCGCAGTGAGGATGAATACCCGCATAGTGGATGGAGCAGACACAGGCAGCCTGTCTAGCAAGCAGATCAGCATTAGAGCCTCACGTTTGAGAGGGGGCTTCTGAACCGCTCAATGGGGTCTCCTCCGATAATTCAGCACACTTTTTACAATGTTGGTCGTCGCAAAACCAAGGACAACCACGATGACGCAATTTCGGATTTCTTTTGCAAGTGAGAGGGTACTGGGAGATAGATCTACAAGATGACGGATGTTCAAGGTGTTGAAAGCGACAGCATGGCGAATTCCCGCATCAGATATCTCCATTTGTTCGGAGGAGAGAAAACAGCTGGCCAGAATGAAATACTTAGTACCGTCTAGTTAGTACTGTTGTGGGGGCACCCCTGAAGATGCCAAGAGCAGAGCTCCCGCAGAACCATTATTAAGGTTGTCACTAGCGCGAGCGTGGAAATTGTGACGTTTGCTCTTTTCCACCTCCTACAATTCTGAGAAACTCTGAACAGTAGGGTGTCATGACAGATATCTATCCAACGCTTGCACAATGCGCGGTCGTCGCAACAGCACTCAAGCTGCTGCTATTTCCTGCCTAGTATGTGTTTATCCTCGTATATCAAGATGGGCATTCGCTGACCTGCGTGCAGCAAGTCGACAGACTTTGAGGTGCATCGCAATTGGCTGGCCGTTACACATTCATTGCCTGTTAAACAGTGGTACTATGAAGCTACTTCGGAATGGACGCTTGATTATCCTCCCTTCTTTGCCTATTTCGAATGGCTACTGTCGTGGCCAGCGGCATTAGCCGACCCAGCAATGGTGAAGATTGAGAACCTGGGTTACGACTCTTGGGCTACAGTCTACTTCCAGCGAGGCTCTGTGATTGTGACGGAGATATTGCTGGTCTTTGCTTTGCACCAGTACGGCTATGTCGAACCAGCAGCTTCTCTCCATACGAAGCTGATCTCGGTACAGATACCTCAAGTCAAGTCCTCTAAGCCATCGTCATGCCTCTCACGCGACAGTGTTGTCTATCTTTCTGTCACCAGGCTTCTTGATCATTGACCATATTCACTTTCAATACAATGGCTTCTTGTACGGCATTCTCATCTTGTCCATTGTTCTGGCGCGTAAGCAGTCTACGATGTTGTATAGTGGTATTCTCTTCGCGCTACTGCTATGTTTCAAACACATCTACCTATACCTGGCACCCGCCTATTTCGTATACCTGCTTCGAGCATTCTGTCTGGACACGAAGTCGATATTTCGTCCTCGCTACCAAAATACTATGCGACTTGGCGCAAGTATCATTGGCGTTACTTGCGTCGCATTCGGACCCTTCTTCTACTGGAAGCAGTTGGGGCAATTGAAGAGCCGGCTATTTCCCTTCTCGCGAGGTCTTTGTCACGCCTATTGGGCGCCAAATATCTGGGCCATCTACTCCTTCGTCGATCGAGTTCTTATTGGTATTGCACCCCGTATAGGACTTGCAGTGAACGACAATGCACTACATAGCGTGACACGAGGACTGGTCGGAGATACTTACTTTGCCGTTTTGCCTGAGATCACCAAAGAACACTGTTTTGGCCTGACGCTAGCCTTTCAATTAATCACTCTATTCAAATTGTGGTTTCAACCGGATTGGGAAACCTTCGTCGGCGCAATCACACTTTGCGGCTACGCTTCCTTTCTCTTCGGATGGCATGTTCATGAGAAAGCCATACTCTTGGTATTGATACCTTTTAGTATGCTGGCACTGAAAGACCGGCGTCATCTTGGTGCTTTCCGTCCACTGGCTGTTGCTAGTTACTTATCACTATTTCCGCTCTTGTATACCGCCGCAGAATTTCCCATCAAAACGGCATACTCTATCTGCTGGCTCATTCTGTTTTTGTATGTTTTCGATCGACTGGCACCTGCGGCAGTTCGGCCGCGTGTATTTCTGCTTGACCGGTTTTCGTTTTTGTATATTACCATTTCGATACCCTTGATAGTGTATTGCTCATTGCTACATGGTCTCTTGTTTGGCGACAGTTACGAGTTTCTTCCATTGATGTTCACAAGCACCTACTGTGCTCTTGGGGTGCTGGGTAGCTGGTTAGGATTTATGGTGGTCTATTTCACACCGAAATGATCGGGATATGTGGACGACTAGAGAGCAACAAAGTCATGGAAGGAGAGATTGTCACATGGCTGATTGCTTTGCTGATGATGGCTTGATTCGATACGGGAGGCCTTTAACGGTGCCAATGTTCAGTGGACAAATAAGTCCAATGCGATAGTTCTACTTTATGGAAGGGCCTGGCGGAGTCGAGAATCCCTCCAAATGCAGGAGGCTTCTGGCATCAAAATCCCGTAAGCTAGCAATACGCTCTGAAGAATTCTCCTTCTATCGAGAATGAATGGCGCGCAGTAAATTCCAAACTGTGGTTGGGTCACCCTACAAGACAGGATATTCTTTAACCTGTGCGTATGGCCATTGTAGGAAGAACATTGACGATAAAGGGAAAAAGTCATTCAGCGGATGGGCCTTTTTTGAATGAGCTCTTGACAGTGACGGATTCTTATCCCCAAATTCTTCAACTGCATTGGCAAGCAAGCACGAACCCCATAACCCCGTGGATGGCTTGCCAATGATGGTTCTTTTTCGGAGAGACGTATGTAAGTACTATACTATGATACATACCACAACAAGATTCTAGATGCTATAAAATAACTCTCCTGGTAATTCTGAGCGGAACGAGTGTAAGAAAGTGGGTGAGATGTGAGGTGGTGGTGGGATAAGGGGACAATCAGCTTGGGGAGGGAGGAAAGATGGCGGGGAGGGTAAGGGATAAATTTTTGATGTTCCTTGGGGCAGGTGCGTGGCTGTGGGGGACGTGCGTGCACGACTTGTACCACGCTAATGATGCTTCCCGTTCGGCAGACTTTCCGTGTTCTTACTTTCCGTTGGTGGAATTGTGCTGTAGTAGCACTGTAGTGGCCCTTGTCTGGTCTTGTCACCCAAAAGTGGCCCAAATGCGAGTATGCTATGGCTCTGCCCGCGCCGGCACAGCAAAAGCCTGTCTGGCTCCGCCAGGGCCACCATCACCTCCACTATCTTTCTACCTCCACCATCCTCCTTCACAACCGTTGCGCAACCTCCTCTCTCTACCACAATCTGCCCTCATCCATCTCCTACCCCGATCCTCCTTCTCCGCATGGCCCGGGCACGCGTCAGAACTCTCGAATGTAAGTCTACTTTCGTCACTCTCAGACAGGAAGGGGGGAGGGCAAGCTTGCCCAACTGGAAAAGAGATTTCCCGCTTCCCTTTCATCCGTCGCCCTTTGTGCTTGCCCCTTCAGATCCTGTATAATCCCCTCCGCTACACTCATCATACCGCCTTACGATATCAGGCTACCCCTCCGCAGGCAACTTGATGAGCTCATGGACTGACATACCCCCCAGAACACAGCACATACACCCTGACCTTCTTACTCTTTCGGTGCAATCAGACCTGAATAAACCAAATAGGAACGATGGTATGAGCGGGATATCCCTTGAGACATCACTTGCCGCACTAACCAGCAAAGGTTCTCTTCAAACGGAAACCAGTTCAGTATCTTCCGAAACCGTCGATACCGGATGATGATACCGAGGTGAGCTGGGGTGGACACAATGCTCCCGACCCTCTTCTCCCCGCATCTACTAAAACAAACCAGATATGGGTTATTCCAGAAACAAACGAAGTCTTGCTTGACTATGAAGCGTACCTCCATAGGCAAGTGTCGAACTACTACCTTAAGAGCTTATTACTGACTTGCGATTTAGGATGGACTTCTTGAAACAGGTTGGTCTCTTTAATCGGGTGACTCGCTCAGACCACCGAGCGCCACCGCAAAAGCTGTTTCGCATGGTACTGATGTTCCTTAGAAACGATTTATTTGTGAAATCACTGGACATTCAGGCTTGAATTTCTTCGATGCGCAGAAAAGCGAAGCCATTGGCTCACAAGAGGTGGATAGCTCTTTTCCGGAAGCTCTACGAGAACCGGTGTTGCGTCGAGTTCAATTCTCTACTACCTCCCGAATCGACAATCTTGTCGATCAGGTCTTTGATGACTTTAGGCAAGACTTCTATCCCGGTGAAACGGTCACCGTGGTACTGGATGACGGCAATCGGCTCAATGGCTTGGTTCGTGAAAAGGCAAAATTCCCTGCACTTCACGGACGTGATGGATCGTTGGAGCGCAAGGCATTTTCAAGGTACTTCGTCCAACTCATGGCACGAGCAGACGAAGAAGCCTTGGTCGACGACGATCACATCGTGAGGGACCGGAAAGCCTTCACGAAGCAAATGCTCCGTTCTTTCATCAAAAACACCGTGACCAGAGAAGCTTGGACAGGCGCGCCTTGGTTGGTCAAACCGGAGATTGCCGTAAAATATTTCATAGACACGACCGTCCCACCGCATCTCCAATATGGGAGCAAGGCCGCCGAGCGTAAGGCCAATGCCGCAGCAAAGAAAGGAGAGCAGGAAGGTATGCACCATTTCTGGGCTTCGCGAGGGCTTCCGGAACTCAAACCAGCCATCAAAGGCCCCAAGTCGAAAATGTCACCCGGAGAACTTGCCAATATGAAGAACGAGCAATTCCAGGAATATCAGCGAGCACTTCAGGGTCATCCGACATTTGTGCTTCCAAAGGCAGCTCAAACCACCTTCGACCTGCATCAATACAGCCCTACCAATGGCACACCTCACTCTCCACTTCCTCACCTAGTTCCAAAGTCCTTTCCGAAGCCACCACCTCCACCGCCTATAAAGTATCCAATCGAAGATCTTGAGGTTGCTCCTGTCAGAGATGGAACCCACCGACCAGCAATAAAGTATTTGTCACAGGACACCCCTATGGGCGCAAATAGCGATCCTGATATGCCCATACTAATGAGCACGGTTGGTAGTCTGCTTGAAACATGGAACACGATAAACGTGTATTGCCAAGTTTTCATGCTGGATTCCTTCACTTTCGATGACTTTGTCGAAGCAATGCAATTTTCATCTATGGATGTAGATTGTGAGCTCTTCAACGAGATCCATTGTGCGATCCTCAAGAAGCTGGTCAATGGCGAAAACGATCAAAATGGTGCAATCCAAATTTCTCTGCCAGACTTGCCTTCAGATGATGAGGAGGGAGAGAACGAAAGCAATGTGGAAGGATCAAGCGTTGCTCCAACACCAACCCCCGAACCCGAAAAACCCGTGAAACGCACAACCCGAAGCAGTCTGAACAAGGTAGAGGCGAAGCCGCCTTCTAGAAGTCGTTCTGCAACAGCCGACGTAAGAATACATCGTGCGGCCGAGATGTTTGGCGAATATGGCTGGATTCAACGACTTCGGAAGAGAGATTTCCGAAATGGTGGGTGGCAGCTTATCATGGTCGGTTTACTACATCAACTTGCGGGTCGTTCACGTTTGCAAGCAGATTGTGACGAAATTCTAACTCATCTGGCGCCGCTGGATGCAGAGCCTACCCAGCGGACAGCTTGGCTGCAATATTCTACAATGGACATCAACAAGCGGGTCAAGGCTTTGCAGATCATTTGCATGCTAACTCTGGAGACTAAGGCGGTCAAGGCATTTTTAGAAGAGTCGAGCGCACAGATGACGGAGCTCCGCAAGACGAAGATTGAGCATCAGCGAGCTCGCAAAGAAGCGTAAGCTTGCATACCTCCCCATTGATTTTGAACAGTACTGACAAAGGCAGAATGGCCCAATTGAAAATTTATCATGAGGAACGTCGGCGTTTACAACCAGAAAAGTCACCAACACCACCCCCGGAGCTCGTTGAAGCACCAGACGCCGAGATAGAAGAAGAAGACACCTCAATCGTGGATACTGAAGACGAAGAACCTCAATCGAATCGCGCCCTCCGCCGTGGGAACGACCGAGCCGTCGAACGCAAGCGCAAGCGCGAAGAGGAGGAAGAGCGCAAACTCAAAGCAGTCGAAGCTAAGCAGGCCAAGGGGACGAAAGACTATCAGAAAGTGCTGAAGAAAGTTGAGCAGACGCAAGAGAAGATCAGGAAAGAAGAAAATGCCATCATCAACGTAGACAACGACCTAAGAGAAGCTGATTGTCCGCGCACCCGAGTGCTAGGCAAAGACCGCTTCTGGAACCGCTACTACTGGTTCGAGCGCAACGCCATGCCATACGAAGGGCTTCCCGACGCCTCAACAGCCGACGCGGGATACGCCAATGGTCGTCTCTGGGTTCAGGGTCCGGATGATTTGGAAAGAGAGGGTTTCATTGATGTGAGTCCAGAAGAGAACCAGCGGTATTTCCGCACCTTTCAGATGACGCCAGCGGAACGCAAACGAGCGGAAGAAGGACCTACAAGCGTATTCACGGCAAAGCAATGGGGATTTTACGAGAATCCAGAGCAGATTGATATGCTAATTGGCTGGCTGGATACCAGAGGTAATCGTGAGATCAAGCTTAGAAAAGAACTCTCAAACCAGCGAGAAGTCATTGTGAGATACATGGAGAAGAGGAAAGAATATCTCGCTAAGCCATCAGAATCGGAACAGGACCAAGACCTCCTGCCTCCACCGCCACCGACAACCAGGATGTCCACACGAACAAAACCCTACGCTAATCAAGACCATCACACCAGTACGACCAAATACCGCTGTCTTCGTTGGCGTAACGAAATGGCACTCCGCGAGCTAGGGCATAAACATATGGACCCGCCAGTCTTGAAGACAAAGAGCGGGCGGACGATCCATAATCGAAAGGGCACCGCTGTGTCTGTGGGTGGTCCGAACCCCAATGCGACGCCGCTATTGGTGGAGGACGGAGCAGGCAAAAATGCGATCGGGATGGTGACAAGAAATCGGACCGGTAAGGTTTTGAGCAGGCAGGGCGGGAGGTATAACTTCTAACCTTGCATGTTCGCCCTCAGCACGGGGTGTGAAGCGTCTCTGCATGTGTATTTTATGAACGTGAAAATGAATGGATGCGGCTTACTCTGTGCATGGATTCTGGTGCTCGGTGCATACGCTTTCTCCCTATGGGGTGTTGTGTGTTTTACATCAAAAGAAAAAAAAATGAATGGCTACATGGCTAGCTAGCATGACTCGACTCATTGTTTGAGGTTCGAAGTGCGAAGTTCGGAAGAAGAAGAATAGAAAAAAGAAGATGCAAAAAGCCGCGTCCCGAAGGCAATCTGTTTGTCCAGAACCTCTCTCTTCAGTGCGGATATACATGTATGTACGGGCTCTGGCTCCTTGTAACGCTTACTCTACTTTGTTACCGGTTGTGTTAGATAGCACTTTTGCCGTGCGTGTGCGTGCGGCAAGGCGATATTGCGCTGCGCTGCGCTGCGCTCGGTAGTAAGTTACAAATGAGATGGATGAGTGCTGAATTGTTGTGGTCGACTGCTACCTATTTATCTATCTAATCTATACCGGATAACTTGCACGGTGGCTTGATGATGGTTCGAGGCGTAATACGGCAGTATGCTGTAGGTGAGGCGTGAAGGAGGGATGGTAGCTCAATCAATACCCCAACCCCCGTGTGACCTTGTGGCCTTGTAGGGTGTGAGCTGGTAGTCAAGTCACTGTGCCGGTTTCTCGTATACTGTCTAGGATAGAGTGTGTATTTTTATTGGGTTTTCAGATTTCGCGATTCTGCTCACTACGTAGGTTAAGGTTCAGATATCCAACATATGCTCCGCTGAGCACGCGATTAATTAGTCAGCGCCAGCGGCGACAGCGACGGTCGGTCTCCTTGACGGATTCTTCTGGCCAATGCCCATACCGATGCCAGTGCCGGTCGCCGTGCCTCCTGTGCCCGTAGCTGCCATGGCTCTCCTCTGCGCCTCTGCCATTGGATCTCCAGCAGTGGAATTCGCCGTCGAGGGAACACTGATGGCGCTCGGGATGGCGAAGCCGTCACTTCCTATTATCCCGCCACCGCCACTCCCGCCCCCGTCGCCGCCGCCAGTACCCCCTGCTGAACCCGGAAAGAATGTCTGTCTGGCACTTTGCTGTTGCACTCCGTGATTCGGATCCTGCACCGCAAATAGGCCACCGCCTCTGTTCCCGCTCAGAGCATTCGACAGCATCTCCTTCATGCGCACCAATTGGTATTTCCGTCGTGTTGGGAAGATGGTGTGGGTTGCGAGTGGTTGGGGACCTCGGACCGGGTTCGTAGGGCTGTAGACGGGTGCGGAGTGGAGATATGCGGGGTTGAAGTTGCGGGCGAGGGATGTCATGACGGCGTCGCGTTCTGAGTCCGAGTCGATAGGGGCGCCGTTGATGTTGGAAGGGTCATCCGGGTCGGAGTCGTAGAGGGCAGGGGCGTTGGCGGAGATAGCGGCTTCTGTTGATGGGTGGTTAGCATGGTGGGAAACTTTGGGGACTTTCAGATGGGGAATATACTTTGTTGTCGCGCTTGGTTTTTCTTCTGGTAGGCTTGCAGTAGCATATCATATGGCAGACTTCGTCCTGGTACCGCACGTTTGGCCCCCATACTGTGGCTTTTGCATGTCAAGCTCCTGGCACATTGAGCGCCATTGGGAAGTACCACGCCACACTGTTTCTCCACGTCAACAGGCCCTTTAGGTTTGGGAGCAGCCTTTGGCTTCGGCTCATCCTTCTTATTCTTTTTTTTCTTGGGCTCGGATTTGTCCTCCTCCCCGTCTGCCTTGCGCTTCTTGCTCTTCTTTGTCGACTCGTCGTTGTTCCCATTCGAGGTTTTGGTAGTAGATTTCCGTGCTCCCGAAGCGCCGGACTTGCTGTCAACCTTGATCTCGCTATCGGAAACATCGTCGTCTTTGTCGTCACCTCCTTTCTCCGCCTTCTCCTTCGCCCGGGCTGCCGCATCCCTCGCCTCTTTTTTCCTGCGGGCTTTCTCTTGCTTCGACTTCAAACAACCAGATATGTGTTCTTTGGCATGAAGCCTCATGACGTTCCGCTTGCAGTGCTTGCAAATTACCAGATCTATTTTCTCTTTTCTTGGTTCACCACTCGGAAAGGCTGCCATAGTATCATCGTCCATTTCGGGAAGGATGGGTGAGGAAGAGCCGGATGATACGGCAGACTTGGTGGAGACTTAACAACAGATAAGCACAGCTTCGATATGGGTAATCAAGATTAGGCCTGTACGTAAAATGTGACAGGCTTTGACTACCACCCATAAGCAACCTACCATTCATATCGGAATTCTTTCTTGGGAACGGTGGTGGCTTCTTCAGCTTCCCTTTGCTAGCCTTCTGACCCTCCTTGCTGAGCCTAGAAGCCTCGGCCATGACGGTACCAGCACTTGAAGCAACTGACGAGGCTGACAGCATTGTTATTGTGGGCACTTTGAGGGTAGGATAACACCAGCCTTCGCACCTCGGTGGCCGTTCGCCGCCATACTACTAGATGTTTGATATGTCTGCTAGATAGAGGAGAATGCTGTAAGGCCAGCTTCCAGCTTATGGCGTGCAGATTAGGGAGATTGTACCGAGTACCCTTCAGAGAGGGGTGCAAAGTTTCAGTGGAGGCCAGTGGGAGTGTGGTGTGGTGGTGCCAAGGCTTGCTTAGTCACATGGAGATTTAAGGAGATCAATCTAACTACTAATTAAGTTAGTTAAGTCAGTTAAACTTTCTCAAGCATCATTGTAATGGATGGCGACTCTGACGATGGTAGCCCATCACGCCCTTGCTTGTCAGCAGAACTGGCTAATTCTTGCCTCTTTGCACTCCGCATTGGTATGAATATGATGAATGTGTCTTCAATGATTGACCATCGGGTTCTCATCTGTTTACTGTTTAGCAGAAGAATAAAGACCTGGCTCAGCGGGATCACTAACTCCTTTCATTCGGAAAGGTATGCCTACGTTTAGTACTCTCTATTAGGTAAAGTGCAATGTGGAGGAAAGTTTACCATGCACAAATCCTACTTTGGTCTCTTGAGCACATTCACACTTGGAGAAACCGCAACTCCAGGAAGATGCCAGCACAAGAAAAGACCTCCGCCACCCTCTCTATTTCCACAAAGCACGTAGCAGTTGGACGATATCAATTTTTCTAAACAGGCAGCCAAAGCATACTTATCCAGCAACAGATTCGAGAGTAGACGGAGTCAACCACTCAAGAGACGGAAATTCTAAAATGGGACAGCCCTCGAGATGTGCTCCGGAAAACTTTGCATCCGGGTTGGACTCTACCGAACACATTCCTGGTAGAAGAAACATCCTCTATTAGTACCGATACAAGCTCAGAAATGAGAATCATTGGTTATGGAGGTTGCGGCATCATTTTCGAGCAACCCCAAAGAATAGACGTGATCAAGAAAGCCCTAAAAACCGTAGATAATGACCTCCATCATGACTATGTCAGTCGCCTAGCGATCGAAGCGAGCTTCGACAAATTGGCAGGCACGTTTGGTAACCTCCCCTGCTTACCACGCGTGTAGCATTTCATAAGCGCCAGGGATTCATCATGGTGGGAGAACAATATGCGCTGCTTTTCATCATTCGTAACGCCTAGTCAACGAGTATTGCGTATAGGAGCCATTGTAGGCACGAGCAAAGGCGGATAAAGCGAATGGTGATTGTCTTATCAGAGTATATCTTGGACGAAAAAGGGGATTGTGGACCTCTGGCGCACCCCAACGGTTTTTCTTTGCTTTGCGGAATTTCAAGATGGATCTTCAGCGACTGATTGATCTCGGGATTGAAACCACGCGGTATGCTCGATCAATGGCAGCTGCTTTGGCGATGATGCATTGGCACTTCAGGCTCAATGCGAGGGACGTCGACTTTGTGCTTGGAGGACGCCTACCTGAAACACACTATTCGAAGCCGACACCCACAGATATTGAAAGCGACAGACCTTCGTCACTTATGACTAAATGGAGCATTATGGAAAGTGGTAAGCCTCTGGCTGCTGGATTTTAACCAATGCCGTGAGATTTCCATGGACCAAAATGGAGTAGACGAAGCGGTAGACACATTTTGCGTAAATGATCCATATTACCCTCGTCCCAGTGCAGATGAGCAGCTTTGGATTCTCTTCCGAGACGAGTACTGGTCAGCCAGCGCTGTGATGGTGGACGGCACGCACCACAGTTCTCTTCCCAGGTTGTTCGCTTAGGGAGTTATGGCAAGGTTGAGTGGCTGACGGGGAGGTTGAGACAAAGAACAGTTGAACAAGCAACAGCATCAGGGGTTGTCTTGCTTTCATGATCACTCTTTTCTTGTCAATTGGCTGATCAGCTCTTTCTGCCGCCATACTTTGCCGCTGGCACGACTTTGGGTCGGACCAGACAGCAGCAAGGATTGGCACGGTTCCGTAGTAGCTTCATCTGTCAACAGGTGTTGCAGGATAGCCAAACAACAGCAATGTGCACAGCTGCATTGAATTTGAATTCAGGATGCATTGCTTCACCTGCTGAGGTGCCCGACCGCTTCCCTGGGGGCGAGGGGATGGAATCCATTGCCGCGAAATTCACTAGGCTGTAGAGAGTAGGTCCCTCGCCTCCAAGAAAGGTTAGTTGAGGCATTCGAGAAGCACCTCCTTATCCCTATACCTGGCCTGTCCCCTTCCAGACCTCCCCTTCTCGCTGTCGTCCATTCTCAAGCCCGGCCCTGTACTCATATGTCAATTTAACCGCTGAAGTGAACCTTCCGTGTTGTTGTGGCAGTCAGAGAGCGTCGACCCTTGCCTCCGCTCGCCTCCGCTCAGCAATCAAAGGGTGGTCGTTTTCTCACCAATTTGTCCAAGCTTGTGTAGGTTTTAAATGCACCAACGTTTAAAAGAATGACATGCTAATGCCTTCAGGAAGGGCTTGCTGAGCAGAGTCACCCTGAACACCGCACTGTCACCAGAAACACACGGCTGCCGCCAGGGGGACCAGTGAATGACCACCACGGAAGCTGCCTTAACCTTTGGTCTCTGCTGCTACTCCATCTCCATCGGGCTTATTCTATTACTTTCTCTATCGTAAGTCACGATGATGTTCAAGCGACTCCGCTCCGCTATCAAAAAGAATGACTCCTCACAATGCCTCGAAGCAGACCGCCGTCATCCTCTGCCTGCTGTTAACAATCCCGCAATGGTTGTGGCAACAATCAAGTGAGTTGGAGCTCAGTCATACCTACCCAGATGCGCACACTAATCGGAGCTGCCTGATAGGTGTGTTGTCGTTGGAGACGGTGCTGTCGGCAAAACGTGTCTCTTGATATCCTACACAACGAACAAGTTTCCGTCGGAATATGTGCCTACAGTCTTTGACAATTATGCTGTGACAGTAATGTGAGTAACGAAGCGACTCTGAACTTGGCGCTCCCTTCCGCTCCCTTCCGCTCGTTTTCCTGGCCTCTGAATCATGCTGGTAAAGGAGAGAGCATATATGCAAACGGGCTGGCAGCTGCACTGAAGAGATGGCCTAGACACAAAGCCCAGCAAGAGGCAAGCTGTGAGCAAGGCCCACGTGATCCAACAGTCTGAGCCGGATTGAAAATTTCCAGCAAACTACCTGTGAACCACTTACTATTCTGAAACTAACACCTCATTTATAGGATCGGCGATGAACCGTACACTCTAGGTCTCTTCGATACAGCAGGTCAAGAAGACTATGACCGGCTGCGCCCACTCTCCTACCCTCAAACAGATGTGTTCCTCGTTTGCTTCTCCGTCACTTCCCCTGCATCCTTCGAAAACGTCCGCGAAAAATGGTTCCCAGAAGTACATCATCATTGCCCTGGAGTACCATGTCTGATTGTTGGCACACAAACCGATCTACGGGATGAGGCTGCAGTCAGGGAGAAGCTGGCAAAGCAGAAGATGACCCCAGTCATGAAGCAAGATGGTGAGAGGATGGCGAAAGAGCTGGGTGCAGTGAAATACGTTGAATGCAGTGCTCTGACACAGTACAAACTGAAGGATGTCTTTGATGAGGTACAACCCTCTCCAGCTTGGTTTTAGGCTGCCGTCGTCAGTCTAACACATGGTGACTTGCAGGCTATCGTGGCAGCCCTCGAGCCTCCCCCAAAGAAGACAAACAAGAGCAAGTGTGTTATTCTCTAAGCGATAACAATTGTGAACGCAAATTCAGAAGGCGCATGGGTAAGAACTCTCAGTGCAACTTCCACCAATCTCAGGTGTCTGAGCTCTGACTATCGAGCAGTATCCGGACAAGGTCTTGGACAACTTCTCTTGGGAAGAACTGGCGCAAAAATATCCTTTGCTATGCGGTCGTGATAAAGCGTTAGATCTCCAGAGTGTCCTTCTAAGGCTTTCCCATGGTCGAAGGCGTCGACATGGTACGAGCCTGACGAATTGCACAGCCAGGGATTGTTGTTCATTTGTACGCAATGCATGTATCACACTGCCAATCGAATGATCCAGGCTCTCACTTCGCCAACGGGCAGATCCGCACTGTCGATTCAAGGATAAGTATTGAATCAAACACGTTGGCTGTGCAGACCTTCACAGTGTGTAACAGTCTCAAGACCACACGAGCCTCTCCTTCAAATATCTCTTGCTGAGCCAACCCTGTGATTGTGCTCTCTTGTGTTGTCTCTTTCCCCTGCCAGTATTTTATCTCCGGCTGCTCAATACATTTCCACCATCACATCCAAATGCAGAGAACGAGGCCTTTCTTTTGCGTGAGCAGCCAGTGCATTTGAGCCACTCTTCCAAACCTTGGACCCCATCACAGCTGTCCACCACATAGGATGTTTCTCGATTGAGAACCTACGCTCTCCTTAAGCGCCTCGTCGAACCACAACGTGGATTGATTGACAGCGTTTCCATGGCCGAAGGACTGCATTGGTTGCATAGCATACTGCACACCAAAGTTCTCAAGCACATTAACAAAGAGGATTAGTATGTGCATGTCTGATTAATTCTTTTCCCAGATCCCATTGGATTGCAGCCAGCACGCAGTCACACATGCAGAGACTCCATCCTCTCTGTCTCTCTTCTCTGACTGCTTCAAACGGGGAACCAAGAAGGTTGACTGCTATCTATTGTCATCCCATCACACAGACAGCCACCCACAATCCTTATTCCCACACAATGACCAAAAAACAAAACTTTCATGCTCAACTACCCTGCCCCCTCCTGTCACCCATCTCACCTCTTCTCACCCCTAGATATCATCAACAAGTCCAGTCCACCAATGACCTAAATGCCAACTAGCAAGCCACCTATCTCCCATCCCCACAACAACCCCCATCATGTCCGTACTGCGCCGCACTGCGACCTCCCTCCCCCTCTTACTCCTCATACCTGCCGCACTGACCTCATACAGACAGCGGGCCCAGCCCATCAGAGATAGAGGAAGCGACGACGGATTCTCTAGGAGAGCGCAATGCGATGATGGAGAAAGTGAGGGCAAGATCAGCAGCATGCTCCCTGGGGTTCTGTGGTGGTTGAGCTGAATTGATGAAGTGGGTGGGTAGGTAGGCAGGTAGGGTTGCTGGGTTCGTTACACGCTCTGAGGGAGGGTACGAAGGGGAGTATGTAAGAGCGAGGGAGAGCGACAGAAGGACAAAGGACAAAGGAGAGGAAGAGTGGGGGGAGAGAGAGAGGGAGACTGCCTACTGCCTCGAGCAGGTGCGTTGCTGAGCAGTAGCTCCCCCCCCTCCCCCCCTTTCCCTGACACTGTGCAGAGCGCGCGATTTCCACACCCACTGTCGTCGTCGTCGACTCGGGGCCCCTTGCTGGTGGGATTGATTAACTCATCTCTTGATATGCCACACATATCGAGTACCTTCACCCTGCTTGTCTAACTGCAGTGGGTTCGCACAAAGGGAAAGGGGGAGGTTTGCATGTAGTTAGCCGGAGGAGAGGGTCGTTTTGGGGCTGGTAGTAGTGACCTGCTAAAACTGGAGGGGAAGAGAGACAGAAAAACACGGGGCGTATATTCTTGCATGGGAATCTGATCTGATCTGATCTGATCTGATCTGATCTGATCTGATCTGCTATAACACGATGTAGCAGGCACGTCAGTCACGCCATGCCATGCCATGGTATGGTCTTCAAGTTTTTGCTTGCGCCACTCATTTCTCTACTCTCGATACCCTTACTACTAAACTAGCAGACAGGACGAGCCCACCACGCTCTCTCCTTCTCATCTGGCCTCTTTTTATTTCCAAGAAATTTAAAACGCTAAAGGGAGAAGAAACAGCAGCCTGGCCGATGTTCTTTCGTCTGAAGCCCAACTAGTAGTTCTCTGTGTGCTCTGTCGTGTTTCCCTGCCGTTCTGTTTTTGCCGTGCTGTAATGATGATGATGATGAGATCTCCTCTTTGTCTCCCTATGACCATCGACCCAATGATATCAACATAGCAGATGGCATGACTTGGAAAAAGGAAAATGATGCATGATGCATGTTCCATGCACAAGAATCCTCAACGTCGAAGGTCACCTTCGAGCGTGAAGTCGTCTTCCACCGCCCTGCCCATGAAGTTCAACTCCTCCCACGACTCTTACTCTTAGAGCCAAGAGTCGATGTTGATTTCAAGATGCCCAACGGACTTGACCCCCTACTTCGCTTCCCAGCGCCATTAACCACAACTCTTCCACCGCCGTTACTCCTTAAACTTTTCGTATCATTCTTGCCATCGGACTTGAGGATACGCAATCTCTTCTCGACCAGGCCCCGAAAGACCTCCAATTGCTCTCGTTCTTCCTTCTCCGCTAGCCCTACCACGTCTTCTCCGGCACCGAGGATCAATTTATCGGTAAGGTCTGCGATTTGATTTCCGAGCGCCATTTCAGACACTTCGTCTTGCTGGGCAAGGGCTTGGAGGCTGAGGACTGCTTGTTGCTCTCGTAAGGTCTTTGCACGGAGAGTGGAATTTGCAGCGGCGGCATTGCTGATAAGGGTGTTCGGGACAGAGGACGTAGAGTCAAGCATGTCTGATGGGGCATTTGATGGCCTTTTGAGCTTGCTGTAGTCTCGTACGTGTGCGGCGTATTGCTGTCGAGTAATCATATCTTCGTATCTGGATCTAGATAGAGTCAGTATGCTTTCCCTCTGAGGACCACTTTCATGATTCTACCTTCGAATCCGCTCCAGAAAATCAAGCCGAATGCCTCTCTCTGGTAAGCGGTAGATCGTCCCAAGCATCTCCACATCATCGATGCGCTCATCATCCTTCATTAGTTCAACATCAATGATCCCGTTGTTTCTGACCCCACGACTTATACTGACATCAACAGGTATGGGGTTCTTTGGTATACGATGCCTAGGCTGTCGTCCAAGCCCAGATTCTTCGCTGTTACCTAGATTTCGAAGATCGTTGTCAACGTGTAAAGGACATCTCCACGTGGCGTTGGGCTTATCGCCATGTCGCCGCCGAGGCGGCACTGCCAAAGGTGGATCAAGGCAGTCAAGGTGCCACCGATACGGACAGAAATCGCAAGGTATGATATCTCGCTTGCCATTGGAAGTCAATCGACAACGGTAGCAGAAGATGACGTTACCCTTGGCATCTTTCAGTCGCTTGTAGTCAGGTTCTTCAATGAACCCAGCCCGGTTCATCTTGACATCGGATACGTGAGTTCTTGAAAGGCCAACGTCCTCGTACTCGCCTCCTTCGCCACTCCGAATGCCGTCAAAGTACTCTTCAAGCTGGGCCGGTAAGCCGAACTGCATTGGGTTGATGTCGTCAGATCGAGTAATGAGTCGACCGAGGAACCCGTTGACTTCTGCAGGGCCACGGTTTTGACGAGCAACGCATCGAGAACAGTACCATGAGCCTTCTGGTGGACCTTTCATAGGCGGATCCAAACAGGAGAAATGAAAGGAATTCGGACAGCCATCACAGCAGAGAAGCCGACCATTGGAGCCGCATGCTGCGCAGAAGTCGTTGTTTTCCTATCAAATGAAATCAGTAAACAACATCGATGAGAGCATGTGCAGAACAGGTGTTCGCAACGACGGTTGCAGCACAGCAAAATCGCATGATGAAATGTGGTGAGCCAATGAAAAGGCTGGGGTCAACTCCGGGCTGGCTTACCTCTTCGCTGGAGTCAATGCCGTTCCCGACCGTCGAATCTCTATCTCTTCCAGGCCCCGCACGTGCAAATCCAGCCACGATGCCGCCATTTCTGGGCTTGTTAGGTCTGTATAATTGAACGATCAGCTTATCATTCAAGACACCCGATGTAATGTATGCAAAATTGTCAAAGCTGGTTGAAGCTTAATGCTCTTCACCTGTCACCAAGCTTTTAAAGCCAGATGCGTGTCGCACCACGACACGTAATTCAGCTAGACGCCAACGGGGACGCACCACGGAAAGACAAATGAAATAGCAACAAGAATAGAGGTTCTGACTTACGAGACCATGACACGTGCAGATTTCTTGGCCTTCTTTGTTGGGGGCATTTGGGTACCTCGTGGGGTGCCTGATCGAGAAATACTGGCCGCGCCCGGCGGTGGAGGGACCAACAACAGCCCAGGGGATGACCGTGGCGTCTGAACTTCCTCCTCGTCGATTTCGGTTTCATCTCTCGACCGCTTTTTGCTGATGCCGTCGCGGAGGCCAAAATCAGCTGAAGGAAGCGTATCAGCTGGAGACGATAACGTGTCTTGAGAAGTGCTGAGACTCTGGGAATGGGTTACAGGTACTTGGACGGAAGTAGAAAAATTCTCGACTCGACAAGATGGGCTGTGAGCCAGCACAGCACGCTCGCTGCTTTCGCCCGTGTAAAATCTGCTGGTGTAGTCTTCATGGAAAGTTTGGTTTTGTTGCAGTCGCTGTCTTCGCCTCGAGAGCTCCAGCTCATCAATTTCGGAGCCAGCTTGTTGTTTTCTGGCATTGGTCTTGTTGGTGTTAGGAAAGACGGAAAACAAACCAATCTTGGGGGCGCGGGATTTGTTGGCGCCTGGTTTGTGGGCAGCAGCTTGGCGTTGATCCAGGCCTGACTTGGCTGCAGCCCTTGTTCCGTTGATCTGAGCTTCCTCATTGATCGCCGGCGCAAATGTCTCTGCATCAAGTGATTTGGCTGATGACAGTGATGATGAACTGGACACGCTTTGTGATCGTTTCGGACTCGTTCGCTCCAGATTCTGAAGGCCTTCCTGGAATGTCCTGGTCTCCACATTTTCGCCATTTGTGACAATGGGTGACTTATCGGCAGCTTGTTCGGGCGATGATGACCGGAGAGGTTGAGCTACTGGTGGTGCTGATATGGTTGGTGATGGCATCCGGTGCTGGTGAACTGGTGATGGCTGTGTTGGCGGATGTTTAGGAGGTGACGAAAATGAAGGGGGTTGAACGGGTAGGGTTGGCTGAGGATGGAAGATGTGTACAGGCTGCGAGGATGGCTGCGAAAATGGCGGTGCAGCTTCTGGCAGCTGAACTGGTGCTGAGTAGGCAGTTTTTGTGGGTGTGCTGGTTTGTGTTGGCGTATAACGCTGGTTGCTAGCTGCAAGCGCAAGCGATGTGGCTTTGGCAGTCGGCGTACTGTGCCGGGAATACTCCTTCTTACCCTCCTTGACGTAGCGACGAAATAACCTCCACTGCTCCTTGGTTGCTGATTGATTCAATATAGCATCCAGGACGGCCCATAGCGCGGGATCAAGCTCACTGTCAGCGCAGAGTTTGCGTATCCCCAGGGCTAAATCGGGACTCTGAAGTTCCGCTCTCCTCACGGCAGCCTCAACATGCTGTTTGATGGTTTCGGGGTGATAATGACCATGAAATATATAGCCGCCAGTTGGCAACGGCGTAGGTGGAATACTGACACTGTTTCTGGGTGGCATTTTGGGTCTTGTGATGACCAGGGCGGGTGGCACAGCTGGACGATAATCTGCATCATTCTCTTCGTGCACCCTGATAGGAGGAATAGACTCGGCCCTCATCGTACCCTCATCTACTGAGTGAGCTCTGAGCGGTTCCTCAGCTGGCGAGGCGGTGCTCATTTCTTCCACATGGGTCGTGGGAGTGCTGACTTCCTCGCTCTGCACTGGGGTTGCGCGGCCTGGCCTCGGGGGCGCCAGCTTTAATTTCTGCATAAGTTTCTGCGTAGGCGGTTGACCAAGTGGTTGGAAATGTTCCAGCACTCCGACCCTCTCCAACCCACGATGGTCCTCGAAACTGGGAGCTGCTGCACGTAGCGGTGGCTCGACCCACTGATCCAAGAATGTCTTCGAGCTTTCTCTTGCTCTCGTCACGTCATTGACACTGTTTACTGTCTCTCTTTCTACCCTCGGAAGGGTCGCAGGACTCGAGAACCTGGAACTCTTACGTGTCGTCGAGGGTCCGCGAAGGGCTGCCATGGCGGAGAGAGCAGCGCCCGGGACCCCGGACTTCCTTCAACCACGACTCTGTACACCTGCCTAGGTAAGATTGTTAGCCTCAGAGAAACGGGGTCTAGAGGATGATGAATTACTGCCAGACCTGTTGCTCTAATCTCACCGAGTCTCAGCGCATCGTGGTCAAGGGTGTGGTGCGCGATGAAGAGGGTGCTTGAGGATCAATGAGCGAGTAAGTCAAGATGCAGACGGAGCTAGATGAATGCCAAGTAAGTAAAAATCAGGGGAGAATCCAGCTCAGCACCAGGACACAGGGAAATCATTCCTTGTTTGACAATTGATTATCTCACAAAGATGATGATAGTTGTCTGGCTCTTAGAAAGAAATCACCATGCACAATAGTGTTCGTAACAATGTCATGAATGGCTGTCCTGGCAGGTTTGATCTATTCAGGGGTAACCCGCAGTTTGCAAGCTTCACCAGGGGTCACGTTCAATGTGAACAATAGGGTGTTTAAAGCTCAAGTGTCTATTGCCCAGCTTTTGTGGTGTTTGATTGATTTATCATGTATGACTCATTTATGGAGATCTCGATAATCCTGCAAGCCTGAAAGTTGCCACGACTCTGCTGCCTGGTGGGTTTGCTTTCCTGCTGAATTGCTTTGCACCATATTTTTCCACGAATGCATAAATCTTGCAGCTGGTGCACGTTGGGCCCTGACCATTGACGTACTCCTCATATCTCATAGTAGCTCCCTTAGGTGGTGATGGAGGAGAGCGCTGCTAGATCGCTATCCAGTCGTTTTATTCTTCATCGCTAGATTCTTCGCCTTCTTCGTCCTTCTTCGTGGTCGTCTTCTTCTTTTTGGGCTTCTTCTTTTTGGATCCCGTCGACCTCGCAGTTGGCCTTTCCAAAATGCTAAGAATCTCCTCATCGGTGATCTTGTTTTTTGTCTCCAATGTGTTCATATCGGGCGCTGGAGGTGCCGCCAGTCGTGTAATTCCATTCTTAGTGATAGCTAAAGAGTGTCAGTGGAGCGAATCAGATATCATCAGAAGCAGTACGGACCGATCGTGGTGAAAAGTCGTGCCACAGGCTCACCATCAGCCTCAGCCGCTGGCTTGTATTCTCGAATAACATTGGCCCTAACACATTCCACCACCCCAACTTTTCCAGCTCTCTCATCATCGAGCTGCCTCAAGCTGAAAGGAAATGTACCAAACTTCTTGACGATTTCTGAGAGTGTTTGCCTGGAGCTGGGCCGTTTAAGGCCGTAAGTGGTGGCAGTCCGACGATGGAGGGTAGACCTTTTTTCTAGGTCTTTGACTTTGCCAGAGCCTAGGCTGATACCCATTTCGACACCCCAGACTTCGCCCACTTCCGCTGAACCCTCCCCTTTCATGCCTTCAGTAGGACCTAGAATGATTTTCTTCTTGCCCTCAATCTCGTTTCTACCAAAAAGCCAACAAGTTGTATTTTGTACGATGTTGCATCCGTAGCTCTTGGCTACCTTGTCCAGCATTTGGTTGATCTTCGATTGACTTGGTGGCTTTTGAGAAGCAGCTTTCTTCTTCTCCTCTTCTGTTCCTGATGCCAATATTCCCGGAGGCACCATCAGCCTCAACAGTAATTCGTTGGCATAATGCGTGGCAAGGAGCAAATCAGCCTGCCGTGGGCTAATCTCAGGCTCATCTGATTCCTCTGGGGGAACGATAATGGTATCGCAGACTATTGTTCCGAAACCATCGATCTGCGCTCCTAGTTGAATTTTGACAGCTTCGCCGGCTTTAATCGTAGCGGCTGCTTCTTCCGCATCTGAGACCAGTGGAGTGTATGGCGTGACATATGAGCTTGGTGAGACGGTTGTAGGATGTGCAATGCCTACACCAGAAACGTCAGCAGAGTTGGGCTTGAGACTCCGACTACTTGTTTGCACCTTTCGAGATCTTTTTGCCCTTGTAAACTTTTGCCACCTCCTCGTCCAGCAGCTTGTCGCCCTTCTCGCACAGACTCAGGATTTTGGCGTCATTCACGCACCACCCTACATTGGCCTTAGTTCTCTCTCAACATGCCTCGCAGCCGGCCGACTATTTACCTGAAACAACCTCGAGAACTTTGTGTGAGATTTGAGCCGCAGTTTTGTATTTGGTAAGGGTGTCTGGATTGTTCAATGTGTAATCTGAGGAGGATAGTTAGCCGTTGGATCTCGGATCCACCAGCGGCTTCAAAAGCACACTCCCGGGGACCGTTTCAGGAACAATGGCATTACGGGGAAACGGAGATCGTTAAAGTGTAGCTCACCAACATCTGCAACCTCCGTCATCTTGTCGAAGGCTGACTGTGCAACTCACGAATTCTGAAGAATGTTGTGCGGTCGAATATTATTCTCACACGAGCTTTTTGATGGTGGGGTCGAGGGCAAATATCGAATTGGAGTTCGCCTGTGCAGGCCTAAAAGCCTAACGGATCATTACAACACAAAAGTTACACTGTCCTATCTCTTCATGAATACATATGTATATAGTACTCATTCGAAACTGTAGCCTCAGTCTACACTCTACACTTTACCACAGTTGTGCTGAGCCTGCCATATAAGAATTCCCCCACCTCCGTGTCCTTGGACGGCACCATCACCCAGACTGCCACGCACTTCTGTCCCCTTCCATCACAACACAGAGACCTCTTGCTAGAGGCGATCTTTCGGAATGTCGGCCGGTGAAAGGCGGCTACCATACTGACACTCACCAGCTGGTTCTACGAATAGAAGCTTCGACTGCCCAAGTCCTGATCATACTGTACTTCTAGATCTCAGGTTCCTCTGTGCGTGATGTCACACAGCTTTTCTTCAAGCTAGCTCATGTTACCTTTGGTAAGCTTTCTTCAACTCTTTCAATCTTCCGCACAGCCATGCTGCTTCTCCTGGCAAAATGCTGAAGTCCTCCGACACCCTCCACTCCTCTTCTGCTAGTAGGACTTGGACGTTCAAGAATCTTTCAGGTCTCTTAAAGGAAGAAGCGACCATTGGGACGAGATAACGATTTTCCGAACAGAGGGGGGGGAGATTTGCTTTATATAAACAGTCGACGGACCCATTGCTGCCAGAAGACAAGCGTTGATGCGGTAGCCATAATGCTCATCTTTCTGGCTTTGGCACGAAATGCATACTAAGTTGAGAAGTGAGAAGTAGACCGCTGCAGACTGAATGCCGTGTGACACCGCTGGCAAGTAGGGTCTTGCTAGAATGGTAGAATTGGAGAGCACCGATAGAGATGATCATCTGCAAAGGATCATCAAGGACCGTCCCCTACCTTTGCACATGTATCGATGAAGGTCTGCAACTGTAGCCGTCCCTTCGTGGTGAAATACCACAGATCATTCCGCTAGGCGGTATGCTTGCGGTAGGTAGAACTATCAAAGAGCTATCAAGGAGCACGAATCAACACGTACCACGGCGAGAAGACAAGCGAATCTCATCTTACAATGTCCCAAGCCTTTCAATCACAAAACCAAGATGTGCAGGCTCAATCTCGATATGCATGAAGAGAACGAATATTTTGGAGGACATGCAAGCTCCCTCGCAGAAGACGAACAGGGTTTATACGGAACAAGATGGCCAGTCAGTTGGCTTTTTGCTTCCAGCCGATGGTGCTGGACAGCGTGTATCAGCATTCAAACGCTGACGTACAGATATTGTAGAGCACTGTTGGTCTCTTGAAAATAGCGGTAGGGAGGCAAAAAAACTCTAGGTGACCTGGAAGCATCTCTGTATATCCTCTCCTGTGATGCATACCACTGGACGACTCGGGATGGGAACGCTGAGCAACTCCCTGCCTCAGGCCGTAGGAAAAACTCTTGGCACACTATATCTTAGCAATGCTCTTGTTAGTGCTGAGTCAGAGTATCCGGTAGCTCCCCCGAACTAGCCCGTCTGGTACTAGTCGCTCACTAGCAATTCGCAGAGTGTGAGAGTGAGACTTGAAAGTCCAACGTGACCGAGTTGCGCTACAATGTCTTTTGGCAATTGCAAAGGCCTCAAGCTCGTGCTCGTGAGTCCAGGGCCTTGATTTTCTGTTCAAGATATAGTGAGCAGAACAAGTCCATGTTTCCCCTTCTCAGCTTCTTGTGCGCCTGCAATTTGTAGGGTACTGTGACCTGCTGAGATCAGACGAAACGAGAATTTACTTCCAATGAACAGAGCCGGGCGGTCGAGAGTTACAATTTATTCTCAGCAATTCCACATCAGGAGGCGACCCATCTCCTGCTATGACTTCTCCGCCGCTTCTCTCAAGTGACCCTCCATCCTCCTCCGCCCCTTCTCTTCCGATCTCTCAGACCGAGCCACACGAATTAGACAAGAACAACGGTCTTGCCGGTTCGGATACAGATCACGAGACAGGACCAGGGCTTCAGCCAACACCTGAGGTGAAAGAATCTGATGCCATCTTGCGAGGAAAGGAGAGCGCCAGAGCGATTGTCGCAGCTTCTGGCATCTCTACCAGCGGTGACAAGGTAACAGACTCTCCTCGGCCATCCATTCTGAACGGCGGAAGGAAGAGATCACGATCAGGCTCAATCATCGCGTCTCCTCCGAGGAGTGGTCATGCTCGTCCAAGAGAAACACCCGTGCAGAAAATCGAGTTAGAACAGTTTGTTAATCGTGAATATCAACATAAAGCATTGGTTGCTCTGCAGAAGTACAATTCGGGGTTGGCTCAGCAGAAGACCGAGGAAGTTCAGTTCTATGAAGGTTTGCGACAGCGACGACACCATGACCCCGGCTCAATATTCGGTTACGGGTACGAGGGGTATGGGAATCCAAGGACGGATTCCAAACTCCGTGACCCATTGATATATCCTGACAAGCGACGAGTCGGTCACAAACAGACGAGATTGCCCAAGTTCTCCAAGAAGGGGCAAATGATACAAGCCGAGCAAACCGAAGAGCTGGTGCCAATTAGACTGGATATAGAATGGGATAAGATCAAGCTCCGTGATACCTTTACATGGAACCTACACGATCGGGTGACCCCCGTTGACTATTTCGCAGAGAAATTGGTCGAGGACTTCAACCTGCAAGTCGAAAACTGTCGACCACTAATTCATCAGGTAACCCACAGCGTTCGTGAACAATTATCAGATTTCTACCCTCAGATCTTCATTGAAGAGCCACCACTCGATGCGCATCTTCCATACTCGGCTTACAAAAATGATGAGATGCGAGTACTCATCAAACTCAATATCACAATTGGACAACAGACGCTAATGGACCAGTTCGAGTGGGAGTTAAATGATCCTCTGAACTGTCCTGAAGAGTTTGCGCAGTCAATGACGCGTGAACTGTCCCTAGCTGGAGAGTTCACCACCGCCATTGCTCATTCTATCCGCGAACAATGTCAACTCTTCTCCAAGTCACTCTATATCACAGGTCACGCCTTTGATGGACGACCAATCGAAGACGCAGACCTCGTGGATGCCCTACTCCCCTCTCCTGTACCGTCTTCTTTTCGGCCCTTTCAATCGACTAAAGACTTCACGCCATATCTTTGGGAACTCAGCGAGACGGAGCTTGACAAGGCTGAATTATCTATCTCTCGGGAGCAGCGTCGACAGAAGCGGTCAACCAATCGCCGTGGTGGCCCTGCACTCCCAGATCTCAAAGACAGACAGCGTACCATTCGGTCCCTTATCATTTCCTCCGTCATTCCAGGCGCCGCATCAACCTTGGAGGAGAGCCGCATATTCAAATTATCAAGAGCAAGCCGACGATCCGGCAGAGTTGGTGCTGGTCAACGCGATGGATTGGATGAGTCTGATGAATCTGAAAGCGAGGATTCTGCCCCTAACTCGCCTGCCATACCTGCCCACCTACTCCAAGGCACCGCAAGAACAAGAGGGATGCGAGGAGCCGCTTCCGCTGCTCAAGCAGCCATGCGCGCGAGTTTGAATGCTTTTGGAGCTGCTGCCAGGTCTGCGACGCCAGAGTCGGCGAGTATGCATCATCACGAAACGAGGACTTCAGCTCGCAGGAGAGATTATAGAGAAGATAGTGATGATGATCTACCACCAGAGAAACTGATTGTCAAGCTCAAAATCTCGAGATATAGGCTGAAGGATCTGCTGCGCACAATGAGGTTGAAAGAAAGAAACGCGGGCAGTCCATTACCTGGAGCTCACCAGAGATCTCTCTCCTCAACACCAGCACATGGCTCCATGCCTCCACCACCTAGTACATCACAGATACCTACAAACCAGCAAGCTGGAGGGAACAGACTGACTCAAGAGCAATATGGCGTGGTTGATGCTCCTTACCCTGACAGCGACGCCCATCCGGCCGTAAGTGCCTTATCCTTTCCTTCCTGCCCTCGTCCTACCACTGTAGTACCTCTTTATGTCCGCATAATTCCAGAAATGTTTTCCGTACCCTCATCATCTTCGGAGGATTCCTCCCCCTTTCTTCATCCCTCCAATCCCACCCAACATTCCTTTCCCTCACCATTCTCACCGAACTCACTAACGCAACCCAGCCACTTCCACCGCCCTGGCTCGTCCAATCCCTCTCCCAACTTAACCGCTCCCACCCCCACTCCCGCTTCGAAGGCACCATGCGCCGCACCGCCGTCGACCCCGTCACCAACACCCCTTACCCCTCGGCCACTGACCTGACCGGTAAAACCGTCCGTTACAAATATTTCCCCCGGATCAGGTGTCTGGACTGCCCCGGGAAGCAGTATAACCCGGGCCCCGGGATGGGAGTGGAGGCGTTTGAGGTGCACCTGAAGAATTCAAGGCATAAAGAGAATGTGGAGAATAGGTTGAGAGGTGGTGGAGGGGGAGTGAGTGGGATGGGGATGATGGGGCGGATGGGCTGAGAAAGAGAATTGGAAGGAAAGGGGGGTAGGTGTGGGTGTGATCTTCGATGGGAGTTTTTGGGGGGGCTTGAAAGACGGGATTGTGTGAATCGGCTCGTCATGTGAGTTTCATGTATGTACGTCTTGCTTGTTGTGTGGGTGATTGTAGAAAGGAAAGGCCCTTGATTAGCTGGAAACATTCGTCGCCATACTCCATACCCGCCAATGTAATATACACATCTATCCTGCAGATACATAGTGGTGAATACAACCCTCTACATGAGAACATGCATGCAAACAAGTGTTGACATGTTACCACTAATCCGTCAGGGCGAAGAGAAAGCTTCCAGCCCACCACGGCAACCCGGGTCCATAGTTTGCTACTAGTACATCAACTCAATGCCCTAAAGCACAAACTGGCATTTGTGCCTCCGAACCCGAAGCTGTTCGACAATGCCACTTGCACCTTCCGCTGCTGTGCTTTGTGGGGTACGTAGTTGAATTTGAAGTCCTCGGTTTGGTTGTCTAGGTTTAGGGTGGGTGGGAGGATGCCCTGGAAGCCGACCCATGTGTAATTAGTAAGATTCTCAGCCAGGCCTTGCGCCTAGGATCGCTGAAGGCAATAGTACGGGACGAAAGCAAGAAGAAAGAATGAAGGAGGGGTGTGAGATGACCGGTGACATCGTGCAACATACCTCCTTAATGGCCAGCACCGTGAACATGGCCTCCACCGCGCCTGCTGCCCCGAGAAGATGTCCTAATGCTCCTTTTGTCGATGACACGTTGACATGGCTGTCAGCTTTCCCGCTTTCGGCCATCAAAGCTTCGATCGCTTTATTCTCTGCCAGATCGCCCAGCTTCGTCGACGTCGCGTGCGCATTGATGTAGTCCACGTCCTCCGGCTTCGCACCCGCATGCCTCAGCGCCATCTTCATGGCCCTCAACGCCCCCCCGCCATCCGGCAGCGGTGCAGTCACGTGATGCGCATCCGCACTCGTGCCGTAGCCTACAACTTCGGCGTAGATCTCTGCGCCGCGGTCACGTGCATGGTTCAGTTCTTCGAGAATCACGACCCCTGCGCCCTCGCCGATGACGAAACCGGCGCGGTCGCGATCAAAGGGTCGAGAGGCGCTGTGGGGCTTGTCGTTGAAGGCGGTGGCGAGGCTACGGGAGCGGCAGAAGCCACCAATGGCGAGGGGGTGGATGCAGGCTTCGGCGCCGCCGGCTACCATGACGGAGGCGTCGCCGTGGGCGATGAAGCGGCTGGCGTCGCCGATGGAGTGGGCGCCGGTGGTGCAGGCTGTTGTGGCGGTGTGGTTTGGGCCCTAGTATGGAGGTCAGTGGAAGGACGGTAGGAATCGGGGTATTGGGAGGTACTTTGAAGCCATATCGCATGGATATGTGGCCAGCGCCGAGATTGATGAGAAGACGTGGGATGAAATGAGGGTGGATTTTGCGGGTTTTCTGGTTGTGATGTTAGAGAATTCTGTAATGTAGATGTTGCTCGAACATGATGGGATGTATACCCCTTTCCTGAAGGCAACCGATGTCTCGAACAGTTCTTCAAGGTTACCTATTCCAGAACCAAGACATACGCCCTGCGAATTGAGTCAAATCAAGCCTTATGACAGTAGGGTTTGGAATGGCGGACTGTAGCTTCAAGATCCTCTTCTTTCGTTGGCCTCCAGCCAGCATCAGTCAATGCCTCCTCCGCCGCAGCAAGTCCATACTGAGCGTACTTGGCAGCCCTGGCGATATCCTAATTATAGATTCAGATCAGATGTCTTCTAGATTTCAGTTGTGATGAAACCATACAGACTGCTTGAGCAAATCCGAGGCTTTCCAAGCTCCCTCTGTTTTTTCATCCACAGGAACCAATCCTGCAACTTGACTAGACAATGCAGCGAAACGCTCTCCGAATGAGGGTATCTTCTCAATGCCACAATCTCCCTCAATGAGTCTTTTCCATGTTCGTCGGATACCTGGAATTGCGGGTTTTAGAGCTATGAAACAGGGGGGGTGAAATTTTGGAATGCTCACCTACCCCCAGAGGCGTCACGGCCCCTAAACCTGTAACCACGACTCTGCGCATTGCATTGTATCTATATTAAAGTCCCGTCGTAATCTGCAAAAGCTATATCCCAGATGTAGCACTGGTCAAGACAATTCACGTCCGCCAATGATGGATAATCAGGCAGTGAAGCTCAGGTGCACAGCATATTCAGTAGGGAACCTTTGTAATAAGTGCCTGACATTAGCGACGGCACACAACACACTTTTTGCCCACATTCTTAAGGTGGCTAAGATAGGGTCTGTGTCTCAGTGTCAGTGTCAGCTTGTCTCGGCCCCTATCGGCCCGGGGGCCCGAAGCTTGGCGCCGAAATTTATGGCACTTCTCAGATTTCTGCTATGCTACACGCCCCTTTAATAGGGGATAGGACGCCCATTTCGCTCATTTAGGGCAGCTACTCTATCTGGCATTGTTGCGATAGCCCTATTAATCTCATCCAGAGTTATTTTATCCCACTCCTCCTGGATAGCCCTGCGCAAAACAGCTTCTTCGAAGATGACCCCCCTGGACTTCAAGCGCTGCTTTATTATTCTCCAGATTGTCTCAATAGGGTTGAGATCAGGCGAATTAGCAGGGTTCATCTCCCATTTGATCCCTAGAAGGTCCTTGAGTGCTTTAACCTTGTTAGGACCCTTGCCCTTAGTACCATGAGGCCCGTCATTATCTTCGATTAGTACGTAATCTTTATCCCAATTAGGAGCGACGATTTCTTTCAAAATAGCTATATAATCGCTCTGAATAAGACGTCCTCCTACTCTGGAGCCGGTATAGAAGTGGAGCTGACCCTTGAAATTCCATCTAATAACTACGTACATATAGACTGACTGATTTTGACGCTTAAGCTTAAACTGAGTCTTTGATAAGGCATTTCGTGCTTCAAGCCCTGGTCGACGATGAATTTAAGTCTGTCTTTGTAAGCAAGTAGCAAAATAAGACTTATTACATTATCTATACTTCAGAAACTGATCTAATTATTAATAATAACGCTCAAATCCTTATATAATTTAGGCATTAATATGTAATTATAAGAGTATTTTTTTCTGTATAGTTATATAAGTCCTTACACTAAAATCCTTTATATTCTGTTAAATTACATATTTATAACTATTAGTTATACTAATTGTCCTTGCCATCTTCAATGACTTGAAGAAGCAAAGCCAAAATTAGCATCTTCAACAGCCTTAATTGCTTCACACTTATGTAGAGTAAGTACTCGTTTTCAGCCTTGATTGTGTATCCTCTCGCTGTAGCGCGCAGTTGCTTTTTTAAGTATTCGATAACTAGTTGATTTAGGTATATTATGTATCTTAAATAGCTCTGTACGAGGCAATTTGCCAGCTGTGTGGCGTGCATCAGCAAGGAGGCGCGCACGGCGCGGCGTATCGAGCATCGTTTTTGGCGATCGCAAGGGTGCAGGAGAAGGAGGATCTATCGAATTTGACTTTCGGCAGACGCGTCGTCTATTTCCCCGTTCAGAACCCATTGTTCCCTTAATTTGAGTGAGTATTAGTAGAGAAATAGGGGAATGAAGAAGAGGGGGAGAGGAAGGGGATCTGAGAAGTCCCATAAATTTCTGCGCCAAGCTTCGGCCCGAAGCGCCACCTCGTTGAATGGCCCAAAGACATTACTTTTGACGTTTTGTACTGCCGAAACACCAGTGCTTTGATCTACCAAAATGTCAAAATCTCGTCTAACCGAGAGTTAAATGAGAGGCGTATCTGGTGACGGTGTCAGCCTCTGCAAGATGGCTTGCAGAACTTGCGTCGAGATTGCTTTGAAACCCGCCTAGCAAAAGCAATCATCACATCTTGCTCCTGATACACCCCCAAGCCCTCGAATTGGCTATTGAGAGGATAGGTATTGCATTGAATGGTACATTATTGGAAGCAAATGACGTCGCTACTTTACTCTTAGTCAGTGTATGCTGGTACAGAAACTGTTGATGCCGAAGTTTGAGTTCTCCTGGTGTTTGGAAGTTGATGTAGTCCTGCCTTCCATATGTACAAATATGGACCTCGTCATCCCTCCTTTGACACTTCTGTGTTCCTCAGGACGTATTTCTGAGCTCCTGAAACATGCCAGGGAAAAATCTATGCTTGCTATCACTGGATGGCGGTGGTATTCGAGGGCTCTCCTCACTCCACATTCTGAGGGAGCTTATGAACAAGATCGAGCCCAACCGACGCCTTAAGCCGTGCGAGTACTTCGACATGATTGGAGGAACAAGTACAGGCGGGTGAGTGTTTCACGTGACAAGAAGGACAAGATCCACTGACTAGCCTAGGTTGATGGCTATTATGTTGGGACGCCTGCGAATGGACATCGACGAATGTATAAACGCTTATATGGAGCTCTCCAATCGAATCTTCACAAAGAAAAAAACTCCACTCAACATAAAGGGTAAGATCCAAGGTAGATTTGACACCAAGGCCCTGGAAGAAGGGATCAAACAGATTGTTCGTGATATAACGGGCTCGGAGGATACCCTTCTTCGAGATGACCCAAACGCGCCATGCAAAGTGTATGACGAAGCCATCTTGCTAGTCTATAATTGGAGTGACTGACGGTGCTTAAACAGCTTTGTTTGCGCAACACGGAGAGATGCGACAGCTACGATGCAATTCACGAGCTACAAATCTCACAGTGATGCCGATTTGCTAGAGACCACCAAGATCTGGGAGGCGGCAAGAGCGACTTCTGCAGCCCCCTCATTCTTCGACCCCATTAAGATTGGCAGATTTCGTGAAGAGTTTGGCGATGGAGGTACAGGTGCCAATAATCCCGTTCGAATACTGTGGAACCAAGCTCAGTACTGCCTGAACCAAGGAGATCCGGTGGAGAGAAATCTTAGGTGCTTGGTCTCAATCGGCACAGGCATCCCTTCACTTGAACCATTTGGCGATCAGTTAATACAGGTCGCCAAAACCTTGCAAAACATTGCCACCGAGACAGAGAGAACACCAAAATCATTTCGCGAGGAGCATGCAGAGCTGGCTAAACAAAACAGATATTTTCGCTTCAATGTGTTGAGGGGGTTGGAGAAGATTGCACTGGAGGATGCCACACAAACGGCTGCAATCATGGCAGCGACCAGAGAGTATGTGGGGAATGTGGAAGTGGCGGAACGAATGTGGCTCTGTGGGAGAAATGTAAAGGAGGCGCGGCGTGGGTACATATGTCCCTAGTTCAGATCAACGGTTAATATGGTACAGAAAAAGGCGCTTTCAATGTCCCATTCGTACTCGAAGGTATTCCTGTCATTGATAACTTTGTTCCTCGAGATGGTGACCTCCAGAAGCTGAAGGATGCGCTCTTACCTCGACCAGGATCAGGATCACAACCACAGCGGTAGGTATTTGTCCTTTATGGATTTGGTGGTATAGGTAAGACGCAACTTGCCGTTAAATTTGCCAGGAAATACCAGAAACAATTCAGTGCGATACTTTGGCTCAACGGGTCGACCAAAAACCAAGTCCTACAAAGCCTTGCAGGAGGTGCCCGACGACTGTCTAATGAGGTACCAGAGGCAAGGAGCTTTCTTCCTTCCGGCAGTGGTGCAGACATCGAAGTTGTCGTCGAAGGGTTGCTACGTTGGCTCAGCCAAGCTGGTAACAATAGATGGCTTCTCATCTTCGATAACGTGGACCGTGATAGCTCGGCAGAACTGACGGATAAGGACCAGGATGCTTTTGATGTTACGAAATACTTTCCTTTGGCTGACCATGGGTCGATCCTGATTACAACCCGGCTCTCCAAACTTCGAGGACATGGAATGGGACCAAAGAGTCACCATCTGTCGCAGGTCAACGAACAGCAGGCACTGCAGATTTTGAATAACTGTTTAGAGCGACCACTTGAGGGTTAGTCCTGAGATATGCTCCTTTCCTTTGTTGTCTCTAATGAGGACTTACAGGCCTGATCAGAATCGTGCGGCGACTCGGTGGTATCCCCCTTGCGCTCAATCATGCCGGGTCATTCTTACGCCAAACTGGCTGCACTGTTCCGGAGTATTTGGACTCTTACAACAAGCAATGGGGTGAGCTTTTTGGTCATGATAAAACTTCAATCATATACAAGAGCATTGAGTCAGCCTGGACAATGTCATTTGGATATGTAAAACAGAAGGATGAACGCGCCGCCAAACTACTGTTACTCTGGGCTCATCTCGACAACACAAACGTCTCGTACCAGCTTCTTGCGTCATCAACAACTCATACTATATACGAACACTTGATTCCCGACTGGTTTCATGCCTGCATGAAGGACATCCTGGCATTCCTGAACATAATAAAGATCTTGATAGATTACTCTCTGATTGAGGCCACCATTGGATCTCGGTCTTACTCCATGCATCCACTTTTGCATGATTGGTGCTACCATTTTGGCGCTAAAAAGCAGGATGAATTTGCTCTATTGGCATCCCTTACGCTTGGCTCAGCACAAGATGCTCTTCAAGGTGATCTCACCAAGGGGGCCATCAGATCTGGGAAACTACTCCTACCACATTACGATCGGCTATTGAGACAGACTGGTGATAGACTGGCAGATAGACTGAACGATGATGCTACGCTGGAAGCTTACTGTTGCTCTCTTCTGAGTTGCGCATCCTACTACGTATACCACGCTCAAATAGAAAAGGCCGAAAGGCTCTCTGTGTATGCCCACAATGCAGTCAAGAAGTCACCAAATTCTTACAACGAATGGAAGGTTAGGTTGGCCCGTGCACTGTACCGCGTATACTTGTGTTCAGGGAAACTCAAGGAGGCAGAGGAGATGATTCTACAGAACCTAGAAGGGAAACGCTTGTCAAATTCTTGTGATCCGGAGATTTTTGACACTTTCCATGATCTCCTTCGTTTATATAGAAGGCAGAAGAGGTGGAAAAAGGCTGAAGAGATATGCCAACAGATTTTGGAAGTAAGTACGAAGGACTCGAGCAAACTACATCGCGCAAGGTGGGATGCCTTGAACCATCTTGGAAATTTATATCAATCAACAGACAGGCTGCCCGAGGCCGAGGTTGCGTATTCTCGAGCTCTGGAGGAGGAGATGGAACACGGTGCAGACAGTGACGTTATCATGCTCACTATGATGGACCTGGCAATTGTACACTTGTGCATGAATCATTTGACTCTGGCAGAACAGATGTACAAATCTGTTTTGAACTCGCGAGCGACGCGGCCGAATAAGAATTACATATTGCGTACGGTAGCTGCCGAACGATTAGCTTGCATCTACATGGTTATGGGACGATACGGAGAAGCAGAGACTGTGTTTTTAAGAGCCAAAAATGGGTACACCGAATGGTTAGGGCCTTCAGCTCAGCGAACATTGGACGCTGCTAGAGCACTGCAAAAGATCAATGCTAGAAGGGCTGAGTCTGCAAGAGCAAGTCCACGCTCACACGCTATTCCGTAAATGCCTTGCTCTGGAGGCTCATCAGGCTCTTCTTAAGGTATCCTCCATGGAGGATGGCGTTTTGGAGGGAGTCAGTACTGGACGTGATAGGGCATAGACCATCTCAGAAATGTATTCGCTCTTTCTGATGTTCAATCAAGGACTACTGAGCAGTGTGTTCGCGCGAGCAGACCAGTGCCAATTGCGGATGGATCCAAACAGACAAGATGACCCTGTGCACGGCAACATCTTTGAAAGAGTGAAGTGTCAGTCTTACAAATTGTTATTTCGTATACGGACCGGTGTTGCTCTTGTCTGGTAGGGTCATCCCTTCTGCATACTGCCTATCTTCTATTCATGGACCCCTATCGGCCCGATCACGGAGCGAACAGGCCATCTTTTCGTTATGCAAGTAATCTGTCTATTGGAGCAAAGGAAGCGGCAGTAGGCCTACCGCGAGATAAAGCAGAAAGGGAAGAACACGTGTCGCTGCCCAAGAATACCACTGTGACAACACCTTCCCCCGATCGGCGATCGAGTACATCTTTCGCCTGACACCAACCAGTATCTTGGAAATTTCTGTCACGTGCGTGCTCTGGTTGGGACTCAATAGATTAGCTTCCGTTGGGTCTTTGTAACCTTCGTTAGGTTTATATTCTACTCACGCAATCGATTTGTCCTATCCATGATAAAGTAGTAGCTTTATCGATTACAATAATTAAGTAACAGATCACTAATGTTTTAACAGGTTAAATCCATTAATTAACATGATTAGAATAGCTTCTCTGCAATTCTGCCCCGCGGCGCCAGCAATTTAAGGGTAACACTAAGGAATTGCAACACTTTTGTAATGCACAATATTATTATTTCTGACACGTGCCATTGAACTTTAACATTAGACTCTTGATAGGATTTTAATACCCTATAAAAGTCTTGCTTTGTAACTAGTAGTTCGTCATCAAGGTGATTTCGTGCATATCCTTCAAGCTTAATTAGTGCAAAGAAGGCCATAATCTTCCCGTCTCCTAATAAGCCCTTGAACAGGTCACATCATTCCCTACCAATCACATAGCCATTAAGATAATTGCTCACTAAAGATTGATGACGACTAATGAAGCTCTAGAGAGACTGTGCCCAGCTCTGCCCGAATGACTTCAATGCTAGCGAAAGGATTGTTCGATTGATCAATCAACTCAGCGTGTCAGGGTAAGCCCCGTTCTGAGATAACTCTAGATTCATCATCTGCTTTCTACTACTTATGGAACGAAGACACCCATATCTGCTTTCCTGATTGCAACGCGGAACCAGATCAGAGTCCCTCACTTTTCAATTGGACGCACACCATGGACAGTGGAACCAAAACATTAGTTACCTTCCTCCTGCATCAACCTTCTACCAAGTTTATCCGCCTACAGTTTGTGGATCTATCAGGAATTCTACGCACCCGAATCATCACCACACAGCACTGTCTGGATATGATCGCAAAAGGTCAGCACGCTACAGTGGGTGGGAAAAGCATGCTTTTCTCCGTAACTGATAAGACTTCATCCATTGTGCCATCTGTGGGGTTGTGCGAACTCCACCCAGACTGGCGGTCCCTCCGAGTTTGCGGGTACGCGCCAGGACACGCGGTAGTTATGTGTTGTGTATACGACAAATATTTCGAGGAGGAGCCCTTTCATCTGTGTCCAAGACGAAAGCTTGCAGACTTCGTGGTAGAGTGCGAGGTCTCACAAAGCAAAAAGTTTCTCGTCGGTTTTGAGGTAGAATTTGTGCTCTTAGATCCTTCCGGAGAGCCTCCGCGGACTGTGGACCCTATCAACGCATGGTCCGTTACAAGCGGACTCCGTGGGGATACCCTGGAACTCATGGAAGAATGTGTTGAAGCCCTACAAGCTTCGGGTATATCAGTTCTTCAATTTCACACAGTCGAACCGAATCAGCTTCAAATAGCCACAGGTCCCTTGAGCCCACTTGACGCAATTGATGCTTTGATGCATGCAAATGAATGCATTAAACATGTTTCTGTGAAACACGGTCTGCGGGCGACGATGGCACCCAAACCACTAAGAGAAGATCTTCACACAGCTACTCATGCGCATGTATCCATTCATCCTCCGAGCGGGCAGGAGAACTTTCTCGCAGGTATTCTGAACAGCCTTCAAACACTCTGCGCTTTTGGATTGCCATCATATGACAGTTATTCTCGCGTTACTGAGCTGCGAAATGCTGCAGGGGCCCGGGTCGCTTGGGGCACAGAGAATCGTTATGTGCCGATAAGAGCAATTGAAAAAGCCCGATGGGAACTTCGGTACCTTGATACAACAGCGAACTTTTATCTTGCATTGCTTGCATCCCTCTCGGCTGGGATGCAGGGCTTAAAAGAAAAGATGCCTCTTCTGTGGCATGACTGTCAACAAAACCCTTCACAACTGACGGAGAGCGAACGCAGAGAACTCGGAATTGTGAAGCAATTACCCAAAAGCATGAGAGACACTATCGAGATGTTAAAGGAGTCAAAAAGTTTAGATGAGGTGCTGGGTGAGACTTTGAAATCCAACTACATTGCCATGAAAGAGATTGATGAAAGTGATATGCGTTCTTGGAGCGAGGATCGTCGAAGGGAGTTATTCACAGCACTGTTCTGATTCTTAACCTGGCTCTTATATCTAAGAAAGAGTCTGTTAAGGAACAACAGCCTCTGATGGTTACACAAAGCAAATAATGGTGGCTGCCTCCAGCTCAGCACATGGATCTAAGACGGAACGCTTACAGCGGGCTATGAAGGCCAAACGGCCAATTCAAATTTTCATCCCTGCAACAGGGCCATGGATTGTCCCACCAAGTTTGTCTGGGGGATCCATGAGCTTTTTCGCTCAACGAAATCCATACGGAATTTGTCTCCTGTTACTAGTAGAACTGCTCACTTGCCTATTTAGGACTTTAGATAGCTGTTCTTTGTGTTGCGCGCTGGTCGCAAGAATAAGGGCGTTAATTCTCCTCATAGGTGGTAAATGATTTACAGGCCAATCAGAGAGCTTCTTGTGAATCTAGAAACCATCAAGTAAAGCTCTCTAGCTCAACAATTCGCATTATTGTCAGACGCTGTGAGCGCTCATTGGTTGGATTTCTACGTGTAACCCCTGCGTTTTGCCTGTTTTTAATTGGTCAATTTCTACTGCAATTTCACTTCTAATCTCGCTGTACTATAGTTATAGCTAAATCTGTACGTATATCTACGCCCGCTGCCCCTTCCTCAGATAGAACAACTTGCTTTCTACGGACCTTCCTGCGGATTGCTACACAGTTATATTCACCACCCTGGCCAGTCATGGAACTATGGCAGCCCCCGTCTGTGCGTGTGTTTTGATTGGACCAGAACATGTGTAAAATGTGAGCTGAGCCACCGTTCCCATCCAGATCGGTAGTGGAGGAGAGGTCCTGAGACGAATGCACGGGCGCCTAGTTTGGGAAATTTGACGTGGCGATCTGACGGCGAGCGCAGTCAATGCACAGCCTCGTTACTTACCCCGCTCGTGTAAATATTGATGGAAGCTCAGAGGCTGAGAATGGAGGGAACCCACTGGCTTGGTGACACATGCGGATTGCGATGCAGTTGCTACGGAGGAAGAATACATAGTGCCGTCCAAAAGTGACTCTAGCGCGAGGTTAGATCATATAGAGCAATGATGCACACTTCCCACCAAGTCCGATTTGTTCGGAATGCACTGATCGCGCGGTCGTCCACTTTTTTCACCACCAGCTGATGTGATCTCATTGGCTCTGTCAGGTCCTGGGAAGACACTCCGAGTAGTCAAATGAATGCTCTACAAGTCACCTTTTCGGCGGCAGGGATAGGTGTTCGTTGTATCAAGTATCGAATCACGGGGCTCCCCTCACAACCCCCTCCTCTTGAGTTGCGCTATGCCTTCGATTCGTATTCCCGTTATCTGTCGTTTCGTATCCGATTTGATAGATAATGCTACTGATTCTAATTTGCAGAAATCACTCAACAGAGCCGCACAAGATAGCACGTCCAGCAGGAAAAAGAAAATTGAGGGGGAGAGAGTCCCATATCTTCTATGTATTTCAGTTCCCAACTCCCCATGAATAAGCAGATAACCCCATATCTTATCCCATCAGACCAAGATAATAAAGAGCAGATTCTCTCCACAGAATACCTCAGTAGGTCTTCTTCCACCTTGAGTAGCACCAAGACAGTTACTGTTCTTACCCATTCCATCTTCGTCAGGAGCACCCCGAAAAAACAACATGCCAAACCACATCACAGCAGCCACTACACACGACGAGCGAGCTCAACCGTGGAAGAAATTCATGGCTAAGCAGTTGAGCAGTGTCACTGCGGATAAGGGGGAGAGAGATGTCGTGCGTGATCCTGAGGCAAAACGCCAGGCCTTGGGAAGGAGTCTTGCTGCTTGAGATGACGTCTTGAGTTGTGACTTGTTGATTAGTGTGTTTGAAGACTGGACGTGGTTTCAACTGTGAGGGTCTTGAAGGACTGAAGGAAGGGCCATGGAGAAATCTAGATGAGTGGATGGGTAGGAAGTAGTTTTGTTAGTGGAATAACAGGATTATGCTTCTGTTTTTGCGCACCCTGCGTGCAGTAAGATGAAAATGTAACGTTCTAGTGCTTCAAGCGCTCCCGATGACGGAGATTTAGGACGTGTCACATATGATACTGGTAGCCGGGTTAAATGTAGCGTACCGCGTATACAGCTGGGGCAACCTATATAACCCACCACTCCGCCGTAGTCTACCTCTGTCCCTATCGACTTTCACAATGTCCTCCACACCCACCTCAGGCCCCAACCATGAAACAGCCAAGCTAAATTACTTCAAATGGACATCCCTCTTCCTAACCGAAAAGCCTTACCAAATCCTCATGGATACACCCGACGGCTGTCCCAGCTCAAATTTCGAGTTCGAGGCTGCCCCCGCGCAAACCATTCAAGACCTCCGTGGGCGGGAGAGCGAGTATAGTCTCGATAAAAATGGCTTTGCGGTAAGGAGACATTTGTTGGATAGGTTGCGGATGGAGGATTGGACGAGGGAGACTGTGGAACGACTATATTTTCAGGAGGTGGATAGGATTTTGAGGGAGGAGGTGGAGGATGTGGTGGAGTGTGTGATCTTTGATTGGAGGGTATGTATGTAGGAATAAATGTTATGGGATGTTGGGGGAGGGATATGGGAAATTATGGGAGAACATTTCGCTGATAAGGGGATGCCAGCTTCGATCGAGCGATAGTGTGGATTCTGGGGAGGCTTTGGACCTGAGCGATCTGGCACAATATATGAGGCCTATTGAGACAGTTCATATTGGTGAGTTCCATGATCTCTCATGCTTGGATTGACGGGATCTTCAGTTTTGAGATCATTGAGATCATTCTCTGCTTTCATTTACTGAATGTATTGTCCACGGCATCCAGACCAGAGCGCCGCAGGTGCGTACAAACGCGTGCACCACCATCTCGGCGATCGAGCCGAGTCACTGCTCAAGAAGCGTTTTCGTATCATAAAGTGCGGTTTACCCCACCCAGACATCCTTTCTGCAGCCTTCGTCGTCCATCGGCTAACTACACCTGCCCACTTCCAGTGTGTGGCGCCCCCTCAGGTACCCTGTCGAGGACTACCCACTCGCCGTCTGTGATGGCAGCACCGTGCCAGAGACTAGCCTCGTGACCGCAGACCATGTCCGTAAGTTCTATATCGGAGAAAGCTTGTACCCGCTTCATAATGGGAGCTATCGATGGTATTATTTAAACCGGCAGACTAAGGATGAGGTGCTGCTATTGAAGATGTTTGATAATAAGGAGGGAGTTATGGCGACGTGTATGTTTGCGATTTCTTTTATTGGTTTGGAATCGTTGAGTTGGGATGATTGCTGGTGCTAACTTCATCCTCAACAGACTGCCCACATACCTCGTTCATGCAGAGTGATGTGAAGGAAGGAGCCAAACCAAGGGAAAGTATTGAGGTTAGGGTGATGGTGTTCTCGGAATCGTAAGAGTCGTCTGTGCAGGTCCCTCGCAAGCTCTCTGCTTGACGAGCGCGGAAAGCAATGAGTGGGCTTTGTTTCGTAGGACGAATTGAAGGCTATGACTCTCTGTTACTCTGTATCATCGTGGATGATCGTTCCAGTCTATCAAAGATGCGGTACTCGAGCACTGGCCAAGCCCAGATTAACCATACTGACAATACCCTCTCCCAATATGAGTCCTGACGAAACCACGATGACTGTAGTTTCTCCCGTCTTAAAACGCCGCATGTACCACCGGCTTAGAAATCCTCCAATTGCTCTGGAAATAGAGAATGAAGGGGTAGTGTACATTCCAACCGCAACGGCAATGCCTCCAGGCACGAATGGTTGTAACTTCCTCACTTTAGCTGAGCTATGGCTTCCAAGATAGATCCGTAAGATCGTTGTGATAATGGAAATCAATCCTGTCCATAATCCAAACTGCCAAACCATTGGCGGAAGACCTTTGCCCGTCACCAGCCTCGCTGTGAAGATCCACAAATATGCGCTAGGCATCTGGAATAGTTGGCTTGGAAGTTCGTAAACCGCGACATAAAGTCTGTATACGATCGATGAAATCACAACTCCAAAAATACTGCCGATGACTTGACCATAGAATTGGGCCTTTGGAGAAGCACTGAGTAGGTGACCGGTCTTGAGGTCTTGCATCATATCGCCTCCTTGCCCGGCGCCGGATTCTGCGATCGTGCCGGCGATGCTATTGATGATGACCGCATTCGCGTCATCCTTACGAGTGACGAGTGCGAAAGCTAGTTGGACTAGCTTCGCAATTCCCGAGGCCGGGTTGAGGTCGGTTTCGCCCAGAGCTCGGACGCCCATGAGCGTTGCCATGAGAGAGAGAAGTGTTGCTAGGGTGCTCAGAGCAGGTGAAATGTATGATCCAAAGGAAAGTTGGGTACATAGCACACAAAATGCTAATGAAGAAGGTAAAAGGATAGATATTGTCGTGTTAGAAACAAGGTCTTGTGGTAGTGCGTCGGTATCCAAATCACTGGTCGGCGAATTCGATTCTAGCTGTGCTAGAGACGTGTAGCGATGGTACATTTTTCGTGGTAGAATGAGGTCGTGCCAGCTTCCTCCTTGGCGAAGGTGCGTCTTATATGATCGCAGCCACTCGGGACCGTGTCTCACTAGCGGTCTCAGTACTAACCAGCCTAGATTAGTCAATGAATCTCCCAGCATCACGGCTAGCGATATCCACATGATCCAGCCCTTACTCCCAGTCTCCCAATCATCAATAGAACCCGGTGCCCAACCTTTGTTTCGAGCTAAGGGTGACAATACTCCCCACCCAAAAATGGCACCGAGAAGCAGGTGAAAGCTGGTTTCGAGACCCATGATGGCCCCTTGACCGAGATATGCAGGAGACGGGTTCAACGCCCACAGCCAATCTTTTGCAAGGGATGTACCGAAGATGGGTATATCGCGGATCTGAGGAACAAAGTATGAGAAGAGAGTCTATTTACTAGTCAGTATCCAGCAAAGATCCATCAGACGTATATCTCACAGATACTGCAGACAGATTGAAAGCTTGAATTAGTAGCTGAACATATCTGTCCCTTAGATGGTCATTCAAGTCATTCGGTGGCGCAGCTGGCTCTTGAACCATGGAATAGTCGGCAATCTCATGAGCACCGGAAAGTTCGTGTGTAGTGAAGTCGCGTCGCCCAAGTTCGTCATTTCGCAGCAGACCATGAGTCTCATCTTCATCCGGTACCATGCTATGTTCATGCCGTTTCGGCTCATTGACCTTTCCGTGCAAGACTTTAATCAAGAGGGCAGTAGCAGTACCACTCGGAAACCTCAACTTCTCTCTTATAATCACTTGTTTTCTCAGAATGACAGTGAACACAGATCCAAAGAAACATATCCCCAAGCTCCATACAATTAGCCGCCCGACTCCCAGCCCTATCGGAGCACCTTCGGCTGGCTTCAACAGGAACTCCATCGCCGGTATGAATCCCACAAAACCACATCCCAATGACATTGTACCCACAGCGCCCGCAACAGTCTGCACGAGAACATTCTCGACCGGCTGGAAAGGCGCCTTAAGATATTTAGAAATGGATTTGAAGAGGGCAAATCCTATCAAGGAAGAAGGCATAGACATGCCACTTCCCCAGCCCGTCTGGAGGCCGAAATACGTGTTGCAGAAACATATTAGCACTCCGATCAAAAGACCTGCAAGCAGTCCCCTGAAGGTGAAGTCGTTTCTATCTTTTCTCTGGGCACGGCGCTGAGGGGACTCGGGCAGGATGTTAGTGCTGGCGCCGGTCCCGTTGATGGCAAGGATAGCCATAGTGCCGGCTCATCGAAGCAGGTAAGTAGATAATGACGGGCGGCAACATGGACCGCCGGGTAGCCAATACGTGCGTCAAATTTGCTCATCTGAGTAGCATAGGCTGTGAGACTTGGAGTTACAAATATGGTGGGAAGTGCGAGGCTTCCATGCTTCAGAGATTAAGCTAGGAGGTGCCTGCAAGATCAGGCACTCTGCAAAAGTAAGGTCCTCCGGTCCTCCGGTCCATGCTGCCATGCATGCTTCTCCCCCAAACGGTCATAATGTTTTGAATATCTGTATGTACATAATCTTACTAAAATGAATTGTGCTTGTGAAAATTTTAAGCTTTAACACTCTTTCTCTCTATCAATTCTGTAAATCATCCTTTAAAAACTTGATAACTTGATGATCCCCTGTGTCACTGATTTAGTATCATTACCTTAAGTGGCTTAGTTTGCAGATGAGTTTAAATGGATTAAAGTATGCAGTCTTGGCAACAGGAACGCCGAAAATTTTCTAGTATAAACTATTTCTAAGAGTTCTTCCACTTTAGAAGGGTATTTTTACTCATTTCAAAGTGTGAAAATGCTCGGAATTTTGAGAGCTATCAAATGGGGTCAATTTTATGATCTTAACCCTGTTGATTAGAGTTGTGCAGACAGAGAAACATCGGAATATAGCATTTTTGATGTTCTTCTTGCCAAGGCTGCAGCAAAATTATTAAGTAGTAGTCGACTGCTGAAACACTAAACCACTTGATGTAATGATACTGAAGCAGTGACACGGGATAATTCTTACTAGGAGTAGATACTTACAAGAAAAGATATACCTAACGCCTAGAATATAGAGATATAGTGCTGAAAAGTGCGATTTTTGATGTAAACCCAAGGGTAGACCCTTACTTTTGCGTTAGTAATATAATAGTCGTTATGAATTTTCCTCATGGAAAACCTCTCCTCCGTAGCTCTTCAGCCTTTTCCGCCTATTGCTGTTTCTGCCACTGCCTTACGTCCAATTGCGATCACTGTCGAAATCCTTGTTTGCCTTCTATCTTCGTCAACACGAACTTAGCGGTCTCTTAAGTTTTGACTGTCCCTCCTCCCCTCATGTCTCTGCTGCGTCTTCTCCGCCAGCGATCTTATACCAGCCATGACCGATAGCGTTCCCACTGGCAATACAACGAATCCTCCCACGTACCCTTACGCCAGCCACAATCCCATCGCCTATTCGTATGCAAGTAGCCATCCCAGTTCTTACAATGCCACCACCACACCCGCCACCACTGCATCCATCCCACCGACGGCTACATCACATTCAAATGCTACAAGAGTGGAAACCGGAAAACCCTCCCAGACTACCTCAACGTACCCTCAATACGCAGCACAACCACAGTACGCAGCACAACCACAGTACGCAGCACAACCACAATACGCAGCACAACCACAGTACGCAACACAACTGCAGTACGCAGCACCGCACTCTCCACATGCCGCACAAAACCTGCAGCACGGGCCAGATTTCCAACAGTTCGGGACGCCGCATCCTCAGCACGTAACTCAATCCCCACAACACCCTCAGTACGTCGTCCAGAACCTCCGAGTGCGATACATCCGAAGCCGTGTGCTCGAAGATTACATTAATGCAAGATTGGGTGAGTTTGGGGAAGGCTGGAGTAAAACGGTACACCTCTATGCAGAGTGGGTGACTGGTGAAAGCCGCTGGCTGATCTACCAATTTGTCATACAGACTATCCATGATTGCCACTGCATTAGAGTTTTGAGGCGCCTCACCCAGGTGGGCCTGATCCTCTTTCTTTGTGTCCGGCTCCTCGAGAAGGGGCTCCTCCCCGAGTAATTACTGAAGAGAGCTGACTGCCTTTTTCCATATCCAGGATGAAATTCTCGTTCTTCAAAGGACGAGCTACCCAGGATATCACGACTCGGGTGCAATTTGGGCCGAATGATACCCGTCGGTGTACTTTTCTCATCAATGATTCCCAGGCTCGCAGATTATGTCTCCCTGCTATTGCTAAGTGCTATCAGCATGGCCTTGGTAGCTCAGCGAGGGAGATTGCTTTTGTTTAATTGCTCCATGCACATCATTCTGCACGAGATCCTTCCGTGCATGTACATACCAGATTTTCTTATATCCCTTATCGTTGGGAAGTCCTTGTTGAACTCGGACATTATTTTTCGCGCGAGAAAATGTTTGGCACGTGCATTATCACCCTTTCTGTCAGATAATTGTGTTTTTGGATGTTGTAGAATATCGTCAAGCTTTTCGTACATTCAAAGATGCTTAGTTATAAGAAAATACCTTATTAAGCCAAAACCGAGGCGCGTTCTTCAATTCGTAGGAGACGGGCAAGCTTCGCTAAATCTGCACTACCGTCCTGACTCCATGCTCAACTTATTCATAACCAAGGTACTTGAAAATCCAATCATGAGACTTGGAATACCATGTCTTGCATTTCTCCGCTGGACCGGAAATCTAGGTAATTGATATTAGCAACGCTAGCCAGGACTCAACAGTTCCGGTAGAAGGAGGTAAAGGGGGGAAGAACTACTTACAGTATATCTCACCCTCCGCCTACTCCCATCCAGCCCCGCCTCATACATCAAGAATCTCATATCGTCCGGCACCTCCTCATCCCCCTCGTACACGCTGAGCTCCACCCCGACCCACTTCCCTAGCGTGCTCCGTCTGGCCCTTCCATTCTCCGTCCCTCCCAGCCTCTCGCCCTCCCTCACCCTCTCCTCGCCCTCCTCTCGCCGTCCCAGCACCGGAATCTGCAGACTCCGGAGAACAGCCCAATACACCAACCCAAAACCCATAGAACCAATGACCGCAACGGCCCAGTAGAAGCGCGGCGTCATGCCGGCGTCGCGCGGCAGAGCGGTAACGACTAAAGTCACGATGTTGACGGCGACGAAGATCAAGGATATCGGATAGAGAAGGAAGGGGTTACGGAGGTACAAGTTCCAGCCTGGGTGGAGAGCACGCATTTTGGATTTGAGGCGGAGGAGGCCTATGCCCAGGAAGACTGTTTGCCGTATGTCATGTAAGCGGTTGATTTTGGTATTGATTCGGCCGCCGGGTTAGGCTGGGCCGTGGAAGAGGGAGGGGGTTTGAAGTATTGTGCTGTGTTAGGAGGGGGCCAGGGAGAATGGAAGGGGGGCACAAACGCAACATAATCTGATAGCCGTAGGAGTAGAGGCCGGCGTAGAAGGCGCGGGCGTCGGACCGCTGGTTGAAGCAGGCGATGGGAAGGATAGTGAACAGCCAGTGGAGGAAGAGAGCGCCGCCCGGGCTGTCGAAGTAAGGGTCTTGGCGTCCGAAGAATCGGTAGAAAGGGATTATGCGCTGCCAGGCTATTGCTTGTTTGACTGTGCGTTGAGTGAGTTCGTGAATGTGGTAATTGTGAGGTGGGAGAACCTTTGGCCGAGGTATAGGTAGCGAATATTTGATTGCTGAAGGTAGAGAGTGTGATGGCGACTTTCATTCCGGTAGAGGTTCCGAAAAGCTTGATAATCGAGTGAGCAGAGCATCCTCCGGTCGGAAGGATACAACCTTACCGACTCCGCGAATTGAAGGGCGGAACTGTTCTGTCCGTTGCTGTTCGTGAGCGTGGCGTAATCTGCTACCGCGCACTGAGACATCGTCAGTCAAAGCTTGCAGAAGAGAAACGTACAAATCCCAGTGTAGCCAGCATGTACAAGCAGGTCAAAGTTGCGCATGCTGTAATGCTAGCGTTTCTGAGGGTCTTCTTGTAGTCCCTGATCTCTCCTGTGATCTTGACTTGTAAGTACTTCTGCACAACCTCGTGGGCGCGAATTTCCTACATAGTTTGCATTGTCCCAACCCTGATAGCTGAAGATGATGTAGATCATAGCCGTCAATGCATCCACACCGTTATATCCCGGGTACTCTCTGTCGAAATCTTCAAAGCCAACATGTTCCCTTTCGCCGCTAGCTTTCATGCCAGCAATAAATATGAACAGAAGAAGAACAATCTTGTAGAAAGCGAATGTGGTATTGAGTAGGAAACACAAGCGGCGAGCGAAGAAGAGCAACAGGCAAACAACGGTTTGAACCACTACGGCCGTGAATCTGATCTGACCATCCGGGATGTCTGAAGTTGACATATCAGGATTTGCCAGGGATAAGAGGTTTTGCGCTACAGTCCTGGAAGAACTGATCGTCCCGGCAAGGAGGATCCAGAAACACGAGAACATCACCGTGGCCATGAGTTTCGGTCGGGGGAAGACCTCGTCAAGCTAGGCCTCGGGTTAATCTCCATATACACAGGAGGATGACTCAACACAACGCATACATATATCAGAGGACCGCCACTGAATGGAAGCGCAGTACCAAATTCTAGGAAAACAAGCATGCTAAGTGCAAGGTAAGAAAACGATTTCAATCGAGAAATCAGTGGAGATTGGCATACCTCAACCCCGTGTAGACGCCACCAACGGCCCAGAGGACCATGCTGATCGTTTTGCTTCGTGTCAACGCAAGCACATAGCCTGGTGTGTTGAATATTCCGCTTCCAATAGTTGCGTTAAGCATAAGAGAGGTTATCTGAAGAAACCCAAGGTTTCTGCGAGGCACACTGGTACTCTCAGTCCACGTTGTACTGCCAGTGTCTGCTGTTCCGCCATACACCCCATCCTGGATGCACTTGCTGTCATTGCCCGAAGACTCCCCATTGGTTTTGGACGAGTGTGCATCACTGACAACCCGGAACGGGGGCCTGTTATCGTTGCGCTGGCGAAGTGTTTGGAAAGGCTGTGCAGGAGGTGGCATGGATCCAGCTTTACTCGTCGCAAGCGAGTCTCCATTACGACTGGAGGTCTGTGCCTGGGGCGGCAGGAGAGGGTCTCCAGTAAAATGAGAAGTACCAGGCTGATCAGAGGCAGTCAACGAATTACTGAAGGTGACTTGGGTACCAGGACCAGATTCAAATTCGTTTTCCGACGCCATATCGTCTGAGAAAAGATGCTGGTCATGGAATTAAAATCCTGTGTGGTATTGATAGAGACCACAGCAATGAACTTCTTTAGAACATGGAAGTCTTCATGATGAAGTATTCTCATGGAGACCCGCCGAGGGCTTCCACCGGCAGTAGAACCAATAAACACCCACGCTGCGAGAGGTTGCGCATTTCATTCTACCTGGCGGACTTTCTCATCGTCCGCAGCAAGCCTCGATTCCTCAGGCAAAGATCTGCAAGCTGCCCCTCATTGAAATCGGGCGCAGTGTTATGCACAAAGACAGAAGTGCTGTGATCAGCCGCAACCCTAGTAAATGAAATAAATTTAATTAGACACCCAATGCGGGTGCGTTGCAAAGGACATGGAATGAGAGCCAGTGAAACCTCAGACTAGCTTTACGTTGCACAGGAAAGCCAGTTTCCGATACTCGACAGACTAAGGTAGGCATCGTTGTAGAGTAATTGGGTGAGGGGGCAGACGCCACAAGGCCCGGCCCCCCACCTAGAGTTCGTGTTTCGAAGAAGCAGCCGAGTTGGCCGAGGTACTCAGACAGCCTGCAGTACCATTAATGCGGCTTCTCAAGGCGCGCCTCGTCCATGGCCAGTACTTCCGCTCGTTGCAACACGGTGGACAACCGATAGGATGAAGGGTCGTTCCCGCCTTGATGGATGGGAGAATTATCCAGAAAACCTTCATTTGGAAGGTTGCTATAGACATGTATACGATCTCGCTGCCTATTGCCAGCAGTTGAGTGCCGACTCGACGCGTCTGTTCGAACCGGGCATATGTATCAAGGCGGTCGATTTTGGTGTCAAAGGTATTGATCCTCTGTCCGATCAACGATGGAATGCTGATTTGGCAGTTAGTCACAGAAACTGTCATTAACGATGTGGGAACCCTCGAGAATTATTTGAAGGTACAGCAGACCCCGACTGTAGAAGAAAGGCAGAGACTGAAATATCGAAGTCTCTGACAACTCAACCAGTGACTCGATTAATGTGAGGCCGTTCAAGGAAGTCCTTGGGCAAATACTAACTAATCTCGAGACTCATCCCACAACAGAGTTCATGGGGCCGTCTGCTTGCAGACGAGAGTACCATTCGCAAGATACTGACGCGATTCGAAGTGTTTCCCCCCTTCGTTGATATTCTTCGTACCTTTGGTCAGAAAACGGGGTTTGAAGACGACTCTTCTGGTGGATTCAACTTCCGCAACGACAGCAGAGCCTCTGTATATGGTATGTCCTCTTCCTATGTCGCTCACGCAATTGTCAAATAAATTGATCGCCGAGTAGAAACAACATACCTTGTCAAGCATGTTGAAGAACACGGACGAAAGGAATCTAAGGAACCCTGGTCTATCAGACAGATGGGCGTTTATCACAAGAGCGATGGTTCTTCCGGTGATGTTATTATCATAATCAATCCTTCTGTACCATTTCGCGGACGCTTGAGATATATAAGAGAGAATGGTAGTAGACCGTGTATCAGAGCGCTACATGCAATGATCCTTTCTTACGCGATGGAGAATTGGAGATTCTACATCAGTGATTTGGAGAAGCGATATCTTCAGATGGTTACTGAGCTCACCCGGTTGTAGTGAGCCAAGCTGACAATTTGCAGAAAGACAAGGCACAGCTTACGCGAATGGACGAAAAGGGGGAGATGGATGACTCTTTATCCAATATTCAGTTCGAAGATACACAAGAAATCCAAGTTCTGCAAGACAAATGTCAACAACTTGGCCATGTATTCGACATGGACCGAGCCATCCTTCAGAATATGCACTGTCGAATACAGAAACTACTGGCTATCAACGATACGCTGGAAGAAGCCGAGTTGGATCTTATATCAGCGTTGATCGCGGAAGCGGATATTCAGATGGGGAGAGTCAACAGTCTTCTAAAAAGACTTGATGGAACGGTAGCACTGGTATTTGAACATTCACATTAAGGTAACGAGCCATGAATCCACTGACCAAGTCTAGATCAGAACAACCCTCGATTTCCGATGCTTGGCTAGTCTTCAACACAACAGTCGGATCATGACAGAAATAACTCGCTTGACGCGGTTGGAAAACCAGCAGACAATAAAACTAACGCAAAAGGCGTCAAAAGACACAAATGTACTAAAAACAATTACACTCCTTACATTGGTATATTTGCCAGCATCACTCGTGGCGGTTTGTGCAATCTCATCCAGCAGCCACAACAGGGTCTGAACTAATATATGCTCAACAGTCAATGATGGGAATGGGGTATATTGATGTTAACACAGCCAAAGAGAAGCTCTCAATACACGTTGCAGGCGAGTTTTGGATATTTTTGATGCTGACAGCTATACTTCTAATATTCACATTAGGGACTTATTTTTTGTATATCTGGCTCAATGGGTCAGATGAGAGGGATGATAACCAAGCAAAGGGTAGATGAAGTCGATAACACAATACAAAATGCCATAATTCTGTGCATAGTAGTGTATAGAAGCGAGTCCTATTCTTACAACCCATACCCAAACTCAGGTCCAATGCGTTTCTGGACGGACTCGAAATGTTTCAAATCTTCTGCCCAATCGCGCTTTAACTTTCTGTAGGCACTATAGAATGATTTAGCATCATCTACAGAATGAAAGTTCATTGTCAAGGAGGTGCACTCCACCATATTCTCGACTTCTTCTGCTTCAAATACCTCCCTATGCAGCGGAAAGGAAGGTAATGGCTCTTTGTACTCCTTCTTAAAGACCGATACTCGAAATGACGGGTCCCTGCTACGATCTGTCAGTACTAGACCCAAAGAGGTCGCTGCTCCGCCTGCCAGATTTGGTGGCTGGATCCGAAAGTTTTTGGCCAAGCGGATGACAAGCACAGAGTGTTCGTAGAAGACCACAATTCGTCGAGGCCGAGGACCCACCCGTAAAACTCGAGGAGATTGTTTCCTAGATGACGACGCAGGAGAAATCATGCTGGTCATGTTGCTGCAAGAACTTTCTTTCCATAGCTGAATACAAGACGCATCGACCTCAAGATCATATTTCCAACCACCTGATTCACCGCTGCTTTTGCGTTGGAACTTCTTTAACATAGGCACTCGATGCTTCACCTCTACTTGTCCGGCTTCGAGCTTCATGCTCTTTACAACCTCGAATCCTAACAAGATCTCTTGCAGCAGCAATCTGTCGGCGGAATTATTGGTTGAAAATTGACCCACCCTGCCAGGTGAGAGATAGAATTGTGCGTCCGAATTGTAGTGGCTAGGTGGGTTGCGGAGAGCAAAACGCAGTACTAATCTGAGTTGAGATCTCTGGCCGAGCGAATTTTCAGTCCAAGCTTTACGATCCCAAACTTGCATGTGCAATAGCATGCCCACCTGCGTGAATCGAACAGGCCCAGAATCCCAGAACCCTTTGACATTGTAGTTGATTGATTGCAACCTTTCCGTGAGTTCTCTCCCAACTTCCACTCCGGACCATGGAGGCTTGACCGAGAGGTTTGGCAAGACTGGTTCTGCGAGCGGAATGGATTGGAAGCGGTCCAGAATTCTAGCCAAATTTATGCAAACTTGCATTGATGTCCACCTTGACTTGACCTCAACATGGAGCATTTGTAACGCCACGAGGAGTATCTCGTTGAGAAAATCCCTTTCCAGACTGCCCTGGACCAGGTCAGGAACCTCACGGATTAGATGCATGACCTCGGGTTTCAGTTCGTAAGAGTTGGTCATACTGTTGTGTCTGAAGAATCGATCATCTCTATTCCGCCTCCCTGGTATCTCGGTCAGCCGGGCGCAATCAAGCTTACCTACACCACCACTACCGCCGACCACAAACATGCACACCTCCACAAGAATGCAACCGAGAGACCAGATATCGTACTTCCTATTCAGCTTCAATTCCGCGTTGTCGATTTCAGGAGGCGCATACGCTTCTGTGCCACCCACACCAAACACGTTGGAAGAATTGGTGCCAGCGACCTTCTTAAAGATTGCCTGACCAAAGTCTGATATCAGAAGAGTCCCAGATTCCCGGACCAAGATGTTGGCTGGCTTCAGGTCGCAGTGATAACCAATCATTGAGGCCTCGTGAGTGGCATGAGGTTCTTCATAATTGAGGACTTTGTTCAAACCCCGGGCCACGCCTAGCATTTGACGCCAGAGTGGGTGGCCCACAATTGACTCGGAACGTAGACACGAATGAGATTGTTGTCCGCGGAGGTATAACCGCAGATTCGTCATTTCGCGGGGGAAGATGAAGTTGTAATGTTTTCCAAGTTTGTACGCCTTCACAATTTTCACAAGATGATCATCTTGTAATCTTTTAACGTATAGGAGGTTCTCGTATTCAGCCCTGAAGCGGCCAGGGTCAGTGTCTGCACGGAGCTCTTTCCGCACAAAGCGTCGAAGTCCGGGGAATTCCTGTTGCAAAAACGGTTAGACAGCCATATAATACTGCCTGCGGATCACAACTTACAGTGAATTCATTATATTCATCAAGAATCTCAAATGCGAAAACGCTCGCGAAATTCCCCTCGTCAACAATCCCTCCAGTTTTTGTAGGATACCCAAGCTGCGTCTCGTTGACCAATGGTAGGATAGTCCACTCGGGGTATACTTCAACATCGTCGTTGCTCACACTCTTCATGGACGGTATGAAGAAACGAAACTTTGTCCAGTGGAAGTCATTTGCCAATTTTTTATAGTTTGGCGACCAAATCTTTTGTTGGATATAATCGGCCGTGAACTGAGGGAGATGAGAGGCGAAATACTGATCGTCAAGTCCTTGGCTGATAAAACTGTAAATCAGACATGGGCACCTGATGTATACCAAAAGGGCGAAAAGGATAAGGGCGCCTGATCCCTTAGGTTGACCATCACGAGCCTTGCCGGTAATTTTGGTGAGAGATATAGGGGACCGGCCTCGAAACGCACATCGATGTTGACAGCAAGTTGAGCAATTACATTCAAGCACTTCTTGTATTCGTTCCTTTGTAAAGAGACTCTCAATACCGCTTCTTGGGAAGAATGTCCTTTCTGGTGGCACGATGTTATCTCTCGGAAAGTATAGCTCTTCGAGCTCCTGTCGTAACGTCACGCAGGGAATGATCGGCGAACCTGGAGGGGGTGTTGCCGAGGACCAAGCCATGAGTCTTTATCAAGTGCATCTTGATCCTCGGAGGTGGTCTGCTAATGGTTGGTACCGGATTAGAGGACTGCTGGATCGCTGATCAAGTGAAGTCTCATTTTCACCAAGTAACGCCGGATTGTAGGAATCCTTTCCTCTACTGACTACAGCGGACTATTGGGGCCAAACACGAATTGAGACTTTAAATCTGCTGATAGTGACGAGAGCTTCAAGTCCACCTACTAGTAGCTTTGCTTACGGTAGTTCCTCAATTCCCAAGAATGTATCTTCCTCTGTCTGTCCTCCATCTCGCGGCTTTCATCTCGCAAGTCTCGGCCAAATCCCTCTACGACAACCCCGAGCAAGATCCCCTCCCTCCATCCCAAGAAAGCACACTAGAGGAGCTACACAAGAAATGGGATTTCGAGGTTTGAACAGCCCAATCCACACCTTAGATATTGTTATGCAGAGCATGATGTTATCTGCAGTGGGGATTCACCGGCATATCCACCTTCGCACATCTGAAGCACGTCAAGTGCCTGACATCTCCACACCAACCGTTTGATATCGGCATCATCGGCTGTCCGTTTGATACGGCGGTTAGCTATAGACCCGGTATGGACGACCGTAGTACTCTGTCTTTCTGCAGAGATGCTGCGAAGTTATTGCGTTGTCTGTCATTAGTACATCCAATTTGCTCTGCTCTGGGATTCCACCACAAACATTGAGGTTTTCACTTTACCATTGAGCTTCCTAATCGGGGAAGTGCTCGCCCTTATAGTCTCTATTTCCATCCAGTATGATCTCCGTACCCTGACACAGAGCGAAAGGAGCACGATTCGGCCCCCGCGCCATCCGCGCCGCCTCGTCACGGCAAACTTCCTTCCGGGGCTTTAACCACCGTGCCGCCCTGAACCCATACACGACGCCCTTCACGATCTTCGACTGCGGCGACATCCCTGTCACGCCCTTCGACAACAACCTCGCCCTCCGGCAGATGAGCGAAGCGTACCGCGAACTCGGTTCTCGAGCTGCAGCCATCAACCCGAAACCGAAACCCCAACCCCAACCCCACCCGTCCAGCACATCCTCCTCCTCTAACGCCATCACCCAACAACCATGGAGCAGACCCAAACTCCTCACCCTAGGAGGCGACCACTCGCTCTCCCTCCCAGCCCTCCGCGCCCTCTCCAAACTTTACGGTTCACCAATCTCGATCCTCCATTTCGACGCCCACCTCGACACCTGGCACCCGTACAAATACCCCTCCTCTTGGTCCCCACCCAACTCCAACCCGCAAGGCGACCTCTCTGACCCCGCCTCCTTCAACCACGGAAGTATGTTCCACCTCGCCAGCCTCGAAGGTCTGATACACAACTCTACGTCCGTGCACGGCGGCCTGCGAACCCGACTCTCTGGATCCGATTTTAGCGACTACGCCGACGATGACCAAGCCGGCTTCCTGCGCATCCACTCAGACGACATCGACGACCTCGGCATCAACAGGATCGTCGAGATGATCATGCAGCGCATCGGGACAGAGAACCCGGTCTACCTGAGCGTAGATATCGATGTGCTCGACCCCGGTCTGGCGCCCGGGACGGGCACGCCGGAGCCCGGCGGCTGGACGTCAAGGGAGCTGATCCGCATCCTGAGGGGCGTGGAGCGGCTGAACGTCGTGGGCGCCGATGTGGTCGAGGTGGCGCCCATGTATGATGCTGGGGGCGGGGAGGCGACGGCGCTGGCGGCGGCGCAGGTGGTGTTTGAGATTCTGACGAGTATGGTTAAGAGAGGCATCGGAGAGATGGAGTTGGGGAGGGGAAGTGGAAGTGGAAGTGGCGGAACACGAGGAGAAGAACAAGGAACCAAGCGAGATGAATTATGAATTCAACTGAATGCATGCCGTCATTTCTATCAGTCACTTGCACCACCCAAGATAAACCTACTTCGATGCCGTCATCAGAACGAGAATAGAAGAGTGTCAGACATAAGCTATCTCAGATGGCCGCGGTCCTTCTGGTCTACCAGAATGGCAGAATGTCAATCCCCAGCCACCAGACCACCTAGAGGGCGAGTATCGACGGCAAAGATCTTGGAAGCTACCTTTGGTTGAGCAATCATGGAATATTTGTGGGGCTGTCCCATGCTGACACATGCTTTGCAGTTTCGAAAAAGATGCTTCTTGAGCAAGATGCCGGATCGCCAATAGGTGTAACTTAGTGCTCCTGGCTGCGAATACGGTTCAATTAGACAGCAGCGGAAGAGCTACAGACAACCTGGCTGCTAACTGCAACGAGTGTGAGAAGAGCTCGTGCGTTGGCTGTGCTGTGATCGGGCATGATGGTGAGACATGTCTGAGAGTTCTCGCGACCAATGGCCGGCTGTCGAACCTTTCTGGCGTAGATGTTGACATTTTTCTCAGTGGTTGCTGCAGCCGCTAGCGTTCCTTTACTTCAAGTGATATTGGATTCAGGTAGGGAGTCGTGCATCAAGAGTTCTCAATATACGCGAACTACGTGGAAGGACGAGTAAAAGCCAGCTGTGAAACTTTGAAAATACAGTCTGTGTCAGGCTTATCATGCCAAGATATTTCAGACTAACTAGTAGGGAGGCATAAGTATTGTTAGCGTGCGCTAGTTATAGCTAGTTCTCAATACAAAGATCCGGCATTCCCCGGAATATTGTACTATATAAGTCTTGATGACCCCTTACTCATCATGATGATTGGCTATGGTCTGAGGACCATACAGACTAACGCTGATTCAGTAAAGTGCAGCTTCGTCAATGTAATTTAAAATACAAAATTTCTAGCTTAAAGCTAACAGTACTTATGCCACCTACTGTACTTAATAGATGCCCCTTTGGACATGTTGAAATAATACAACTTCACTCATAATATTGAACTTGTCTTTTGATCGCTTTTTGCACGTCAGACCGTGGATGTCTGATCATCCGGTAGCTTTGTTTTCCTTCTTCGACGTCAATTGCCTAGCCTGAGATGGGTGAAACTAATTGAACGCTGAAGAGTCAACCCTTGCAGCCCTTTAATCGCTGTGATGTGATCGCTGCTAAAGCTGCGCCCTTATCTTCGCTGACAGGCATCTGGAAGCTAGCTTACCAAAATGATCTTGTACACGAACCAGCATTGCCTGGGTTTCTCGGTATGTACTAGGGGGGGGCCGAAGTATTGTTGTCTCACCGCTAGATCTTTACTCGAAACGTTCTTTGTACAAAACAGCTAAGCTTATGTAGACTAAGAGAAAAGTTTCAACTCATTTGAATGGTCATATTCAAATCAAGCTTTGCAATAATAAATCACCGGCACTACAGGAGAGTGATAAGAACTAGCTGCTACTAGCACTAGCCCTACAATACTTTAGCCCCCCAATGTACTATGGCTACTGGGGTAAATATTGTACCCCCCCCTGGTCAAAATTTCTTACAAAACGCCCTCTTTACATACACATCCTTGTCAGCATCCCTGTCGCTATTTCTCACGAATTTTGCTCATCCTACGCATCCTACGAATTCTGCACATTCGAATTCTGCGCATTCTACGAATTCTACGAATTTCGATGCCTCCTCCTCCTCCTCCTCCTCCTCCTCCTCCTCCTCCTCCTTCTAATACCTCTCATACTACTCGAAATCAACGTTTGCAAATTCAAACATTGCATAGCGCAGGACATTCGTACAACGAAATTCGTTAGCAATTGCCAAATCTTACATGACGTCAAATTCAATACGCTATACATCATCAATTAACCCTTAAAAAACGCTCTGGTCGACCCTTAACTCTTACGAATGAACAAATTGACGAAATTATTACATGGGTGTGTGCTTCAAACGCAAATCGACGTACACCTTGGATTCAAATTCCTCTTGCTATGAAAATCAATATTGGATGGTATGCTATTCGAAATGCTTTACAAAAAGCAGGCTTTTCACGTCGAATTGCACGTTGTAAACCTCCTATTTCTGAAAAGAATCGACAAATACGTCTACAATAGGCTACTGAACATGTCAATTAGACATATGAATAATGGAAAAAGATACTTTAGAGTGATGAAACATGGGTTATGATCTGGCGAAGAGTGGGATCTTATGTGTATTATTAAACGTTATTAATGACGTAAAGGATAAATGTTTTAGGGTTGTTTTAATAGTGATAGAAAAGGTTCTAGTATCTTTTGAGAGAAAGAATAAGGTACTATCAAAGAAACAACATATTGAGAACATATCATACCTCTTATTAATAATTGGATACAAACAAATAAAGGAGATTTGTTATTTATGCAAAATTCTGCACCTGCTTATGCTGCTAAGAATACCATTCGAGCTCTTCGTCAACACGGCATTCAATACATTCAATGGCCCGCATATTCGCCTGATTTGAATCCAATTGAGACGGTATGGAATTGGATGAAGGATTGGATACAAGAGCGTTATGGAGATACCCTATACAAATATGATGAGTTACGAATAGCAGTTAATGCTGCATGGGATGCTGTGCCCTCTGAGTATCTCAAGGAGTTGCTTGAATCAATGCAGAAGAGATGCAAAGCAATCATAGATGCCAATGGAAATCAAACTCGATTTTAGAAGGCTAGTCCTAATTGGGCTAATATGAGGGCATCTATACTTAATTCTACATAGACGGTTTTGTACGAATACTAGCGTTTTCACCAGGGGGGGTACAATATTTACCCCAGTAGCCATAGTAGTAGGTTGTGGTAAGCAGGCTCTACTAGTACGGGAGGGGCCTGAAGTAATGTAGCTTAGCGCTAGTGTCTTTAATTGTAAGCCCCTCTGTACAGGACAGCTATGTTCAAAAGAAGTTAGATGTAATAATTTGACTCATCAGAATGGATGCACACAGAACAAGCTTTAGAATGGCGAATGATAACACTGTGTTTTTGTAATTAAAACTAGCTGTTCCTAGCACCAGACTAACATCACTTCAGACCCCCATATAGTAACTTCGTTTCCCGATCGCACTTCTCAGGCTCGGGATCGCCAAAGAAATGCTTGCAATGTTCCATATGAGAGCTACGGTAAGAAAAACGTCTCTCTCTGCGTGACACTTCCCTTCTCTTTCTCGTCCAACGGGGGCAGCCGAAACAGCTACGGCATTAGCAGAATCATCGTCGTCGTAGCACATCCGATCCAAGGCGTTGCAACGGCCGCATGCATTATCTATGCAAACACAATGGCACTAATCAGGGAGAACGACCCGATAAAGCTGCCGGCAACAAAAGACTTCCCTGCTTTCGTAGCAAGGAGGGTTTTTGGCACGATCAAGGCGTCCTCGGATGTGGCACCAGCCGATGTGTTGAGCGGATCAGGTGGGTACAGATTAGGCACGAGGCTTGTGTTCAAGTACGCTCTCTTGGTACTCCAAGTAACGACATTTTCGCAGCCCACGGCGGCAGACTAACGAGCCGATTAGCAAGTCAGTCTAAGAGCTACACGAAATGAAGAATCTTCGACGTCTCCTCGGGATAAACATGACGAAAAATAACTTACATTATTAACACAGAATTGCATCAACGAGATGCGGTTGCCCTCCAGGGCGGCTAAGTAGCTAAACCAACTCACATTGTTTGACCATTGTTGTAGCTCGATGGACCTTTCCGCCAAGTGGTTGGCCGTAAAGGTGGCGTACAAGGCGAGGATGGTGAATATCAGGGCAGCGACGGAGACCAGCAGGGCCACCCTCTTCCAGACCTTCAATTCGTTCCACCACTCCTTCAGGCTAGATATCAGGTGCATCTTTGAGGCTTGTCGAGGGTACCACAGAGCGTGACGAGGTTGAACAGGATATGGATTGTGTCTAGTGTAGAATGAGGGCAAGACGCTTGCGCAGATGGAACAGCACGTCCTTTGGGGCTCACCAGGATTTAGAAAGTAAACGAGTGTCTGGTTACGCAAATTGATAGAAACGAGAGTCTGGTTACGCAAATCTTCAGGAACGAGATTTGCATTGGCAAATCATGGAGTATAAGAAGGCCAGACCGATAGGTTTCCGTCCTCGATCCAAATGACTCAGGGGGTGAGTAGGCGCATGCATCCCGGTTTCCCACTAGGACCTTGCATTCGTCAGCTTGGCCAAAAGGAGGCAACTATCGTAGAGGAATCAGCCTTGTTTGATGGCTATGCCTGAACAGCTGACCGACAGCGGACATATGAGAGGCTGCGAAGGGCTAGTTAGGCTTCATCACTCCTTACTGTACATTGCGAAAGTGTTACAAATCCTTGACGCTACACTCGAATTGCTGACGCCGCAAGGCAGAATTACGGCGAGGGCAGAGGATGGCCATTTACCACCTAATTATCGTAGTAGAATGGCAAGGAGGGGGATATAGAGGAGAATATGGAGGAGAAGAATATCAAGAAGGAGAATATTAAAAAGGAGGATGGGCTCCAGTGTGGAAACTCAATTAGCGGATATGAAAGTAATACTAGAGGAGAAGGATACGACCTTGTCTTCAATGAAGAAGGCCGAAGAAGAAAGAAAAATTCAAATGACTGCCTTGGAGGGAGATGTCCTGGAGCTTCGCGAAAGAGCTGCTCAGAAGGATGCTGCTGTAAAGGATCTGGAGGAATCGCTGGCTATAGCCCACACAGCTGAACGTCAACCAGGACCTCCTCCTTGACTTCCTCCTCCTTGACTTCCTCCTCCTTGCTATCTGCAATACGAGCCAAGCGTGCCAAGCGCGCCAAGCGCGTGCCCTCCGCAGGCCAGGAGGACTCTGGTGGATTCTGCATCATTCTACCCAACTTCTTTGTTGTTCTGCGCATCAAAGCACTCAAGAGGATATCCTACTACTTACATTCTTCTTCTTGTACATAGATTAGTGCATAAAGAGTGTATTTATATGTACAAAGGTATTATACCAAGCGAGATAGTGCGAAATATAGATACCAAAAATACATGCGGAGCTTCGGCGAAACGGGTACCAATTCTGTAATAAAACGCTGGTGACACACATGGCAAAATAAGCGCAAACTGTATTTTTGAGTTCAACAAAGGTTTTAAGTTGAACGGAATCGGATTCCCTACTGGTTTTCGGCTGGGATTAGATTCAAGCTACTCTAGGGAAGCGAGGAGGCACATTGGTCCGTCCTTGCCTTGCTACGCTGGTAGAGATTAGTTCATCAGGAAAAATATCATTGATCTCTCTTTACTTGGTTAAAGAACCCAGTTACGACTACTACTCTCGGACATGTGCCCCAATCAACAACGCCCCATCTACCATCGACAGCTGCCATCTCTTACCTTCCTCTCCCCCTCCCAAACTGCTCTTCCAGATCAACCGCCCTTCTTACCCCCGCCACAGCCACATGATTTCTCCCCCCCACGGGGGCCCCACACTGCGGACACCTCGACGTCTCCACCGGCATCCCGCACTCGCCCACCGTAAACGGGTGTCCATTGGCGCAGTAGTACCAGTGGCCCGTACCGCTGAAGCTCTGGGCCATGGCGGCGTAGACAGCGGCTTTTTCGGAATTCGTTACGGGCGCGTAGAAGGTGGGGTCGCGGAGCATTTTCTCGACGTCGACTATCTCTGCCAGCATTCCCGCGGTTTGGGAAGAGTGCGTAGTGCAGATGGTGCGGGCTCGGTGAAGATTGGCGGCAGCGAGGTTGACAAGAGCTGTCATATCTGTTGGTGTTGTTTTGTTTCCTGCCGGAGGGCCCCTGCTGGAGGAGGGACTGCCACTACTCCGCCGTTCTAAGGCGACGAAGCGGGCCCAGTACAGGAGGCCTTCAACTTCGTGGGAGGGTTGTTGGCGGGTGCGGGACTCTTGGATCAGGCGCTCGCAGTCTTGGCGGTTACTGGCAAGGTTGAGATGCAGGCCTGGTGGGTTGTTTGGCGAGGCCGCCAACATGGGGACGCCTTGGGTGATGAAGTCGAGGAGGATGGCATAGTCGCAGCGTAGGAGGAGGATTGTGGCCAGGAGCCGGTTGCGGACTTGAAGTACAGAGGGCAGGTCGGTGGCGATTTCGGTGGATCCTGGGTGATGTTTGCGGGCGTCTCGAACAAGGTCGTGGATGCGGCTGATGGGCTGTTCTCGTTCGTCGACCTCGTGGAGAAACTTTCGGATGGCGTTACGAAGTGGGAAGATATCCTTGTATCGAGCATCGTTGTGGAAGATCTTGAAGACCACCCTTATCTGTTCGTCGCGTGACCCGATCAGCCGAATGGATTCGAGGGAGCGCTCGTCGACCGCTGAAGATAGCTGTGTCTGTCCGCGCAACGTATGTTTGGGAGTTTTCCTTTCCGTGACGGGCGCTCGGAATTTTTCCTCCGCTTGCTCAATGCTCGAGGCCAAGGGAACAAATCGAGAGTTTGCCCAGACAATAAATTTTTTGGTCGCTTCGTCAATCCATGCTCGTCGAACTATGCGGCCATATCTATTGATATTGCGGAGAGGAAGGCGACATAAAGGACAACTTTTCAGCTCCGAGGTAGAGAATGGAACCGAGCTCGACTTCAGCGCGATGATGGAATTCTCAGCACCCGGGGCCTCAGAGAATGTGTAGTATTTTGGCATCTCCATAAGGGCATCCATGCTTTCTTGGGTAAGGATATGACCACAGGTGGGTATAATGCAAGGGTTCTTGTCGAGATCAATCTCAGAGTAGGTGGACCAAGTGATATAGTCAACCATCATATTCTTGACCGACTTATCGGCGCACTTCTGACAGCTCCGGGTCTCTGGACATATCTCTCCGCAGGTAGAAGGACATTGGTGGCCACAGCTAAGTTTCAACGAGCAACGTTTGGAACAGGGAAGTCGATTGCATGGCACCGCGCAGGGTAGTTTACATGCACCTCGATGTGGGCAGGACCAGGAGCAGTTCTCGACGCAAGGCATACAAGGCTCATGGCACTTCTTGCTGCACCGCGAGTGACTGCATCGGACTTCGCATGGCTCCGAACAAAGCTTACATGGCTGATCGCCATGGCAGGGCGCTGAACATGCATGGCTGCAGGTAGTGTATTGTCTGCCACATGGAGTCTTGCAGACGCCGTGACGAATAGCCAAGATGCCGCCAGCATCTTTCGTCCTGCAATTTTTGCAAGCGTATTTACAGTTGTGGCCACACTTGAGAGCGGCGCCGCATGTAGCGTTGCACGGGTAATTGTCAACAAGAGGGAGTTCGTGGCAACGCACCTTCACAGTGTGCTGGCAGCCTGGCACCACAGTGTCGACCAAGACATGACATTGAGCCTTCCCCGGATCCTGCGCCAGGTGGCATGCCAGCCATGCATGAACGTGCCCGCAAGGTAGGGTGATGTTTGGCAGCTTAGTCTGACATTTGGCATCACAAGGGTCTCCGCAAAACTTTTGGCAGGGATGGTCACAACCTTTCTTGATCCTTTGGCAGCGCTCAAGGCACCGAACGGCGTTATGTAGCCGCTCAGAATGACATTTGTTGATACAGGCATGTCCGCAACGAAGTCGTATGTCACACTTTCGATTGCAGCCACCCTCGGGGGAGAAGACAGAGAAGTCGTCAGGCTTCGACACCTCGATCGGCGTCTCCTTGTGTCGAGGGCAACATAGCGCAAGCGACTGGCCTACGTTCCCACCATTCTCCAGCATCGTGATTACCTTATTCCACATAGGTACAGGACGTGCGGTCTGTGTGTTGCCGATGATGTACATTCCGTGGCGGGCGCGACTCAGCAAGACGTTGATGCGGTTCGACGTTTTGAGAAATCCACATCTCCTTTCAGCATTACTCCGGACCAATGAAATGATGACGATCTTTGCTTCTTCTCCTTGGAAGTTGTCCACAGTAGCGATCCTCAAAGCATTCAGCAAAGTCGTCTTTCGGACAAGACCCTGCACCACGCCTCCCCCCTGTACATTGTCGTCCTCAACTCCCTCCGCCTCTAATTTATCTAGATCGCGGTCATCAACCACAATCGCAAAGGAGGACCCTAGGTGCTGTTTAAGCTTCTGCAACTGCCCTAGATAAGGGGTCAGGACTGCAATATCTTCATTCCTGTAGGTCCCTTGCCGAACGAGATGAGAGACCAGAGCAGCGACCATTTCGACTTCCCAAGCATTCGTCTTGGAAAGTGAATATGCCGAATTCGCGGATGCCGCATCTTCCATATGGTTGTGATCGAGCCAGAACAGACGTTTCCGCATCCCGTCGACTTTGGGATGGTCAAAAACAGTGGGATGGTCTTGCAACTTTGGATAGAGCGTAGATTTGACCAGCTCTGCGATCGATGGATGCATTCGACGCTGAACATTCAGCGAATTGTGAGGAAGCTTGGGATGTCCAGGTTGCGGATGGACAAGTCGTTCGAAAAGCGAGATGTCCAAAGAGAATTTTGCACCCTTATCACTGTCGTGCTGGAAGTCGTAGTTATTGATTTGAGGCCTTAGCTGCTCGTGATCCCCAATAAGAATGGCATGCTCGACCGAAGGCAAGAGTGCGGTGAGGGTGTGTGCTTCTAATACCTCGCCCGCCTCTTCGACCACCACCACTTTTGCTCGCAGTCGATGGAGGACCTCTAATTGTCGTGCCAGGCCAGTTGTTGTGACACCGATGACGTGCGCACCAAGTAGGCAGCGTAGGTCTATCTCTTGATGGTACTTTTGGAGCGAACTTCTGAGATGGCGGTACGACTCGAGAACGTGTAACAAACGTTGATTGAGTTCCATCGTGCTTCGCTGTATCCAATATTTGTGCAGAGCCGATCGCTCGATACCGGACATCTCCATTAGATCGACTTTGACGAGCTCGGAAATTGGACGAGCTGAGGTAATACGCTTGGGGGCTCCTTTGAGCCAGCTGTGCAGAACATTCCACTTCTTGCCGCGTATTTCCTGGAATCCATGTTCGTCGACCCCCCTTCCGAAAAGTCGACTGAAGTGGTCCTCGTGATGGGCTTCGAGATAATCTTTGACATTGCTCCAACGGGCTGGATCCCTCAGGCATGTCATGAGCTCCGCGATCTCATTGAGAACGGTATCTAATTCTTCATAAAGTTTGTATTTCTCATAGCGTTCGAACTTTGTGGGCATCACATCTTTTGATACATGATGGAGATTCAACTTCTGGACGAGTTCGGATTTAGACCTCGACCCCAAACGGATAACCTGCTCTACGCCGTCCTTGATCAGATTCTCGAGGAGTTGGTCGAGAGCGTGATTTGTGTAGCATACACAAATTATTGGCCCAAGCTCAGCCGCATCACGATTTTTCAACAAAGCCTTGATGAGGGTAACACCGAGGTGGCTCTTGCCGGTCCCCGGCGGGCCTTGGACCAGGGCAAGGCAACTTCTTAAAGAATTTATTGTCGACATTTGCTGCGCCTTATCGAGCGTAGATTTTTCACGTAGCACTCTATCGTCAAAGGGCTGTCCGGGTATAAGGCTGAGCGGTTCTCCTCCTGTCAGGGTCTCCAGATTAAAGGTGAAGCCAGGCCTGCGAGAGTATGTCGGTGGAGGTACATCGACATCTTCTGCGGATTGTTCATCAGGGGCGATAAATTGAGAGAAAGGCAAATCCAGGGTGCGGCTCATCTTCTGAAGTGCTTGCAGTGTCGGTCGAAAGGAAGCTAAAAGAATGCCTGGAAATTCGACGAGAGATTGCTGTACTGTGTGAGCCTTTCCGAGGTGACTGTTAATCCAAGTGATGTCTTCGGAATTATCCTCGACCATGCTAAGCATCAAGGTGGCTCGGTCCGCATGCGTGAAAAGACTCGGCCGCTCGTTCGACGCTCGCGAATGATCAGCGACGCGAGATTTCTGTTCTTCCTCGCTATTTCTTCTCTCGGGTCTAGGTCTCGGGGTTGGATCGCAAACAGAGAAGAAGATAGCACGACCTGTCGAAGAGACTAGGCATACAAAAGCATCGATCTGTAGATGTTTTGAATTCATCCACCAATCTTCTCGCTCCTTGGATCCCTTCTTTGCCAGCACGGCAGGCTGATCAAACTCGGCCACAACCTGGAGCCCTTTGTTCCGATCGAACTCTACTCGAAGCAGAACGACCTTGTGATAGACGATATTTCGAACTCCATTTGTCTGTCGCTGAGGCGGCGGCGGGGCGCTAGGACCCTTGCTAAGTCGTTTATATTCTATCTGGACGGCGTCTCGGAGCTGACCAACTGTGTCTTCCCGTAGAAGTCTGAATTGTCGGTCAAGTAAGCCCGCTAGACCAGGAAGATGGAGTTGCGTTGAGTCGTTTAGAGGTAGGTACTCCTGCCGGTGGGACTGGATTTCTTCGGTGGTCGGCAGGATCTTGATTTCGAAGATGTCTGCGTGGTCGTTGTCGTGTCGTGGACCTAGCTTAGACAAAGAGCCAGGCAGGTCTTGCCCTAAATTGAAGACCGATCGATGGCTCTTATGCTCTGCAAGGCGGGATCCAGACATTGGCATTGCAGTTCCGAGACCCAGCCGTTGGCGAATCCGGACTAGGCTTCGATCTCCTGCCTGTAGAGCTGTTTTTGGAATAGAGGTTGAAAGATCGTTCACGATCGACGTGAGCTCGGTGATGACTTGGGCACTTTGGTTCAGCTCTACTATTCTTTCCAGTATTACTAGGCTTGCCGCCACCGCAATCAAAGTTAGGCCTTCTTGTTCGGCTGTTTCGTTCCTGGCGAGGACAACAAGAGCGGAAGTCGTAGCCTTGAACAGCTTGATGGCACGACGACCGTTCGGGCCGAACAGAAACCCGCAAATGGTATCGAGTGGTGTCTCCAAAATCAAGGACGACAAGATATTCGGAGAAGTAATTGTTCGAAAGAAGGGAAGAGTACTCTCCTTAAAGACACGCATCATCGTCCTTTCCACCTCGAAACCAGCAACCTGTTCATCTACGAGAGCTTTGACCATGGCCAGCCCCTCATCGGTCGCGAGTTTCTTGATGATCTGTTGCCCGGTTTCCGTATGCTCTTTGCTCACGAGATTCCAACCCAGCTTGAAGAACCTTTCGATGTCCGCGATCCGCGCTGGCGTATGCTGCCTCTGTATCAAGAATGTCCACTCTCGGAAGCCTGTTTCCCATTCGGACCGTGATCTTGACCGAGCGGTAGACCGCGGCGCCTGTGTTCTGGCGTCGTTCTTGTCGGCCACAGTTTCATGCGAGAATTTGCAATGCTGTCCTTTGGAGCAACCTCTCGGCGTCCTCAGATATGGGCATGGCTGGCGATAAGGCGCTCTCGAGGTGGGATTGGGCCGGTGACTGAGCCTGCATCTGTCTCCGTACTTGCATTCTCCGCGTTGGAAATAGAAGCAGGGTTTATCACTAGACAAGCAGAGTCAGATCAACTTCTCCAATATTATATTGGTTCTACTCACGCACTAAAGTCTGCCATATCAGCTCGAAAGAGCTGGCTTGGTGGTACTTGGTAAAGAAAATGATGAGGAAATAATATGGGGAAATGATATGAGGAAATGATATGAGGAAATGATATGAGGAAATGATAGGAGGAAATAATATGCGGAAAAGATATGAGGAATGATGTGAAGAAATGATAGGAGAAAACTATAGGAGGAAATGATATGGGGAAATGATGCAGGGACGAGAAGGCTGTCAACTCTGTGGATGAGACAAGTAACAGATCAAAAGTTTAAACGCCAAAGCACTAAAATCTCTCCGACGCAACTTCCACACAGAACTATGTCAACGATGCCGACTCAACGAGTGCCTTTTTGGCGCCAATCGACTCAAATACGCCATTAAAGAAGAAGTCGACTCCATGGCAACGAAGCGAGATCCAAACATACCTCAATGCTGGGCTTAAAAACTGAGAATATTGGTCGATTGACCAACTGTACGCGTTCGAGCCGGTCCGGGTTAGAGCCCTCTCAACCTGGCATGGTAGGGGGCAGAAGTACTGGTGGCACAGTGCTAGGAGCAGCTACTTTTCATTACCTCTTCCCTCAGCTTATCCTTGTTGGAACCCAGAAAAGATCGGCTTGGCTAATACCCCTAACCAGTTTTAAAGACTGAAGTCTTCGTTTGAGGCCCGGTCTAGCCTCGAAATCACTAGCGTTGAGCTATGACTACTTTTGCCCGGTACCGTAGTACAGCCCGGCACGGCTCGGAGCGGCTCGGCAACCCCTCCAGCCCAGCAGAACCACGCTAAGGGCCCGCCAAGACTAGAATTGAAGTTAAGGTACTATCTGATCGCCATCTTTGCCATCGGATTCATGCACGTCTATTATTATCCCATTCGATACCCGCTAGAGCCAGCGCTGACCACAGGGTACCAAGAGAAGCCTTGGGGGCCGGCAGACGAGCTCCAAGAAGTGAATGACCTGATCATTGTAGAGGGCGAGGGCATGGACGACTCTTCGTGGACCGAGTTGCGGCCTGGCTGGTGTTTCGGCGCAGGAGTCTCCTACCAGCTAGGAGGCACAGAACACACATGGAAATTGCTTTATTGAGAGATTTTATGTACGATAGATATGAGTTGAGGGACTTAGGTGTCCTATTAGCTCTTGAGTATCACTGTCAGTCTCTTTAATTTGGAACTCTTCTATACTTACTCAGGCGACTGATTTATGAAGCGCAACTTTATAACTATTGTAATGTTTAATTCGCCTACTAATAGTCCATCTAAAGAGTCAATGTTAATCTCGTCGGAAATCCATTCCCTGGTAGACTTCCCTTATTGTCCAGTCCAGAGAAACCCTTTGAATGCTACCCATCGCATCTAGATATTATATATAGGTATAGGAGGTTATGTGCCACACTACTGATATATAGAATGCCTGATGAAGAGCGTTGATGCACATTCAGAAGCATGTAAATGTACAAAGTGGTCATGTCTCGTTTCTGTAAACCGCTCTAAAACTGTTGAGTCAGGAGCCTGCCCCTGCCGGAGGTCTATCTAATAACTACTCCCACGCTTGAGGTGGTGCGTTGGCCATCTGCGGGTACCGAGATCGTCATTAATTGTGCTGTCTTCCCCCTTGCTAGTCGGGCTTTCTCGGTTGGTGTCATTGAAGTAGTACTCCCTCGATGGAAGAATTTTGCCCTCGCTATTCCGCATCGCATCGGACCCAGCACAGGCTTTGTGGAGCATAGTCGGCAACTCCCTGCGTTGGGCGTTAATGAACCAATCTTTGAAATTTGGGCTGAATGCATCTTGTCAGCGTTGAAAGTCCCAACCGTACAAGGCTTCCATTCATAAGTTTGTCATTTGCAGGCCAGTCTGCCGCACCAGCTCCTGCTTGTCATGCTCGGTCGCATAAGGGTGGTCGAGGTGGACCATGAACCAAGTCCTCAGCTTATTCGTGGTCTCCTTCGGAAGGTTTCCTCCGCGGGATCGCTGCTGTTGTCCCTGCCCATGCCCATCTCGCCATAACGCATGTAATCCTGGTTTTACGGGCCATATCCAGTCGCTGTGAAGGGCGTCCTGTTCAGGGAATGCAGACTGCTGATGGATAGAAACTGTGTCCGCAAGAGATAGTGGTGGGCATAGCCGTATGGGGTTTAAGGGTTGGTGGTACAATGGAGACGCATCGAGCCTTGAGTCTGAGGGGTGCATAATCACGAGCTGAGGCGCTTCGTGAAAGTAGTCATCGCTCAAGTGCCCCCGGACCGGTGGTAGTTATTGTTGTCTAAAACATGCGGGTTTTGGTGTAAAATATGCCGTGTAACCCGACTTTTGCATTAGTACTGTATTGTAATGGGGTTGCCTGCCAGGCACAACGCCGCTGACGAGCCACATCAGACAGAGGAGGAGCTTAGATTGCACTACTTAACCCAATTGTAGACCAGACATCTGGCCCTACCTTGTGTACTCCCTTGGCCGTACTGGCACTTGCTACATATTTCTTTACAGAAAATGCGGAAATCCACTTACCTAGGCTTCAGAGTTGAGTATTCTATCTGGCACTGATGTTTCGTCGCCCTCAATTTACCTAGGTACTTGAATGAGCGGTTGAAGAAGGCGGAGCTCAGCTCGCGGGCGGTGATGGCGTGGATATGTAACGTGATCCGACCCGGACGGGCAGACTTTATTTTATCAGCGCCGAGGCTGACGATGTTTGGTTCATGGTCCGAGGCTTTAATACTACCTAGATATCGACTCTCCCTGTCCAAATCTTCCTGGGTCCGTCTCCGATACAGTACTCGACTCCACGATCAGTATTTACCTCCACTCCACACATGGCCACCGCGGCAGTATTCGGCTGCACCGGCGCCGTGGGGAGCCACATTCTCAGCACCCTCCTCGACAGCGATGCGTTCACATCCATCAAGACAATCTCACGGCGTCTACCCAAGTCCCAATCGCCCAAGCTCGAGGCCCATGAGGAAGCCGACACGTCCAAATGGGGCGGCATGATGTCCAAGCTCAGGCCCAAACCCTCCACCGTCTTCAACGCTGTCGGCACCTCCCGGGCTGCAGCCGGCGGTCTCCAGAACCAGTGGAAGATCGACCACGACCTGTGCATCGAGAACGCCAGGGCGGCGAAGGAGGCCGGAGTCAAGACCTACGTCTTCATCTCGAGCGCGGGAACGAGGGGTATGCTGAGCGGGTACATGCCGTACAGCAAGATGAAGGTAGGTGTTGAGGATGCCATCAAGGAGTTGGACTTTGAGCAGGCCATCATTCTGAGGCCGGGTATGATCCTCGGGGAGCGAGAGACGCCCAAGGCGCCGTTCTTCGAGAAGCTCGTGGGCAATCTGCACAAGATCAGCCCGTCGTTCCAGGACTCGATAGGTATGCCCCTCCGCCTGACCAGCAGTCCCAAATGTGGAACTGACCTCGACTTTAGGTCAGGACCAGAAGATCATCGGAAGGGCGGCGGTGGAGGCTGCGCGCCTTGCGCAGGAGGGCAAGGCACCCTCCAAGTACTGGGTCCTCGAGCAGGCTGATGTTGTCAAGTATGGCAGAGATGAGTGGAGAGAGTGATGGGGCTGTCAAAGCGGCTTGTAGCTCGTTATGGCCCCTTACTCTACGGACTTATCGTGCTACTGGTCCTTTAAGCTTAGAGAAGCCTTCCACTGCTAACAATCACCCAGTCCTTGCTGTCCACAATAGTGTAAGCATAGAGCGCGGAGTCAGGATCCCATCTGTCCTTGATCTGCCTGAGCCTGTCATAGTTGGACCCGTGAAAGGTCTCCTTCCAGTCTTGAAACGCTGTTTGAAACACTGACAAAGCATGTTGCTCATTCAGTGACACAGGGGATAAAGGCAGCTTTTCAATTTTGATAGAGTTTCGTTTGGCCAATTCTACGGCCTTATCAAGCTAAAGCTGAACTCATCTCAGCAAGGCAGGAAAAGATATCCGCGTCTGATCTAAGACAATACATGCCATCGCTAGGCGTTGGAAGTTCAAAGCTGTTGTCACCTTGAACAATTATCTCACATCAGCTTCCACAACAATCCATCCATCTCCTCCGTACATGAAAGTGCTGTTGATACCATGAAACAACATGCAGGTGCTTAGCTCTCTCTCCACATTACTCCACCACCATACAACATCAGCATTCTTCGTGAAAGTCGGCACCTGTCAACGCTTCATACCATTGTTCGAGCCGAGCACGTATGCGCCGCTATTGAACAAGACATCCGAGTGACCGGATGGCATCGGATAGAGGTTGTAGATGTAGCAATTTTCTGCAACCTCAGAGAGCTTGAATGAAAATGCATAGCAGCGGGAGTCATTGTCGCATTCCTTGACGCAGGCAGCATACGAAGACCGGCTGACCACTCTCAATGGATCGAGATTGGTGTACGAATAGCCACATCGTACTGTGTATCGAGCTTGGAAGGTCCCGTTGCCTCGGACAGAGGCCTGGCCGCAGTATGTAGTTGAGTTGAATGGATTTGTCCCTGTAGGTGCTGGCACTCCCTGCTCCTATATCAGTATGAAGTCACCCATAGGCAGAGGATAAGCACTTACTGGCGTGGCGGTATTGGTGTGAACCACCGAGGCAGTGGCCCAAGTGGCAGTGATGTCCGGGGGAAGAAAACTCGTTCCAGTGGCATTGATATGGCTAAGGAAGATTGAGAGGGTAGATCTAGACTTAGTGCTGCGGGTCGGAAAGACTGAAATGGTCGCGGTGGCATCAGCAGTAATGTCTGGGATAGTCATGGTAAAAGAAGCACCGACTGTACTATCCAGGATAGGTATGACTGTAACTCTCTCCTCGGTAGCATTGGTCGGTGAGGCGGTGATGTTAACAGTAGACACGTCAGTGCTGCCTGCCGGAGTGTCAGGAGCCAGTGTGCTTGTGGTGATTGATCCAGTAGAGCCAGTTGGAGTTGGTGGGGTGGAATCAGTTGTGACAACAGTGGTGTCTGGAGGTTGTGACACCCCGGCAGGGGTTTGCAGAGCCACCTGGCAAGGGTATCAGCAATTGTTCTTTGGGCCTGGACATCAACTCACAGTAGCAGTGACACTCTGAATGCTTGTCACAATAGTCCATGCCACTGACACGAATGATGTCCAAGTTTGCACGATGGTTGATGGAGTTACAAGACAGCTGCAGACGCTGCTCACACGAAGTGGATCATATGGTGCAAGGAAAGCAGGTGGGGTTGGTGCGTCTTGTCTCTCCAGAGGCGGAGAAACGGCAGTAACGGTAGTATTGACCAAGCCGCTGGTAGCAGAAACCGCGGTGGTATTGCTGTAACTGCATGGCCCCGCAGAGTTGGTGGCATTGCTGCTGCATGCGATCAGTTTCGGACAGATCAATGAGCGGAATCACAGGACTCACGGAGTGGCAGTGGCAGTAACGGTGTTGATTGCAGCAGTTTTGGTCATGACAACGGAACCCGTGATGGTCGTTGTGGCGAAGACTCCAACAATGCTCGAAACAGCGATGTAGATGCTGCAAAAGGCACGGGTGTCCAAATTGTTGGTTGTGTTGGTGAGGAGGTCATAGAGAACATCACTACGGCACTAGTCTTCTGATCAGCCAGCAGCCAGCAGCCAGCAGGCCAATAGGCTGGGAGCAAGGACACTTACAGTTGGCAATTGCTCCGACTCAGCATTGTTCACATCTCGACCATTGAGGTGAGACAAGGAGCCGTCTTTGTAAGGAAGGTTCTTGTTTCTGGCCGAGAGAGAGCCCAGAAGAGGGGTAGCGAGTGTGGTCGAAGCCCCAAGAGCAGCAACAGCAAGAGTAGAGAACAGCATGATGGGGGCTGAACAAGAAGCAAGACCTGCAACGAGTGTCTGAGCAGCAAGCAGGAAATGGGACGAGAGCTGGAAGATGAGTGCAGGAACCGAGTTGTGAGAGGATGAAGTGAAGGTTGGAAAGAAAGGAGAAGGAGAAGGAGAATAGAAACAGAATGAGGACGAGGATGAGACGAAGATGAAGATGAAGATGAGGATGAGGACGAGGTGAAGAAGTATTTGTAATGGAGCAAGTTTCGAATCTTTTCAGACGGCAAGAGGCAGGAGCAACGGCAGGAGCAACGGCAGTAGCAACGGCAGCAGCATGCCGAGAGGCGGAAGCAGAAGCAGTTGAAGATTGAATGTGATATGGGAGCAGAAGGAGAAGGAGGAGAAGGAGGAGAATAATCAGCAGGCTCAGCATCCTCTTGCCTCGAAGTAATTGCTAGTTAGAGCAAAGCAAGATAAGATCTCCCCAGCCTCGAGGCCAGCACTTCTCACTTCTTTGAGATCTCAAACGCAGCACGAGAAACGGCTTCAAACTGGCACAACGCGAGCGACCGACCCTGCACATCCTCGATACGTCGTCCTATCTGCCAAAGACATCATGGGCGAGGTAGCCCAAGGTCAACAGAGTCTAATGTTACACATGATGGAGATAGGGGAACGCGTCAGGTTGACGTCTGTCGGCAGAGCTCAAACGGGGTGTTGTACTTATTCAAATATTCAATAATATTATATGTCAAAATGGACAATTGCTTGCCATACAGAATTGTCCGATGTCAGTTCCCGAAGGCATCTCTGTCCCGATTCAAGGTGACAGCGGATTAAGATCGCATCGAGAGCTTTTGTGTGCTCCCAGCTGTCGAGCGTCGGCAGGTCAAGTCGAGAACAGCCTTCACTTGTCACCACAAGGACATCCCCATCCGAGATGAGCCAGAACACATCGCCGGAGAGGAGGCGGTATGCTGGCCAGGAGTAGCCGTAGAGAGATGCTCATCTATTACAAATTGACTCGTAATCTGGTTGTGTAGCTTTCTGTGCCACCGTAGATCTGCTCGGCGACATCTTGGAGCGCGGGTTCCTACAGTAGCCTGATAGATCCCTACCCACACCACCATTTGCAGCAGAAGAGTCGACAGTATACCTGTGTCACGCGTCACCAAACCGATGTCTCCCTACCGCAATCCACCTTTGTGCACCCTGAGAATCCCGCCGTCAAGACCCAACCCAGCATGCCCGACTCCAACGAGCTCATCGCCCGCATCCACGGCGTCAAAGCCAACCATCAACTCGCGCAAGAATTCCGCCACGAAGTCGCCAACCTGCTCGGACGACATCAAACCTCCTTCCCCGGCGCCCAACCGGTCTCCTTCGCCTCGCGCCATCTCTCCGAGCTCCGCCACCAAGACTACTACGTCTGCGAGAAGACGGATGGGATCCGCTACCTGATGTACTGCACGCGCGACGGCGACCGCGACATCCACTACCTGATCGACCGCAAAAACGACTACTACTACGTTCCGGGCCTCCACTTCCCCAAACAAGACGACAAGACGTTCGCGTCCTTCCACTCGGAAACCATCTTCGACGGCGAACTGGTCGAAGACACCTATCCGGACGGCCACTCGGAGCTCAAATTCCTCGTCTTCGACTGCCTCGTCCTCGACAGCGACCTGCTGACCACCAAACCGCTCGACAAGCGCCTCGCGCGCTTCAAAGAATGGGTGCTGAAGCCGTACAAGGAGCTGTGGAAAGCGTTCCCGGAAGAGCTGCAACACCGGCCCTTTGCGGTAGAAGACAAAGCGACCCAGTTCTCCTACTCGCTCGAATACATGTTCAAATCCATCATCCCGTCCGTCAAACAGCTCCACGGCAACGACGGCCTGATCTTCACCTGCAAGAACACGCCCTACAAGACCGGCACCGACGAGCACATCCTGAAGTGGAAACCGCCCCACGAGAACACCATCGACTTCCTCCTGCACATCACCTGGCCCCTCCAGAACCCCGATCCCGACGACCCGGACCGCACCCCGCACGAAGACTTCCTCGCCTTCCCCCTCTCCCTCGACCTGTTCAGCTACACCGGCAACGAAGTCAACTACGAACACTACTCCACCCTCTTCCTGACCCCGCAGGAATGGGAGGACCTCAAATCCCTCCAGCGCCCGCTCCAAGACTGCATCGTCGAGTGCTATCTCGAGCCGGCAACGGCAGCGGAGCCAGCAGCGGCTTCGGATCCGGACCTTCATCCTCCGGAGAACGACGGTGTGCTGCCAGAGGAAGGCGGCCACCACCCCGGGCACGGGCACGGGCACGGGCAACG